AAAGTAGCTAAGTAGCTACGGTCATTCAGCTGTCAAGCAAATTGCATGCTGAACACAAAGGACAATATTGGCACTGGAACATATCAGCAGCAGCACAAGAAGCAGCAGCAACAAATAATATACAGGTAGTTGTACCGCGCGCGCCGACGAAGTTTTGGCTCATTTCTTCACACTTTTTCGGCAGAAACTGTCGCCAGAGCAATCAAATCAGTAGGGTTTTGCACGAACGTGTTTTTTCGAGCCTTTCAGCGTTTTGAGCAGTTGCAAAAGTGGAAAATGACCAAGCTGAGTTTTTGTAGACAAGACCATGGTGTAATGAGATGGGTGCAAGTAGGGCAAAATGAAGCTACAAGAGTAGCTAGATACATTTCCGCCCCCAGAAATTTAGAACTCTTTGCGGAAAGAACGAAGCTCTAAACATTGGAACCAACAATGTTGATCCGTTCAACACTGTTTTCCTTCTGCCTACGCCGCGGGACCTGTTAGGATACCTATCCAATCAACATGCGGTTCAACTGCTCCATGTGGCATTAACATTAGAATGTCAGGAGGTCCATCGGCACACTGTGCCACACAACTGTTACAGCCATGAGGGCCTACAAGCACTGTATGTTCCTCACTAATAGAAGACGAGCTGTCTTCAAAGTGAACAGAAACTATGCGCCAAAATGCATCAAGGGACGAACAAGAAACAACAAAAGTCACACCAGGAGTCCCAGAGCTCCCTGCACCCAGCCAGGAAAGGGAAGACAGATCCCTGCCGTCAGTTAGGTTCATCCTGCCCTGCGTCATCCATGAGAAAACATGGCTTGACCGGGGGTGGCATCGTCATCGCCGTTCACATTGACGTTGTTACTTGAAATCGCAGCTGCGGCCCGTTTGGGGGCAGCTTCGCTGCCAGTTGGGCCCCACGCAGACCCAGGAAACCAAGCTGAGCAAGGAAACCCCATCAGAAGTTCTCACCAAGACGGTTCGTCATTGTGGCGCGCAACACTCCAGAAGAACTTGACCTCATCAGGAGACACAGAGCCTCAACCAGAGAAGTTTCTCCTACAAAGAAGGCTAGAACAGTACCAGGTTGGGAAGAATTCTTAGATGCTCTCTCTGCCAAGTATGTTGTACTCTCTGACCCCGGCTTTGGACTCCAGCAGGAACTTCGATCTTCTCCTCAAGCTCGATCAGACTTTCTAGCACTGAACTTGACTACGCCAGACACTCTCCACTATGACCCAGAACATGGCAAACTACATGAAAGAACTCTCTACTACATTGCTGACAAGTTCATCGACTTCATGAACACCTCCAACCTCTGCCAGGACATCTTTCTTTTCATGGGCATCTACGCCAACAACACCCTGCAGAATCTGAGCTCAGTCTCCATCTGTCTCACCGGTGTAGCCTAGTGGTAATTTGCAGATGGTTCTCAGCGCTGGCCGTCCAAACTTTCAGGAGTGACAGCAGCCCACTCTTTGCATGCACCATTTCTACAGGGCTTTCAATCCACATTATTGATGATTCTTCCTTTGTAGTTGTTGATCCCTTCCCAGCTGGTTCACTTCTTGTTTCCTGCTGTGTGCTTGTTTCTTTCCTGTTACTTTTTTCCAGGGACTCACAGCCCAAGATTTTCTTGAAGATACATCCATTGAAGTCGGACCACTTGTCCAAACAGGGTCACCTATGGCCACCAATGCTCTATTTAGTTTTTGGCTTTTAACAATCCAGTCTACTCTATGACTTCACTTTCTTGCCATCAGCTGGCACTGGTACTAGGATTTTCGGGGCTTCTTGCAGCATCTTTCAATTTATGCTGGCTCCATTTTTCTATAGCTAAAGCGAGCAGGGGCCGCCAGAGGCTTTCCGGGAGACCCCGGTCACTCCTTCGAGACCATTGTCTCCCTTAATTCACATTTCCTCTAAAGAGAGAGCGAGAGAGAGACTGGTGGTCATGAACCCTGCCGTGCGTCACAGGACCAATGTTTTTGGCTGGTTGTTGTTCTCTCATCTTTCTTGGCTCTTTCTGTCGGTGGTTTGGGTCCATTTGGGTCCCACCTTGCTCATTCAACTGGGTCCCGTGTACAGGTGCTGGTTAGCAGCATATCCTGTAGCTTAATGTCTCCTTTCTTGGCTTGATGCTGTCTTTTGTTTTCAGATTCTCCAATTGCTAACAGAATGCTGCTGCGGACGTGTAGTTCCTTGAGAGCTGCATATCGCTACTGAAAAAATGAAGAGTGATGAAAATACCACAGTCTCATGCACTTTTTGGCGGTCTGTGACTTGTCCCAAAATCGCACCCCCCTAAGTGAAGCTTTACCATCCTCGGCTCATGTTGACCACGCTCCGGCATCTTTGGTGCGGGCAGATTTAATTTGTGGCGGTCCGTCCTGAAGGCAGTAGCACTGTCAGCCAAGTTTTCCTAGTCCAAGATTGTATTGGGACCAATAGAACCTTACAACCATCTTCGGCAGTCAAAGTGGCAACAGGAACGCGCACAAACCACAAAATCGCGTGAGCATAGATTGGAAACCCTTTGCGTTTGCCCTGTCCCTTTGGTCTTTCTTTTAAGAACATGAGATGCAAGAGTTCTAAGGAACATATTTCGGATGCGTGAGTATGTGCATGTGCACGTACACATGCATGTAATGTAACGTGATGCACTATAAGGTGACGTATGTCATTGAATGTAGTTTCATGCTTGTATGACTCAGCTCGTGCAATTCAATGCAATCTAGTGTAATTTGATGCAAGTCAATGTTATGCAAATGATACAGTATACTGTAATGCGATGTAATGTGCTGTGCAACGTGACTGTGATAACTTGGAAATAGGAAAAATAACAACGCACACACACAGAGACCTTCCCCCTTCACCAACATTTTCTGAAACAGAACCAGTATATTGAGATTGAACGCGGAATAAAGTTAATCTTTTCAGCAAAAACATCTCTACAGCCTTTTCCGCATTATACCTTTCCAAAGGCGCTGCGCTTGTCAAGATAAACTGAAGCATTTGCTTGCAAATGCAGTATTCCCTAATTCAAGAAGGTGCTATTCCGTTGAGAAACTCTTTTTCCGCAAAAAAAACGCAGCACTCCTTGGAAAACTGCAACATCCCAGAACAGGATGTCACATTCCTTCTAAGTTCAGCATTCCTTGCATAAAAACAACGTATTCGGTTTAACGCAAAGTGCACAGTGTATGAGGGCAGTTTTCTTTGTTTTCTTCAGGAAAAAGGCCACATTCACATTCAAACACAACTGTATCCAGACAAAATGCAATCTGTTGATGAGCAAGTACAGTACCCACCGCAGCAAATACAGCCATCCTTTAGCAAGGGGCTGTTCCTTTAAGAAAGTCTGGCACTCCATTTTGAAAGCGCGACATTCCAAAGACCTAGCGCTCCTTCAACGAGTACAGCATCCTTCAAGGTGAATTTCTTTTGAGCACAGCAAGTAGCACTCTGCAAAAATGCACGCCGCTTCCTGAAACAGGGGCAAATTTGGCGGAAGAAAGCATGGCATTCACAATGATTTACAATGCAACCATCCTTTTAGAATGGATATATATATATATATATATGTATATATACATGCCTCTGCCAGGTACATATCCACAGAAAAGCGCAGCTTTTGAGCAAGTGCAGCATCACATGCAACTCAGCATTCTTTTGAAAATGTGCTATTCTTTTGAGGAAACGCATATATATATATATATATATATAGTACTTTTCAAAAGAAGAGCAATCTTTCCTGAAAGAATGCCCATCTGTTTCAAAGGTGCACGATGACACCCCTTCGGAACCTTTTGGGAAGCCTTCTGGAGCCTTTTCATGAAGAAACCAAGTAGAACTCGTGGAAAGAACAAGAGAAAAATGCTGCAGCTGGGGAAGGGTGCAAAAAACCCTCAAAAAGCAAATCATTTTTTTAGGAACAGCTTTCCAAAAGCAGAGGCGCAAGAGGTTTCTTGGAGTGGTTCCTTTTTCTGCTTTATCCATTGCAAGTTGCTTCTATGAAGTATATAAACCGCAGGGCCATGTCATTTTGGTGAATGGGTCATAGAGCAAATGTACAAATGGCATTGGTTTTGCAGGTACAGTGCTTGCTTTACAAACACCATAGCACAGGGTTTGGTCCATGTATTATATAGACTTCTTGTAGAAAAAAATGTCATGCCCCCAGTACCCGCAACATCATGACGCAAATGTCGATAGACATAGCATAAATTGTAGTGCTTTAAAAAGCGGGTCTATCGGTCTTTGCATGCTTGTACACATACTCCTAGACCTTTAAAAGACCACCCCCCGGATGAAATAGTCACAGGATTCAGTGCTTTATGTTCTTTGCAACAAGTTAGTCCTTTAAAAGATAAGAGGCCACGAATACATACCCAACGTACATGCATATGACATATACATAATATACATGCAATTGTATGTGTAGGATTGTGTAGGTGCGTGTATGTCTATATCTATGTATCTAGGTATCTACATACTACCACTATGTACCATATCTATCTCAAGGCTCGCGCCAGTCGGCCATCATATCGTCACCAATCTCAACGAAATCAGGGCGTTGAACCTCCCACTGAGGGATGGTGAAAAATGATTTCCCGATGGGCCAGCGAAATCCTGCAACATGGATGGTTGAAAGCCAAAGAAAATCATGGAATAAACTAAACCACCTATCAACTGGTGCAGGATTTCGCTGGCCCATCCACAGTAGTATATAAACATGTTGTGTTTTCGTAGCGAACTGTTAAACTACCAGAAGGTAGCGAGCCCAAGATAGAGAGGTGGGTGGATAGATCGACAAAAGGCCTTTGAGGGATACTCAAAACGCTGCAAAGAAGAGTCAACAGTGTTCATCAATCTTCGTGTCTGTATGGAAGGATCATTATTCTAACATATATTATATAAAGACATGAACTAGTTTTGAAAAAACAACTGGTCAGGGGGTCAATTTCAAACCAATCACCGCGGGCGTTTTGCGAACTCGCGGTGTCGTCTTAACTTTTCGCGAAGGTCACGGTCAAAGGATCGCCAGCTCTGGCCTGGACTAAAAGGCTGGGAAGTCGAGGAACGAAATGTGCATTTCAATGGGAAAATCATGGGAACATACACATATATAACATATATATATATTATATATATTATATATATATATTATATGTATATATATATATTTGTTATATTAATGTATATGTGTTATATATACATATGTATATATATATATTAATAGTAAATAATGGTATATTATGATATAATGAGAACATCAATGTTAGATGGCATTTACTGTACATGGGAAAAATCATGGGAACAGCATCGAACAAATTGGAGGAGTTTCCCTTGCCACGTTCGACTGCCAAAGTGCAGTAAATGGCCATAAATTGGAGAAACTATTTTCGTCAGTCCACCATTTTCAGACGCACCCACATATCAATTATTAAAATTGATTCACTATTACACATCCCAGAAATACATATATGCATTATATATATATACACATTGATATCATATTCCCAGTTTATCCAATGTATATCCAATGTTTATCCTGAGATGCACACCAGCACGCTACATCTGCTCGACAGCTGACACCATCCACTGCTGTATGCAGTGTAGAAACCTGTGCTGAAGTAGTGGACAGATGGGTGGGCCATGAAAAATAAATTGCGCAGCTGGTTTTCGTAAGTTCAATGATTGCTGAGAGTACTTCCCCACAAGTAGAAGACCATCAGAAAAGGAAAACCTACCACGTGCCATGTGCTCCCCAAGAATGATGACCTTCAGTTTTGTCAATTGACTCACCCTCTGGTAAACTAACATTGGAAAATCACAATTTTTAATGGGTAAATCAACTATAAATGGCAATGTTCAATAGCTATGTGAGTTTACCAGAGGGAAATAGAAATGGATTCGAATTCCAAGTCACGACAGAGGGGCCGTCGCCGACAGCGTTCACGACATCTGGAGCCATAGAAGAGAGAGCTTTCTGCACTGGCCCGTCGAGCACCTAGCACGAGATCCACCAGAATTCTACCAGAATTCTACCTTGATCAACTGGGTTGGTTTAAGGAAAAATCATGGAAACATATTGGAACATCTACTGGAAACCATGCTTTGTTTACATCGGTTTCAACGGTTTTTTTTCCCCTTAAACCTGGAAGACCTGATGCCTAAGGTGAAGGGCCCTCGACAATCCAGGGATGCCCTTTATGAAGAGACACACCCAGTTGTATGCATTGTTATCGAGATATTACATTATTTGCATAGTCAAATATTTAATCAAATGGATGTTCAAGCCCCCCAGAGTATGGATAGATCACCTTATCAATGATTGATATGTACACATATATCAATGAGAAATGATGGATACATGATTTTATCAATAATGGATAAACCTAGATATGCATAAATCATCGAAAGTCATATGGACAAATAAATACAAATCTTATGAATATGAAAGAAGAGTGGATAAATCTAGATATGCATAAGTAATTGATAAATATATAGATACCCTCTGGTAAACAGCCACAAAAAGCTATGGAAAATTGCCATCTTTAATGGGCAAATCAATCCTCTGGGATTCCTCTGGTTTCAAGGCAGTCCATCCCCACCATCTGCTGCCTCCAAAGGGTGATAAACCACCGTAGTTATCCAAGGCACCTGGCGCGGAGAAAGACTCCCCGACTGCAGGTCGACTGCTTAATGAAGGATAATCCAGCAGCTTGCAATTAGGATATCATGCGGATAGACGTATAATCATACATATAATATCATATAATATCATGGGATATGTAACCAACTTGATATGATGGAATGATGAAAAGTTGGAATGGTCCCAGCGCGGCACTTCAGAGAATCCCAGTGTAAGAAGGCTTTTGGGGCTATGCTTTTCGGTACAAGACACGCTTTTCGGTACAGTACAACTGCTGTAGACTGCTGTACCAGTCGTCGCGCCTTCGAGCAAGTCACCACCGTCTTCGCAGAAGGAGCCACTTCCAACATGCTGAAATGCAGAGCCGTCCTGGTGACGATGGACCCAAAATTGGAGAGACCTTTCTGGTTTGCATCTTCGCAGTGCCCAAAACCGAAAGTTTCATCTGTTTGCACCGAAAGTTGACATAAATTCACAATTAATAGATACCAAAAATAGATGCAATGATCCCCAACAACAGTTTCTGCTGAATTGGCTGAACACCAACGAGGATCGAGACGTGCGTTTGTCAAAACAAAATGGAGACATCCGAAGTTCCGAAGCAGCCTCAGTTTCCCCACTTCGATGCGCAAGACCCAACCATCCCAACCATACCCTACCGCATCCTACGCTCCAAACCCATCGCCGAGACGCTGTGTCCGGATCTGGTCTTTGGATCTCTGGGCTTTTCACGGTCTCAGTTTCAGCTTCTAAGCCTAAGTTTCAAGCTTCTGGGCCCACCAGAGGAAAAAAGCAACCAGGGGATGTATATAATCGAGATACAAACACATATATTAACCATGATCAAATTATTTACTAAACATGATTAAACCAAACTTTGCGAAGCAAAGTACACCGCCAAAATGTGGGCATTTTTCGTCACAACCCAATACCATGCGACGGCGAGTCGCCAGCTCGTGCTCAAGGCTTCACAATTGGAAAATGATGGGAACACCATGGGGAAAATCCCACAGGATGGAGCCCCTAAGATAGCTACTAGTAAGTTGTCTTATAAGTGGCTTAACTATGGTTTGTGGTAGATATATGTAGAGTATAGTTAATGGGGTTTATAAACCAACTTATAACTGGGGGGCACCATCCTGCATAGTTAGGTCATTTTTTGTATTTTCTTGTTACGAATTAGGAGAACAATCAAGCAACAAACTCTCATTTTGTGGGGATCCCCCATTTCTGGACAAACTCAGATGCTGCCACAAGTTGCTGTGCGGCGTAGTTTCTTCAAATGGGGCCATATGTGCAAAGGCAAACGCAAGACATGCAACCTGCGGCCGTGTGACAGCGGGGTGGCTGTGTGACAGTGATACACCTGGATGTCCTGCAAGGGGGGGCGGTCAACCTGGATGCGCAAAAAATGGAGGTTTCCTGAAATGGGGGTATCAAAAAGGGTACCCGCAAATCATCCATTTTAGATTGGGATTTTCCATCATAAACCAGCCATTTGGGGGATTGCCATTTATGGAAACCCCCAGAGAAAGAGGATGAAAATCCTCCGAAGGCCGGCCTCAACACCCGAAGTGCTTCGAATCTGCAAAGCTCCACCCCACTGCCCAGTGATGTTCTGGTGCAACGGCCTGTCTCCAGTGGGGAGAACTTAAAAAAAAACACATCAACAGACATCAGATCTACCAGCCATTTGTCCCAATCCTAGCCGCCTAGGCCATGAGTTCTGCAGCACTGATTTTTGTCATTTTCAGGGACAATGATGGGACACCCATTTGCATGGTTCCTTTCCATACACTTTTAATATGGAGAGGGGTTGAGAATGGAGGTCCTATCAAATTCCAGAAACTTATCTTCCATTAAATTGTCTGAAGGGTAAATTGACAAACAAGCCTGCAATTTGGTTGTAACCACTATGCCTTCCTGTAAATGGTTCTTCAAATCAACCTATTGATCCATCCACATGCACAATAGAAATAAAACGGGTATGGGATGTTCGGGTCAAAAGCGGGGTGCCGTTCTGGACCAACCCTTGGTCTGCTTTGTATATTTAGTGGACCATCCATACTTAGGAGTTCCAAATTTTGATAACGGATGGTTAATGTTAAAACCTATATGGCATATTATCACGGATGATAATGGATGATGTTTGATAACTTTTCATTATGGTATATTAATGTATATTATGTGTAGCAAACCCGACAATATACCATCCCTGCAAGCATCTAAACCCCACTTGGGGACGCTGACTTTATTCACTTTAGTGTCAACCTCGCATTCATGAACCATGGTTGATTAGGGGGTCCCCAACCCACAATAGGCATACACACAGCTCTGACCATGAGGCAAAATGCACAACTCCACTTGGTATGATTGGTATCCCACTAAGATTGACATTATTTTCAGAGCGATGAAGTACTATTATCTAATAATGTCAATATATATTACACACATATTATAATATATTGTAATTATAATAGCGATGAAGTACTATTATGTTATTATTATTACACACACACACAAGACACCCCGCCAATATCCCCCCTATGAATCATCAAGGGTTTCACAAAATCCTCCTACTTCTTTACCTGGTTTATATTTGAACAAATATGATCAACTTGGGGATATCTCTAAATTTCCACCACTTTTGTAATTCCATCTACTGTAAAAAAAAACAAAAAAAAACCATCCATAAAATAGATCCCATTACATATCCTCATGATACAGTAGTTGCAAGAAAAAACCTATTTGTAGAATAAATTTTTGCCCATCTTGAGCCAACTCCGCGCCAACTCCGCGCCAACGTGCTGACACCTTCGGACTCGTGCTACAACGCGGTCCGGCAATGGACAATCTGAAGTGGCGTAGAGCCCTGCGTCGCCTTCCAGGGAAAGGGGGTTAGAACCCGAGGATTGGTCGAGGGAAATTGGGTAAGATTTCAGAAATGAAATGCTGGAAGAATTGAGTTTACAACATTTTATAACGTTTTAATGCATTGGATAAGTGGAAGGGAATGGTTTGGAACTTGGAACATTTGGGTTTACTGGAATGGAACTCAGCCGAAAGTGGCCCTTGTGGCAGATCGCAAACTAAGCTTCCCGCACTGCCCAAGAGACTGACATGATGCCGAGTCAGATGCATTAGCTTTCGACCTCAGGGGGGGCTAATCCCAAACTTTCGACCATTTTTGAGATTATGTTCGCGTGTTGCAGTGTGAACCTGCGGGAAAAGACTAGTCTTTCTCATCACAGATTAGGGTTGAAGTAGGGAAAACATATAATTATTAAACATTATGTAACCACCAAGCAGTCTGATTCATACTTTGCAGAAAGTTCACACATAATTAATGAGTTTGGATTTTGGTTTGAGAAAGATGTATTTCAACACAGAGCCTGTAGCTGGCCAACAAATGCAAGACATATCGTTTAAATGATCCAAAGCCGTTGCATGATTCAGGAGCGTGGTTCTCAGAGTTCTGTTGAAATGCTCCAAATGGCTGCGCTGCCAGGAAATCAAGAACCATTCAGAAGCCATGAAGAACCACCAGTCAACAACCATCAAAAAATAAACCATTCATTGTGAAAAATCAATCCACCATCATTTTGTACCATCACGAACCAAGATAAATCAGATTAATTTTACGATCACTCATCCACCGCTTGATATCGAAAGAACATAAAGGAACGAATACATGGACTTGTCTAAAAATGAGGCATACCCAAGTTATATCAATGTATGGTCATTTCATGTCGGGAAAATGATTTTCTAAACCATTGGATTTGTCGGTTCAAAACCAACATGAAAGCATACGAAAACACAAATTGTGCCCAGAGACCCAACTGGATGTCGTTGACATCTCGAGTCGCGGAGGAAATCGCAACAAACATCGTAGCCACCAATGCGCTCCTAGGATCTAGTGTGCCATAGAGAAGTGGCAGTCCATCGGGCCATCGAGGAAACAAAAACGTTGATCGCATTTGGTTGGTATACCAGCTTACCATGGTTTACAGGGCATACAGCAGACTTAACTACAAGTAACCAGCAAAATGGATATGATTTTGCAAATGGGAAACACATCCTTATTTCATAGTTGACTAGTACGGATCCTAAATCATCATAAATAGAGCTTTAAACAATCCCCATAAATACATCCCCCATCAATAGAGGTAAAAAAAACACAGCAACAACAACAACAATCATCCTTGCAGGGCTTGGCTATACCCCTGGCCGAGTCGCGTCACCGCGATAGTGGACAGTGCTTCCGTTCTTCAAACCGAAAGCAAAAGTCCAGCTCCCTCCATCCATTAACAAACCACGGTGGTCGAAGTCAAATTCCACCTCAAATTGGCGTTTCTGAAGGCATCATGAAGACTCATAAAGGAGTCCAGTTGAAGATCAAACAGCAACTTGCTTGAAGTTCACATCTTCAGAAAAAAAACATGATGTGTATCCACAGTCTCTCACAATTTCAACTGATGGAAACCTCCTCCCAAATTGCTTCATTCACTGCCCTGCGGCATCTCTGCCTGCAAGTAAGGCCATCCTTCTTGAAACTCAACCTGCAGGACATCAGGACGATATCTTGCAGTTTTCCCCATCGGTGGTTAACAAGTGCTGATAGTCGTTAATAGTTGTTTGTTCGTTGGTTAAGAAGGGTTAGTGATATTTGATACTGTACATGGGTGAATTCCATCATATTTTTTAAATAGTGACCCCAAAAAGCTAGATTTCAGTGACTTACCGCAATTTTGCTTGGATATTGCTTGGTATCACTTTCCTACCTGTTTGGGGTGTTGCTATAGATGAAGAATCTAGCTTGGATCCCAAGGAAGGCTGAGGATCTATCAGTCAACGGATGAAAATAAGGGTGCCTCTGACGTACGCACCAACCTGGGGCTGGAATTCACTCGATTTCATCTTAGTTAGCAAGTTTACCATTGGGGATGTTCTTCATCTAGCTCGTGATCGATCCGTGAGATATTGATCAAAGTTTTGCAGTTTGACCCCTACCTCTTGGGCACCATGCACTTTGAAGCTTCAAAGTGCCGACAGCTGAGACAACGCCCTGGAAATGACTGCTTAATGGACTGGCCTGCGCACGAGCAGATGTATCAAAGGGCTGCAGGCTGGCTTCAAACATGGCTCCTTAGCGACTCCGCGGGAGACAAGGTTAGGTTAAGCGCTGAACGACCCAATTCTGGGTGTATCACTTTGAACCCGTGACTCGTAAGTCACTAGTCACCAGTGAAGCATTAGGCCTGAATGATTTCCAAGACTGTTCGGATAATGCCCCATCTTTCCACCTCATACGGTGTCGTATTTCCTCATCACTGGATTGAAGAGACCATCCAAAGGGAACTATGGTTTTTAAATGTTGATATTATTACCATCCAAATCAAGGCGTATATGTATATATAATAATTATATATATATATAATATTATAATATGTCATTGTATGTCTAAAAGTATCCACACCAAACCAATTGAACAAGAACAAGATAAGGTTTCAAGATCTCCACATGACCAGCCATTTGTTATGTCCAGTTGTCGCATCCGAGGCTCTCAGAACTTGAAATCTCAACGGCTCTCGGAGCAAGGAGTCACGCAGCGAGGTCAGCTCAGCTGTCTGCTCGTTGCCTCAGGAAAAACCAACGGCCAAAAAATGGTCCCCCGAGGCCCCCGAGGAACTGAGACCAGGAGCAATACAGTACAATGCAATCAATGGATTTGTTTAAGGGAAAAATTACAGGACACCCCCATATTCCATAGGAGAAACAATGTAACAAGGGTTTCCGGTTAAGATTTTCCCTTAAACTTCTTAAACCAATCCATTCATACATAGGTAATACAAGTAATTTGACAAAGTATTGCTTCAATTTTCATTTCGTATTTCACAGACGTGGTCAGCTTTGGGGAATCATAGTCCTGCCTCAAACAAGTTCTGTGACCTCCAGCAGCCTGTTAGGCTGGGCGTTGCTACGACAATGCTGGGCGCTCCGTCTGAAAAACACGCTATCGGTAATAAAGTAGTTGAGCATCTGTAGCAAAATGATCATCAATCAACTTTGATCAACTTCAATCATCAATAATCCATTTTGACAGTGGCACAGTGACAACATGTGACAAGCATGTTTTCTGCGAAATACCATGTGAAATACCATGTACTGTAAATGGCGCTTGAAGAACCATGTTGCTGCCTTGGCACTCCCGCCCTTATCTGGATGGCTTTCTTTCACCATGAGCCTGTATGCCCGTCGCAAGGCATGCTCTGAGATGTCCTCAGATGGAGTCACACTGAAGCTGTCAGTGCCTGAACCCTCCGGAAATCTAAAAATAATTTGTAAATAATCCAATGGCCATGGAAAATGGATGAACATGGTCCATTCAGTTCCGTGATTTGACTAGATTCTGATATAGATTGACTTGTCAAAAATGGTGATTTTCCATAGCAAATCGTGTCATTGGCACAGGATCAACACGCTTCAAACATGCCACCCGTACCCATCCCGTAAGAGGTCACAAGGCAAAGATGCTTTGGCGATGCTGCCCACAGCAACACAGCATCACCACGTTCAAAAGATATGGATCCCCAAAATGGTTTGTTTACAATGGAACATCCTACTAAAATGGATGGTTTGGGGGTACCGTCAAACCTTCATATGCATTCTGTTGCATTATAAGATTCTAATGAAGACTCTTCAAACCGCCTATCATGCAATATTTGGCCATATCATGCCATATCTAACCATGTTTGGCGCTATGGCTGCTAGGCAAGAAGTAGATGCCAGGGGTCTCCCGAGCAGTTCAGAAATCCTTCGCGAGAGGAAGCCGTGGACGCAACAAGAGAGGCCAAGAACAGCCACGGCAGCATTGGAAGATGCGGGGGAAGCGAAGGGCAAATGTGGTGTGCACCCAGTGCCACAACTACCATTAGAAACTGATCCTGGGATATTGTGGGAACTTCATACTTTGGTTTGTATCCCTATATGCATCCTATCACATTTCCACATCCACATGTCACACGAATACATTTCCTGCTACTAGTAGTGGCTGCCGTCTGCCTTCTTGTTGGATCATCAATATTCACCGAGAAAGCGAGTGGAATCTCTACGTCTTGGAAGTTGCAGAATCTGAGAGTTGAAAGCTATCGCTGGCAGGTCTGTCTTGTCAAGGAATGGCATGAGAATAGCATGATATAGTATAACAGTATAAGATAGCATAAGTATGTATGAGTCTTAATTCACCATGACGGTGCTTGGCTGCTGCCCAAATATTCATGGCTTCAATGACTGTCAGAGCCACAAGATGCTACCGGCATCATGGCAGCACATCAATATCCATGAATATTTGACCCTGGTGATCCCTGGTGCAGCGGCAAACTCATCGACTTGTCACATCCAACAGACCGAAGGACCTGCCTCACGCCACCTCAAGGACCAATCATAGAGCCCGGAGTGGGGCAAGGCCACAGGGATGATCACCTGGCAGTGCTGGAACCAAACCAGGGCCATCTCTCCAGCCATCCAGATCCAAATCTTCAGCACTTCAGCCCCTTTTTGTTCGGTCGCTGGATGGGATGTTCATCCCCTGAGCGCCGCATCTAAACAGGCGCGCCAAATGGTGGGAGGTCCACCCTGCCAGCCCAGGACACAGGCGCCTTGCTCACAGTATTCCCCAAAGATCACCCGCGCCTTTCCAGGCCCCAGGCGTTTCACCATGAAGTCCAGCCGCATGGAGGGCACCGGTTGATGCTCGGCAGACAGCAGCCAGGCTAGGAGTAGCTGCGAAACTTTGATGGCCTTCTCTTTGGCCATTGCCCAGGCCACTGCATCTCCTACCGTTTGACATAGGGAGGTAGGGAGGTAGCTGAAAATGAGGAAACAAGACCCAAAGTCCCCCCCCCCAAAATGTAATGTTCATATGGATTGATATACTTTGATGGGGGAACATGATAATCAATCATTGGATTTTGGAGTATATCATTTTCAGATAAGTCCACAGGATGTTTTCGATGAAGGTCTAAGGGCAGTTGGGGAAAACTTATGAAACCCTCCAACTTGTAGGGAATGTTGAAAAACATAAGGGCGCAGTTTATGAGGATTTCGTGATTTTCAAGAAAATGGAAGGCAAAACGCACAGCCCTCCCTTCTCTTCTTCATGGGACAATCCATATTCAAAAGCCTTTTCAAAAGCGGAATCCCGGACGCACGGCTCCTTCCCATCGGCTCAAGACCTTCTCTTCCGAGAGCTTGGAAAAGCTGGCACGGGAGACACCCACCGACTTGGTATCATCTGAGGGGCCCCAAGCGTTGCATTGGATCATCTTGGGTTCGATAGGGGCTTCACCAGGCCAGTCAGCCTCGGGCAAAAAGTAGAGTCGCATCTCAAAATCGAAGTCCACCCACTCCTGGAAAGAAACATGAGGAAGTGAGAAATTGTGAGAACCTGAGGAAGTTGTTGAAAAATGTCGAAAGGAACAACAGTTTAGGTCAACTGATTTCCAGCATTATGTGAAATTACATCTCTATTCGCTGATGCTGCCGCCACCACCACCAGGAGGAGGAGGACAAACTCCTACTCCTACTCCTACTATTACTACTCCTAGTGCCAAAAGACGACCACGACCACCACCAACAATCATGACAACAATAATTTGACATAATTTGTCTGATTATATCTGATTATACTGCCTTTTTTTTTAAAAAAAAAAGTTAACTAGTTGGATTTTTCCAACATTTAGCGAAAAGTGATCAAACAAGTGCCCCTCCTGAACGATGCAGTACGTGGCCAAACAGCCCGGCTGATTCATGAGCTCCTTCAGCCTCGCCTGAAGATGACTCAGGCTGTTGAAGGTGACCACGAAACGATTCTCCCAGGACCAGCCCAGCTTCACCACACCCTGGACGTCGAGTCGGATGGAACTTTCTGACGGTATCCAACAAAAATTACGGATTTCAGGGACAACGATTCTGTTTTTTTTTGGGAGAAATGGTGAGTTTACCAAGGTTTACCTGTGGATCGAATGGGATCTAACCAACGAAAAAAATGGGATTTGACCACCGAAAATATATGGGGAGTTCACCCACCTATAGGGGATAATGGTGATGATGGGGTTTCACTACCGTTATGGCGATGATTGGGATATATAAGCCAGCGATACCCAGGGGATTTATGATGCGAAAGAAGGCTACTGTTGAGTTCTGATCCGTAGTCAAACAAATGGGGGCCCCAAACAATGCCACAAATCAGCAGCAACCGGTATTCACCAGCTTCTTGTTGAGCTTTGCGTTAAGGCAACCTGATGTTCAGTCATTCTTCACCATGCCATGGTCTCGATCTTTGATAAGTCCACAAAAAATAATCGAATCTTTTACTGGTTGCGGTCATTTTCATTCATTTCCATTGCAAAAAAACGTCTCCAGGATTAGTTTCTACCCAGTCGGAGCGCGCCTTTTGGATCCCATTCTGATTGACCACTGAAGGTGCTGGGGGGTCTCCCGGCTCCACAGGATATGGATTCATCCGTCGAATGTGGTGCAGCGTCCGTAGGGCGGTTTCCGCCGCCTTCGCCGCATCGATCTTCACGCTGCCCTTACTCACAAGGGTGGCGGCCGGCAGAAACGCACCTGCGGACGCCGCGATTTGGCGCTGGATGAGGCAGACCCCAGAAGGAGTGGAGCAAAACACTGTTACTTGATGTAAAAATCCACACAACAAGCCATCGTTTACGTTTTGTTTGCCCAGAATCACCGGCAACCAGATACCTGGTGTCACTGTAAATATTGTAAATGGGGACTGAAGATCTGGCTCATTTCTGTCCAAGAATTCTATGGATGTTTCAATGCACCAGAAAGCCTGACCTGGATGCAAGGATAGAGTTGCCATCCACGACTTCGAGGTGATCAGTTCATACTGATCAGCTGGATGTGGGAAAAGGCTGCGAATGCCCAAGCCCTCGCAAGCCCTCATGGCTGCGAACATGGAATGCCGCTCAATGTAGCAAGCATAATCAGGATCACCAAAATCTTCCCACTCAGCTGGCCAAAGCATCCAGAAGGCCGCACGGCGTTGGGCCTTCAAGCCGGCCCGGATGATGTGGGCTTGTTGAGCAATCAGATGAGCATCCTTGGAGTTGGAAATAAAGACATGATGCAACTCGAAGAGAGGCATCCCTTGTTCATCTTTCAGCCCAGCATGGGCCTTGATGCCTTCCTTCACCACATGCCCCATATACTCGTCGCTGGGAGGTGAACCATACTTGCCCCAATCCCCATCGTTGGCCTCTTGCTCATCCATCCACTTGGAATACTCTCCGCCCCAGCGCACAAAGAGCAGCGAGAGTTTGCAAGGTGGCGACTTGGCAGTTGTGACCCATCGAACCTGCAGAGGAGTGGCCAGGGCCGCTGCCGTGCCCTTCCTCGTCACGAAGGAGTACTCCGCTTTGGGCCTTACCTTGGGCCAGGTCTCCTTGCGGTCTGGGTCCACTTTTTGCCCATCAAAGTCGTGTTCCAAGGTGCCCAGCAACCAGGCATGGGAACCAGCAAAGAGGAATCCACCTGGCCCGCGGTTCTTGGGGGTGCCACAATACACCAAGGGCGCCCGCGGGTCACTGGCATCAGATTCGAAGAAGAACAGCACCTGTTGGCCTTTCTCCATCACTGTCGAGCGGCCGGGAGAATATGGCCGTTTCGTACCATTCACACCGTCAGGCATGGCAGGGTTTTTGGACAAACAGGGACACAGATCTACAGCAACCGTAGAATGAATAGACAGCTGTGCATTGAATCAAAGATATCAAAGCACCACACTGGACTACAATGCGGTGAAATTGCAGACTGATTGTGGAGTGCTCACATTGACCATCTCTCGGCCTAGTCATATGTGTGAAGCTTGAACTCAGAATGGAATTGCGCACATTCAACTCGTAAACGCCTGAGACTTGGCAAAGAGACCGCTGAGACCTGTGCCCTTTACATCTACAGATCCATCCTAGTGCTTTCACATGCAAAAATTGCTTCCCGGAAACTGTACTGATCACATCTGATCACGGCACAGCTGATTGTGCACCTCCTTTGGCGCTGCTTGAACGCCTTGGCTCGACTCTCCACTGAAGGTAACAGCTCAAGGTGTTGAGAGAGGTGTCCCAAAACAAACACCGAAGATTCATCCAAACACCGAAGATTCATCCAAACACCGAAGATTCATCCAGATTCATCCAGATTCATGATTTTCCCAACATGGCCAAGAATTCTGTTATCCCATGGCTATCCCCGTGTTTCAACATCCAGGTGGTGTCCCTCTGAAACTAGCCTGTTGCCATCTTTTCCTCTCCCCCAGGACGCGAATGTAAGGTCTATGACCAGCACCGGAGAACTGGAAAACTCCAGCAGCACCCCAGAGACGTGTCAGCGTGGAGGCGCACGGCTCTCCACAGCTGTGGAGCTTCAGGCAACTCTAAAAATGGTGATCTGATGGTCTGGAATGATCATGAAACATTACTTAATGGGATTTTATGGTGGTGTTATGGGATTTTATGGTGGTTTAATAGGATCTCATGAATGATCTCTGGTCTCTTTTGGAGCTTTACTTTTATTGGATCTGATGGGTTTCTGCTCATTGAACAGGTTGGAGGGGCGCACACACCTGCCATACGGCTCTAAGTGATGTCCAACGGCAAACGCGCAGCTTGCCGGCTCAAAAGTCAAGGACAAGCTAAGGTTGAACGCTGAGAGAGGAAGGCTTGGCGAGGGTGCCATGCCAACACCAGTCCCTCACGCATCACTGTCATCACTGTGCTTGAAGGCTTCTTGCGGTGGAACCACAATAGGATTATAGGAATCATGGGCATATGATTGTATATATTGCATATAATTATAATATGATACTATATATATATAATTATCTATAATTTGTATGAGAACACACAAAAAATAAACTCGATCTAGCAAGAATCGGCTCTTGCTTTTGGAACCCAAGAGAATTTCAGGATCAAAATCCAAGCGGCCTTGGCTGAAGTCATGGATCTTCATGGATGATAATCCCCCATTAATATTGGGTCGTATAATCCCAAACTCGTCATCAACCAACCATTCTTTTTGTTGGCCACTGCTCACTGCCAAGCCATCATCCACCGCCTTAGAGGCGCAGTAATTATCAAAAAACACAGGCTCTTTGTAAAGCCGACAATGTGAAGCACATGGCCAGAGAGGCTTCGGTGCCCGAACTTCTGCGGGCAGCTGCAATGTCTGCAAGCAGCAAAAAGTGCCAAAAATTAGACAAAACAGTTGGAGAAATCTTGGCCAGAGACTCGAAATGAACTATATCCATTTTGGGCTATATCTACATGCACAGATATGTATTCAGACGTATATTATATAATATATACGTACATATATTGTATCTATCATTTTCTTTTTCTATTCAACTCCTCCTCGTCCTCCTTTTCCTCCCTTTTTTTTAAAAATGTTTTTTTCCTGTTTTCATTGTGTAGTTGTTGTCAATGATTTTACCATACAATATAGTCTGCATTCATTGTGTAATTGTTGTGATGGATTGTTGTGATGCCTTTCTTCTTTTGCGTGTGTGCTTATCATTGACCGGACCGTTTCTTGCTTTCACGTTTTCTTGTGCAGGCGAGCATGTCAAGATAGTCGAGAACGATATCATTAAACGGGTTTTTCAACATTTGAGGGATACATTATAGATGTGTATGGATCTAAACCCGGTAGCATTGGTTTTCCACACCACAATAGTTGTTACAGCTAGAAGTTCATCCCCCAGGCTGAGAGAAGCTCCTAAGCGACGCTGAGTGACTTGTGCCAAGGCTCACCCTCTGGTAAACAGCCACATAACGAACTGGAAAGATCCACCATAGAAATAGTGAATTTTCCCGTGAAAAACGGGGATTTTCCATAGTTATGTTAGTTTACCAGAGGGTACACCATGTGATGCTTTAGAAGACCGGTTTCCAGCTTGGAGATCTTGAGAAGCCTCTCCGTGGCATGGCACTGTGAACGTCAAAATTGGTGCCAGGGTGCCAGCAATCACTGGGCATCCCAGCGTTTTTTTTTTATGTACATGTCAACTTGACATCGTGTCCTACCCCGAGCAATCATCGGAAAACAGAACAACCACGAAACACCTATGGCATTGGAATCTCAACATGAATATATATATATATGATATATTATATATAATATATGCTATACATATATATATATATATGTTATATATGTCTGTTGTGCGTCTCAGCAAGGGGTGGGTCTGCTCTCCAGGGATTTCCTGGTGTTGTTGGCGTGGCTCTCTTCCTCGGATAGCGCATGGATTTTGAGGTGCTTTATCTGACAAATGCATGTCTGTAGATATTATATTAACATACATACAGTAACATATGTGTATTCTTATAATATATATATATATATATGTAGTGCAGAACAAAAAAACAATGGAAATAGGAAAATACCTATATATATAATATATATATACATACACACATATATCAGGGAGATAAGACATGGAAATACTCATAGAAAAATGAATGTGGTGGTATTACTCTGTGAAACATATTTTCAGAATACATCTGCGAATCTCAAGCCTTAGGATTTTCATTGCCGAGCCGAGCGTCTGTAATCAAGTCGGATGATTCCACCATTTCGAAGATCCCGAAATCCTTCGCGACTCGGTATGGTTCCTCGTCTTCCTCGTTCTGAACCTGTCGGAACCCCCTGGAGTGCAGCAGCAAGAATCACATGGTCAACCTGAGTTTTCAAACCATCATGGTTGAATCACCAGAATATGATCTAATGATCCTATTCTATATAATGTTGTACTGTATTATATTGTATTATATCATAGTATATCTATCATTCATGATATCATAATATATCATATAGTCTTACATAATTCGACAGACATGTCAGAAATGTGGCAGGAAACCATGCTTTGGATCAGACTTTCATGAGGTGCCTTGCCGCCATCGTCAACTTTGCTTATTGAGCCAGAGACAACCTGCCGAGGTGTGTCTCCCATGGGCTCGTCTTCTGTAGTCCTGGTGCCTTGTTGAAAATCCCTGAAAAAACGAACAGAAGAGAGTATTTTGGGATGTGAACCTAAAGCTTCATGTTGAGATAGATATAGAATGATATATAATCTAAAAAATATGTATATATATATATGGTCCAGCGTTCCAACCTCCCTCCCCCCGCCATGGTCATGGGTCAGCCATAGTACTGTCCCCTTCCCCCCCTGTGGTGTGGTGGGGGTGTGGTATGGTATGTTGGGTATGTATGGTGTGTATGTCGGTCTGGTATGGCATGTTTGGAATGTATGGTATGTTTGGTATGTATGGTACGTATGGTATATATGACATGAAGGGTTGGTATTGTATGGATGGTAGGTATGGTATGTAAGTCTGTTGGGTATGGTATGCTTGATATGACAGTATGTATGGCCTGTATGGTATGTATGGTTACTATGATGGGCATGGAATGTTTGCTATGTAAGGTAGGTATGGTATGTATGGCATGTACGTTTGGCATTGTATGTATGGTAGGTGTGGTAATTATGTTTCATATGTATGGTATGTGTGGTATGTGCGATAGGTGGGATAGGCAATGGTATGTATCGTCAAAGTTCGTATGGTATGTATGGTATCATTGGAATGTATGGTAGGTACAGTATATGTTAAACACATGTAGTGTTGTGAGAGTACACAGGTAGTAAATAGGAAGTAGATGCATAGCACTTGTATGTATGATATGACTATAGGTAGCACGTAGGACGTAGGTACTTTGAGGGAGTATGTGTGCTACGTAGGTCGTCTAAAAGGTAGCATGTACCTAGTAAATCCGAGGCTGGTAGTCAGAAATGCTGCAAAGACCTAGCAAATACGAGGCTGGACCTCAGAAATGCTGCCACTAGCTTGCAAATAGAAGGGAAGGGGGTGCTACCTGGGGACCCATACCATTGGGGGGGTAGGAACACGGAACACGAGACCATATTGTATATATATATACACATATGTTGGGATGTTCTATGATGTTCTGCTACGAGTAGCTATTTAAAGGCTCTTTACTTCAAACCTAAGGCTCCTCAGCCAGGTATCGCATCCCAAGTCGCCCAAGTTCCCCCATGCAGAAGCACCTTCTTGATGCAAAGAACGTCGATCAACTCCTAAATGGAAACACATGAACAAAAATCCGGCTTGACGTGAACATGCGTAGAAAATCGTAGAAATGGATGAACTGAACACAGCGACACAAACCTTCAGTTGAACGGAAGGGTTTATTCGAAAATAGGGTGCCCTCAAATCCAGTGATTTTCTCATTCAGATTGTGATTTTTATCTATTTTACATTATTTTGACGTAACTTGGCCATTATTGGCCATTATTGGCCATTATTGGCCATGATTAACCACTATTAACCACTATTAACCACTATTAACCACTATTAACCACTCTTAACCATTATTAGCCATCACCAACACCATAATAGCAGCTTTTGATGTTCCCCTGATCACCGCTTCGCGATCCTTGGAGATCCTCCATGGCGCATCCCTCAGAACGAACGACCTGGGGCCGGCGTTCGTTGCGATTTATGGATGTGAAGAATCACTCAAATATGGTATACACATGGTATAAGTATAAATGGTAAGAAAATTGCATAAATATGGTATAATATGGTATAATATGGTATAATATGGTATAATATGGTATAATAGCTGTTGATAATGTTTTATCCATCTTCAATTTCCGGTCAAATGCTGGTCCGTGCACATTTGAAGATTCTTTTCCCAGCCCTGAAAAGATCAGAGTCGAAAACTTCTCTGAAGAGTCCACTGTTTTGTCGAAAATGCTGGGGATGATCTTTCCATGTCTTTCCCGGATTCTTCATCGATCGTAAGCGCTTCAGCTGAAACTTCTCGGTTCGTTTGCTCCAAGCAACACATTGCGGTTCTGAATGATTCGCCCCACTCGTGTTGCGAAGTCCTCGTGGCTCTTGGAGCCGAAGACTTCGTTCCTGCCGAAGATCAAGCTGTGGCAGCTGGCAGAATCATCGTAACTGATGGGTTGGATAGGATTTTAAACAAGAATCAATGACAAAAACACCATTCCTCTTGGGGGGTGTACACACCCAAAACAATCCCTGAAAAAGGCTGGGAAGATCTGAGTATATTTGGACAGTCTGCAGCGCGTTTCGCCAAGTTGCAATGTATGATCTGAATGCACCCCCACGAGAACATGAGAGCCTCGAGCTTTGGCTTCCTGGCAGATGGCAGTGAACTGCAGAAACTGCAGGAAGTATAGACGTGCAACTTCGATCAAATTCTTATGCTTGAACATGTTGTTGCCAAGATATTGAAATGTGCTCGAAAATAAAACAATGTAGCGGCCCTTCAGCTCTTGCGTTACATGTTGAGCTGCGCTGCCTTCAAAATGCGCTGGTGGCCAGCGTGCAAGAAGTTCCACGCACCATCAACCTGTGATGTCGGGTTTTTTCGTGGAGGGAACAGCTGAGACGACAAGATCAGCCAAGGTACGTACACGACCTCCTTGCAATCCCAAGGATATTCTGAAGTGCCTGACACAAGAATGAGAATGAGATGATTTCTGGTGAAATGAGTGTTTCTGGAGAATTGAAGACTTTAATCATCAAAAATAAGAACAATATCATATTATGAGATTTTTTTTCTGGAGTAGAAGAAACACCTCTCTCAATCCTGGGCAGAACAAGATCCTGCATCCCTTATGTACCCTTATGTCACCAAAATAACTGGTAAAATCCAAAAAATATGGATGTTCATCCCAAAAAAATATATGGTATACCCGGTATTGGCAATCTACCATGACAATGGAATTGATGACCCATTTGCAGCTGATTTACCTCTTAAAACTTGGTGTTCTACATTGCTATGTTAGATTTCAAAGGGATTTCACAGGGTTTTTGTCATTTTAATCCATATCAAAGGTCCTATCATGTCCTATCCCTCACCCTTGGCTCCCTCACGCCTTCGGCCAGCTCCACTAAGTCCAACAGCGGCGAACCACTCAGGGCTTCGTTGGGCGAGGGCAGCATGGCGGGGGGCTCCAGCAGCTTGTCGTTGAGTCCTCGATTTTCCCATGAAAAATGGTGATTTTCCATGAAATCACCGTGAAATCAGCGATGGAAAATCCAGTGGCTATCATTTCCACTAGAGCTTGGAGCATGTGGAGCGTTGCCAAGATTCTCACTGCAAACTGCCTGCACTCAATCGATTGAAAGGCAATCACAGCGATGTTTTCGTTCCTGAAATCAGGGATTTCAGGAAGATTGGACGAAGACTCGGAAAAGTACGCATCATCTGGATCTCAAAATCAAAATCGTGGAACAACTGTGTCATGAAAGATATGGTGTGCTTGCTTGGTCTTGGCCATCTAACAACACACTGTGGATGGTTTTTCATTAAATCAGGTGAATCAAGAGTGAGCACATGTTAAACAGCACATTTGTTTGCTGCTGTCGGAGTCAGTAATATCATAATGAACTTTGTCATTATTCGTAAACCGGTCACTCTGATGATGACATCGGTTGATGTGTCATTCTGCAAAATAGGACATGCAACATAATATAAATATTAGTAATATATTGCAATACAATATGCATGCACATGGAGAATTAACAATAACAAAGATCATGACAACCATACGTAATACTGTGGATGGTTGCGAAATCCTGCACCACCAAAAGGATGGTTGAAACCCGAACAAAATAATGGGATAAACCATCAACTGGTGCAGGATTTCCCAACCATCCACAGTAGGAATATGTAATGGGTACCACGGGCCAAGTCGCTGCTGCTTGAGCTTCGAAAGCCAACTCTGACACACCTGCGGTGCCCCCCAAAAAAACATAGCAGCGACCAGGACCAGATGGGAATGCCATGGGAATATCATGGGAATCAAATGAGATAATTAAAAACCAACAATTGATGAGAATAAAATGGGCTTAAGACCCAGCTTGAACAGTCTTGGGGCCATCTCAAAACAAGCCGACATATCAAAACGAAATGAGGCGATTTTCCACTCTGTTCATCTCATAGCTGCAGTTTCTATCAATTTCTTGCACTTTTCAATATTTTCAATGCACTTTTCAAGCACTTTTCATTCTGAGTCTCTGAGTTTCTGAGCCTCGCAGGGCCAAAGCGGATTCATCTTATCCTCAGCGCCCAGGAAGGGCCCAGGTTGATCTGCATCGAATCTGAAGATCCAAGATCTGAGTCACTGGATGGATGACCTTTATCTTATAGTTATATAGTAAGATAGATATAGATATAATATATATAATTATATATATATATATATCTAATATATAATATTTATATTAATTATATATATATATCATATATATATATATCATATATATATATATCATATATATATATCATATATATTATTTCAAAGATTTCAACTCTTTTCTTACTTGACCTTTCACCACCAAGGATCAAAGAACGTGTTTTCGCCAAGAAGCGGTTGGATCCAAGGTCGCGATTGTACTAATGTCTCCAGAATGGACGAAATCACTGGCAGCACCTAGCGGATCGCTGCGGATTGCTGAAGGCTAGACTTTTTGGGCTACAACTGGCTAAAAAAAAAACGTAAGTGGAGACATAACATAACATGACATAACCACATGTTCATCATGTTCTTAAAAAGCTATTCTTGTTTTTCAAATCAGCAGTTCTGTTGATGTTCATCCCGTATTTAAGGGTCGTTTCAGTCGTTTCATCCCGAAGCTCTTCTCCCAAGCCGTCGAGCTGCGGGCGATTGCTGCGCGCTCAGCACAAAAGGAGCCCGCTGGCAAGCTCACCTTGCAGCCAGGCCACGGCATGGCATTGGGTGCTAACAACCATGGCTTAGTTCATGTTAGCCCTATATATATATGTATATATATATTATATGTATGTATATATATATATATGTATGTATATGTATATGTATATATATATGTATATATATATATGTATATATACATATGTATATATATATATATTATAACCAGGCAGGTTTGACTGTTTGACTCCATGGTTAAAATATAAATATGTTCTAAAATTACCGGTATACTTCGGGCACTGCCCTAAGATGGAAACCCGACAAAGACACAAAATTGCAATTTCATATGAGTGCCCCGTTTTCAGACACCCAGATCGCACAACAAATCTGCTTGACTAGCTAGTCGGCATTTTTTCAGGCCAGTGTTTAGGCCAAGTACTAGAATCCGAAATAGTGGCAATACTGGTGGTCAGTGTTATCGACAGAGGGAACAGCGTTTACCTTGTAAAGATTTGGAGCATGACTGGGTTGTAAACAACAAAACATCCAAAGAAATTGGGAAGATTGACCAACCATAAGTAGGAATAGCTGGTAGCTTTTGCCACCTTGCCATCTTGGCCCTCATTAGAAAGAAAGCAAGTGGGAGCATAAGCCCAGTTTTGGGATGGAAAATCAGACTAGAGTCCGTTGTTTTTTTTTGCAGACTAACCGCATAAACATCGACAAAGTGCATAGGACTCTATAGGACTCAATTGCTCTGAGAAAATGACCCAGGAACATCCAGGAACTCTTCAATAACCATCAATAATCATTGATAACCATCAATAACCATCAATAACCATTGATAACCATCGATAACCATTGATAACCATTGATAACCATTGATAACCATCGATAACCATTGATAACCATCAATAACCATTGATAACCATCGATAACCATCGATAACCATTGATAACCATTGATAACCATCAATAACCATCAATAACCATCAATAACCATCGATAACCATTGATAACCATTGATAACCATTGATAACCATCGATAACCATTGATAACCATTGATAACCATCGATACCCATCAATAACCATTGATAACCATCGACAACCATTGATAACCATTGATAACTATTGATAACCATTGATAACCATTGATAACCATTGATAACCATTGATAACCATTGATAACCATCGATAACCATCAATAACCATCAATAACCATCAATAACCATCGATAACCATCAATAACCATTGATAACCATTGATAACCATCGATAACCATTGATAACCATCAATAACCATTGATAACCATCGATAACCACTGATAACCATTGATAACCATCAATAACCATCGATAACCATCAATAGCCATTGATAACCATCGACAACCATTGATAACCATTGATAACTATTGATAACCATTGATAACCATCGATAACCATTGATAACCATTGATAACCATTGATAACCATCGATAACCATCAATAACCATTGATAACCATCGATAACCATTGATAACCATTGATAACCATTGATAACCATTGATAACCATTGATAACCATCAATAACCATCAATAACCATCAATAACCATCAATAATCATTGATAACCATCAATAACCATTGATAACTATTGATAACCATTGATAACCATCGATAACCATTGATAACCATTGATAACCATTGATAACCATCGATAACCATCAATAACCATTGATAACCATCGATAACTAGTGATAACCATTGATAACCATCGATAACCATTGATAACCATTGATAACCATTGATAACCATCGATAACCATCAATAACCATTGATAACCATCGACAACCATTGATAACCATTGATAACTATTGATAACCATTGATAACCATCGATAACCATTGATAACCATTCATAACCGTTGATAACCATCGATAACCATCAATAACCATTGATTACCATCGACAACCATTGATAACCATTGATAACTATTGATAACCATTGATAACCACTGATAACCATTGCATGATAACCATTGATAACCATTGATAACCGTTGATAACTATTGATAACCATTGATAACCATCGATAACCATTGATAACCATTGATAACCATCGATAAATATCGATAACCATCAATAACCATTGATAACCATCGATAACCATCGATAACCATTGATAACCATTGATAACCATCAATTCCTTCCTAGTAAACAGCCTCAGAAACCATGGTGCTTTCTGGTTTCGGCTCTCCGGCGCCTCGGTGTTCATGCCTCTGAAAACGCGAAAATTTTCCGACGCCGGCGCCTCGTGATGGTCGTCACCTCAAAAATAGGCCAAGTCTCGATGGAAGGGCTACATCTTCGTAAGGAATGGGAGGGGAGATGTTGGGAGATGTTAGGTAAGGAACTGTGTCGAAAAACCTGGAAGCTCAAAAAGAGCCCTGTTTGGACGGTTAAAACTTTAAACCACCTTTTCCGGTTGCACATCTAAACATAGAGGTCTGTTGGGGTTTCGTGTAATTACAATTATATAAATACATCATAATACGTCTACGTAGCATCACATACCTAATTTGACTTCGAAATCCTCATGTCCAAAAAAAAAACGTGACTTGTGCGAAGCGAGGGACTGTGACAAATCAAGACAGACAGCACCGTCTTGCCAGACTTCCGCTGCCAATAGGCATCTTTGGAGGCTTGTTGCCACTCTGCCAAATACCTGAAAACTTTGCAGACACTCGCTAGGACTTTAAGGTTCTGAAATGTTATCCAATCAAAAACCAGAACTGATTCATCCCAAAATAGCTGGTATATATATATAGCTGGATGTTCATACCCCCATATATGATATACAACAAATATGGTATGGTAGGTTCCTATCCATGCCATCCTCATTTGAAATGTGCAGCCGGATAACTTCTGCATTTCCTGCACGGCCGGTAACAAATGCCGCAGCGCTGGCCAACTTAAAGCCATGTGGTCTGTAGACCACCACTCGGCCACTTCCTGGCAAAAACTGGAAACCGGGATGGGTCAAACAAAAATAGTAGGTGATTATAGTTATAGAACTATTTTTGGCTATGACAAGTTCTATTTATAACTATTATAGCAAACACTTAAATTTGGTGAATTTCCACTATAAACCGAACAATTTTTGAGGGATTGCTGATTTTGACCCGCCCAAGCTGGGTGGATCAGATTCCAGCTGGCCAACTTTATAAACCATGCGTTGAAGAATTAGGCTTGAAACATGTTTAAAACTACGATACACTAGCAAGCTGCACCAAAGAGGCAGTCGAATCCTACTAAAACAGCAGTGAATTATAGGGAATTTGATTCTCTGTCCTTTGGGGTATTACTTTAATTTAATGCTGTCCATCGAGGAAAAAACGTCGCATGTCATCACATGTCAAAGTTGTGCTTGCACACTAATGCGATCCCGGTGGGTTCACACTAAAAGCGTTCTTCAAGAATGCAATTATATGCAATTATCTCCCCTTCAATCATGTAGGGTTGTATGAAAATTAGGAACCCCATTCCGTCCCATCATCCCATGGTGAAAAAACAACCTAGTTACAAAGCCTCATTTTCATATCAAGACAGCCATGTGTAGCAGGGGTGAATCTCCATGTAAGCTGGTCCATAGGATTCCCATAATGGATTGTGATCAGTGATCATCCGCAATACATTTGGTAGAACATGTAACCCCAATCAACCAACAGGGGTTTGGAGCACTGCTCATGTTGAGACAAACCCTTCTGAAATCTCATATTGTTGGTGTTGTTGATATCCCAATAAATATTCATTATAACCATGATCTACCCAAGCAATGGAGTTAAAGCCACCATGTTTGACCGGTTGGACCGTTGGACCCCCATTTTGCTTGGCTAAATTCCCATTGTATCCTCTTAAAAAATCTCATTTTAGCATGGTGAACTCATGGAGATTGTTGATGATGGTTGGTTTAACAACATTAACCATCAACAAAGATTGTCAAGATTATCCCATTTTGTTAATGGTGTGTCCCCATGAAAATGATTAAAATGATTATATAAGAGTGTTAAAGATTGTTGACTCCCCATCTTATACCCATGTCATCCCCGATTTCAACGAGACAACGAGACACCAGGGAATCTCGCGATTGGTCGAGGCACAGGGTCACTGAGGGTACTCAGGGCAGGTGAAGCCGGTGGAAGGCGGGGACTAGAAGGGAGCGGAGCTAAAAGCCTCAGTGCACCATTTTTTTCACAGCTTGATCCGCCCATGTTTTAAGGTTGATCCCCCCACTGGGCCCTGTAGCTTGGAAAAAGGAAAACCAATCAAGGGCTATATTTATACTGTGTATATCTATATTATACACACATTACGTATATGTATATTACATGCTAATACACAATTTGTTACATATTGTATACTTAGATGTTGCACATGTACAAGGTTTGGTGTATGGGTCAAATTAGTGACCCCCAAAAATAGTGGCTTAATACTAAAAGAGCTACCATTGATGGATACGCTAATAGGAGACAGAAGTCATGCAAAAAGGGACTTGTAAGACAGTGAACTGAATGGCTTAGTTTGAATTCATTCTGCTTCCAATCTGGATGGTATGTCAAAATCCCAGCACCATTTTTTGAAAATCCCAAACGATCAAACGTTCAACATGAAGAAAATCGATCCTCGGACATCTTCATCGCAGCAGGAGACTTTCGCCGTTTGGGATCGTTCTCCGCCATATCTCACTGGCTCCAGCTCACTGCCCACGACATGACGGATGTGGCAAGGGTTCTCAGTGTCCGAGGTGTTTCTTTCTTGGCTTGCGACATGACTTCATAGTTTTTCTATGTATGGAATATATATGAATTTATGCCAATAAACTGCGGTCGGCTTAGATTGCACAGCATGCTACCATTGTGAGGTCCATGTCAATAGCTGCGTTTTGGATGCTTGCCAACAGAAACATCATGGTCATGGTCTGGAATTCGGAGTTGTGAAATCCAAAGACATGGCGATTTTCGCAAGCGATGCAAATACCGATGAGCCCACAAGAATGCTGGTAGTATTGAGCCCTGGTCAACTTAAACCATCTGCTGGGGGAAAACACGTTGAAGCAATCTGAAAATTCATGGTATCCCAATGTTCATGATTTTTGCCACGTAAATTCTGTCGTTATTCTCAGGTAGACCCTATTTTCAAACACCCCCGGCCACATCTGCTGGTGCTGACGGCCCGACTGCTCCGGGCATGGTGTTCCTCCAAGATGGAGCCAAACGCTCGACACCTGACCGGATCATACCTCCAAAGGGATGGTTCACAACAAAAAATCCGTTGTGAACATGGATGATTTGGAGGTCCCCGTTTAGGAACCCCCCTTTTATGTTGGGGTGTTCCAAAAAGTTGGGAAAATCTCCTAAATTCCATAGTCCAGAAAATAAAAAAATCGCCATGCTTAGCATGGTGGGTAGTATTTATGATTTTTGGGCAGGCAAAGCAGAACGCATTTTTGGAGGGCAAGGAGTTCGCTTGTTTTTTCGTTGGCACCCTAAAATCCTGCAGCACTGCAATGCCTCTCTGGCCCTGGCGTGTGGAAGTCGACTGCTAGCCTGAAGAAGTTCAAGACCAAAAGCAAACATCGCGAACAAGCATCGGAAAAAAACATCAGAAAACACCGCGGCATACTACATGAACCAACTTTTTTGGGGTCAGGCAGCTTTTTGTCTGCTGATTTGATATATATATATATATACATATAATTATATATATATGTATAATCCGGTCGGTTATATAGCTGCTTTAATACGCGAGTATGGAAGCGGGATTCCATCAGCGTTCAACGGGACCGCAACAATTGCGGAACGACCGACTGACCAACTGTTCACAAGAAAAACTCTTGCAAATGAAGAAACAAGAACAAGGAATCATTTCCCAGCAAGACAACAAGGAGATATTCGACCCATCCTTTTTATGCCTAAGGAAATATGGTTGAACTTCAAGCTTTTCAGAAACATGAATGACCAGCATCCTCCATGAGCTCAAGCCAAGCAACGTTACATTCTGGAAGGTCACTGTCGGGAACAAGGCCTCGCAGTGAAACCCATGGGGAAATCCCCATTGGAACCCCGGACGAGTTGGTGGTCATCGGGCCTTTCCGCACAAGTGTGGGATGGCCGTGCTTCCAACCTGCTCTCCATCCAGAAAGACCTCATCTGCAAATGCTGAAGCTTCGAGGGGACAACAAAGCCTGCACATCTGCGAAAAACGTATAGAATGTATGATTTAATGCTACGTAATAGTATATATATATATATACAAAATATATATATATATACATATACATATGGCTGTGGCTCAAAAAACGGATATGGATTGTTCCGCAGTGATCCTTACCTATGGATCGGTCTGGATCACCTACGTTTTGATTTTGTTGGCGTCTGCAAAGAAGTTGCCGACCTGATTCTTTCACTAAGCGCACAACGGAAACGCTTCCATCTTTCACCTTGGAGTCTCAATGTCTGTAGAGACTTGCCCCATTCCCTTTGGCCCATGGCATTCTGAGCAAACAAGACAACAATGTCAACATCCCTGACACTGGGGCCACTGGGTGATTGATCACCAACAATGGGTGCTTCGATTCAATATGTTCAATAATAAATACACAGAATACATATTGAACCACCCATTGTTTTGAATATTGAACATGCCCAATGACTTGAATCCTTGAACATGCCCAATTCCTTCGCTAAGCTCTGAGCTTCTTGGTCCAACAGCAAACCCACACGCTTTGCCTCGCTTAGCAAGGGTGGGCCAGAGATTTTGGGCACGTTCAGCAGTGAATCATCCAATTCTATCCCAAAGTCTTGCTGGTTATACAGTTATATAACAGTTATACCCCCTTTTTTGCTGCTGAAATCCAGCGTTTTTACCGCCTGTTTACATACCCTCAATCAATCTTGGTGCAATTCAGTTCTCAGCTTCCGCCTTAAATGGCTTTCTAACAATTGTAAAGACGGGGCATGGATAGCCCCTGTTTAAACTTGTTGAGTTACCAACCAATTCTCACCAGAATTCACCAAACAAATCACCATAGATGTTCCAACCTTTCCCTCGGCAGCGGCCTCGCCCAGTTCACCCGCTGGACGCATCGTGGAGCAGGAGCTGCCCTAAAGAAACATCACTTCCGGGAACACGGAAAACTCATCGAACGAAATGGAGGGCATGTTTAGTAACAATAATGATGTATACTGGTTGGTGGTTGACCAACCCCTCTGAAAAATGATGGAGTTCGTCAATTGGGATCATTATTCCCAAGATATGGAAAAAAATGTTCCAAACCACCAACCAGTATAGTGCGTGTTTTTTTCCCGATGTATTTGTACAACAAGTTATACATGAATGAGGCAATGGCGAATGCTGGTTAAACTTAAATGATAATTATCTTATACAATGTCATAATGAAGGAACATCAATATGTCCATAGAATGCTGGTATTGGCGTTCATCATTTTTGGAATGATAACAGACTACCATCATTCGTTATTGCTTATGAATTACCCCAAGAAAGGTGATTTTGTGGCTGAATGATGCTGGTAATGCGTGACAAAATCCCCAAGGCAATGACTTCCCAAGCACGTTGCAAATAGTCACGAACAAACAGCTTGCAAAAGAGTACAATGACACTAAAGTGCCATCAAGCAAGTCCAACGTGTTGAGATTGTCTGTCGATTGCTCCAATCTACAATCTCTTGGAGGCAACAATTCCAAGAAGTCCTCACATTGAAGTATCAGTATCATGCTCCTAACTGTCGTCTCTTACTTATGTGGGGATGGGTCAAAACCCTGGTACCTAGTGAACCCCAAAATAGCTGGTAAATGGATGTTCATCCCACTAAAAATGTATCTATAGGTATTGACCCATACCCATGTCATGTTCTCAGGCTCTGCTGTTTTCAACAGTTCAAAGAATGGCATCAAAGGATCTTTCAGAAAATACGGGATTATGACTCAATCAACCAGTGGAATTGAGGGTGTCCAGATTTTTGGACAAACACATATGTCATATTGGTGATTATCATTGATTATCTATCCCATATCAGTAATATGGAAAAGTCAAGAAAACTCTTTAAAACTGGAATCTGTTTGAAAATCCCCTATATTCCAACTAAGAATCTACTTCAGTATCATTACAGAAAGCTATGCATCTTACATCCATTTGCAGGTTTCCCAAAAAATGGGGGTTATACTCCTAAAATTATCCATGTTATTTTCGGATTTTCCCGGATAGTACATGATGTGGAGCATTTCTGGTTTTTTTTCATTTCCATCCAGCTATTGTGGTAGCCCTATTTCTAGAAACTGCCCAGCCATTTCTTCCTCGGCCGGGCCGGACCTTGGAATCAAAGCCCACGCTCGTCAGTTGAGATCCCAGAAAGAGCGAGGACCTGGCTGAAGGGAACATACCCTCTGGTAAACAGCCACATAGCTATGGAAAATCACCATTTTTTATGGGAAGATCCACTATAAATGGTGATTTTCAATAGCTATGTAACAAATTACCAGATGGTACCGATATTTTCAGACCAACCCAAATGATGACACCTAAGACATCAAGAATTGAGGCTCTTAAATGCTCTTAATGTCTGGACCGGGTCCAACAGCTCACGCCTGTCGGTTGAAAAGCCGGCAAGCAGTAATGCTGGTGCTTCCGGGATGCGCTCAAGCACCTGCCACATAACCGAACTTGGGCCGCGCGATAGTTGTGATACGGTCAATGCATTGAAAGGTTTAGAGTTCTTATATACTCCGGCACTTCGTATGTATCATTTCATTTCTATTCAAATTATTCGTACCATTTCATATCCGACTTGATGTCCCCGCTTCACCGCCGCTTGGACTGCTTTTCTTCCAAGCATTGAAATCACAATCGAAGCTGCGAAGCTTGGAGCTCTCACTTTGCTCAATCCGCAGCCTGCGAAGCTCTGCTGGATCAGGGGTGTTCATCATCCAGAGTCATCAACGAGAAGTTGCTGCTGAACAGAGATGGGATCAAATTGGATCAATTTTTGCACATCTCCGTCGACAAGCACCAAAAAAAGGCTTCTCTTCACCCAGCAACAAGTGCATTCTGAAGAAGCATTCAAACTCATATTTTCATGCTTACCTCATGATTACAATGTGTCCTCACTGTCAATTGGACGACAAACGCGCCTCAAAGCCCCCTTTCTGCGGTCCAAACTGGCGTCCACGCCGATCCGAGCAGCAAATAGAATCCATGGAGGGTTGACTCACGGTACATGCCCACATACACCAACATACTATAATATACCTTATTATACCATATTACCATATTATACATTGGGTATACATGGGTATACCGTATACCATATTAGCACATTACTATCTAAGGAAACATCTTGTATAATATGGTAATATGGTATACCCAATGCTGTAAACCTCTAAGTTGGGGATGGTTGAACGCACGCCCAGTTGTAAATCATTGGCTTTGGTTTGCCTATGGGTTTGCTGGAAAATAGATGAAAATAGGGTAGCCCAAAACTTGATGGCTTATCCATGTTTATCCATGTTTATCCTCTTTTTCCAATTCTTTTGATGGGAATAACCCTTGATATTGTCCCTATATCGATCGAATCCATCCAGGAATCCCCCAAATATCCCGCTGCTGGCTGCTTCAATATTCAGATCTCCATTTCTGGAACAAAATTGCTTCAGTCCAAAGTTGGGTTTAGTTTCAACCCCCAACTTACGTCATACTGGCAATGAGTCAACCCCTGGCACCCGAGTTACTCTAAAATAGCTGGTTTAATGGATGTTTAATGGATGTTTAATGGATGTTTATTCACCCAAATGTAGGAATAATCGTTGTTTTTCTTTTGACCCATCCCCATATCTCAATCCTTCCTACAAATGTTGCTGGTCACCACCCTTGCCCCCAAAAAAACGTCGTGGCTCACCAGAGCTCCATCATCAAAGAGCTCCGCCAATTGGATCGCCTCCGGATTTGGGCATCTGGTCACAATCAAGAGAAGTGGGGTTGAATCATCAAACATGTGTTTTTCTGATATTTTTGCCCTTAACATTTGGATACATTTGGGTAGATTATAGTTCACCAGAAGTTGTCTCAGAAATGCCGATTCGAATGAGGAATTACACCAGCCAAAATGGAGATTTCTTGATGGGATTTAATGGGATAACAATAAAATTGGGAAATAACCCAAGTATCCCCAAGTGACAATTCCAATTGGGGGAAATGTTTTGAAACCATGGGAGTTTGGGATATCCTTATTTCAAACAACCCAAATGACCCCAAATGTCTTCCAGAAAAGTATGAGCCGTCTAAGAATTAGCCCTATGAAAAACCAGGAAAACCCACAATTCTAACTTTTCCTCACATCATTCAACACTCAGCTGGGCTATACTTAGCATCGCGTCGCTGCCTCGGACAGCAACCAGGCCACATTTTCTCGGAGGGCCGTGTTCTCCCGAAGCACCGCCACACGCGATGCGCAGGACTTGCCGGAGTCCACCTTTGATCATGGCTGAGGGTCTAACCCTGCAGAGGCACTGCCAGACACTGCCAGGCCCAATCTTTTTTTTGTCTGCCAAAAAAATAGGATTGATAACGGTCAGTCTCAAGGCCTTTTTGGTGGTTTCAAACCCCGAAACAGGACTATATGGTCACTTGGGGCCCTGGTATGGAAACCAAATCATTGAAACCAACAACCAGGGTCGCAAGCTTTGGAGAGTCAAACCCACCTAAGGGTTTCATGAACAGCTCAGCAAGCGTCGCTTCTGGAAAACATTGCGCGATGTTCCCCTGGGTAAGGTTAGTAAGTGGGGACATAATCATAGCAATCAGCAATCTATACCGAATGATAGTTAGCATCTTCCCACGTCCCCAAGTTCTCTAGTTCTCTCCCCTTCTGCAACCGCCAAAAGCCTGCACCTTGCAGTCTTCGGCGAGCCTAAAAGGTCTGCAGCAGATCTTGCAGGACTCCCAATAGACTTCTTTGATGGCAGATCTGCTGCAGGAGTCTATACACGTTGGTACATAACAGTCATGTGATGCTATAATGGCTATAATTCTACACGTATGCATATATAATTAAACATCATGTAATATATACTTATGTATGTAATTTAATTACATACATAAGTATATATTATATGATGTTTATAATATACAGCATATATATATACATATATACACTTATGTATACTTATGTATGTAATTATATGCATACGTCTATAATTATAGCAATACGGGAGACAACAAATAGACCCTAGATTGCGAATGATTGTACTGAGCTTCCAGCATTGTGACATCTTCCAATCTCTGCCTCCTGACGATGCTGCAGCCAATTCTTCACAAGGGAATGGTTGGTTTAATGTCAACACCGGATGAAAGTTAACCCTAGTTAATTACTTGAAAATCTGGTGGACCTCCCTCCCCCAAAAAAAGTCATAACCTGCTACTAAAATGGTACCCCCGTTAAACAGCCCAAGGGTGAACAAACAGCCTCCAGATCCTAACAAATACTACCTTTACTAATGTGGGTAAAGCAATAATAAACCCTCCCCGATTTTACCACTTTTATGGGAAAAACCATCAATCCATATGCATTATTATTGGTTTACTAACATTGCTGATGATCCTTCATACCAGGCTTGACAACCGATTCACCTCACCCCCACTGCTGCTGTCTGAGTTCTTCACATCTTCCCCACGGCTGTTGCGAGGTGCCTGGCCTCATGAAAAGGGAAAGCCGGGCCGGCCCCCATTTTGGGCCTTGGAAAAGATCCATGGTTGGAAAATCATCGATGTGTAAAAACTAGATGATGAAGTTAAACAATGTTAAACAATGTTAAACATCTATGTTGGGGATAATCACCGCATGTTAATCTTATATCATCTCCAGATGTGGGAAATCATCCATGTTTTTTAGAAACATCATCTCCCCTTCAGGAACTTGATCTTGAAAATCAACGAACATCCAGTTTTGATCAAAATTAAGGACGCTTGGCGCCCCATATTGATGGTGTGGTGTGTGGTGCGTGCATGTTGAGATGACCAAACCGTGTCCCCGTTTTGGGTCAAACATGTGACCTCTTTCAAACCCCAATTCAGATCATTCAGAACTTCTTCATAGTTCCTTCTCCAGAATGCTTAGCATCTTTCTGCGGCTTTTTCAAAAGCGCTGCATTGAATTCCGCACTGTCTTTTGCGAATTGTGCATTTTTTTGGTTTCACTCTACAAGTTACAAGCTCTGGGGAAACCTTAGGACTCCACCAAGAGGCATGGTTCACTGCCGGCAGATCAGGGTTCCTCAGGTACCTTGGGTTTGTCCCTGGGCACCTTGGTATCGCCGTCCATGTTCGCACTCATCACCATCCTTGAGACATCCATCAGTTCCTTGCCGTGAATCCGACCATGATCCTTCGCATTGGCCTTGGTCATCCTCGGTGCTCAAACAACGGGTACGGCTATCGTTCCACAGGGATCCGGTGGTATGGAACGAGTGAGTTATGTTTAAGATGCTTGATCTGGACCTGAGAAGGTCTACTAAAGTGGCCTGGTAGAAGTACAGCATGTCATTCTTAGGTATGGATCGTGGGTATGGATCAGGGCTATTGATAGCATGTGGGTCCAGGGTATGGATCCAGGCCTTACATTGCGAGCCGCGGCCATATTGTGACACCAGGCAGCCACGTATCTGTTGAAGTTTATGGCTTGAAAGACCCGCAAGAATCACGTCTTCTCCAAAAAAGTCAGAGAAATAGATTGATACATTATGATTATGATACATTCAAGTCTAGCCAGGCATCTTCTCCTTGAGCAAAGCAGCAATATCATCCTCCTCCATATCCAACACAGATCTTAAAGCTATGGCCATCTCGTGCTCGTACTTCCTTCGATTTGCTGATCTCCAAGGGTCAATTCTAACTTTAGAAAAATAATTGTCCCCCCTTTCTGGTGGATTAACCAATGGGGAAAATGAGAAAACTCTGAAAGAACATCAGCAAATCCAGGTTTCTCGGGATGTGCACTAAACATGACCAAGGTCAACATGGCAGTACTCCTTCCAGGCACCTTGTCACATCCAGCCACGGCAGCATTGGCCAAGAAGCGCAAATTGCAAATGCCGATGCCGGTCTCACTGACTGCATTGATCAAGGCGTCTAAGTCGAAATCAGGGGCCGAGTCTTTCAAAGAAGCCTGGCATCATGTAGATTAAGAATTTGTGTGGCGGATAACTGGATCACCCAAACATGAACAAACAGACTCCTTGGATCTTTTTGGATCTATTTAACATATCATGAGGTCAGAATTCCTCCTCAACTCTTGGGATATAAAATTTGGTCCCAATGCCACTCTGGACCAACCCCCAACCTCACAAACATCGAACAAGGCATCCACTTCATCACCTGTGAGGCGGCAATCCTTTACGCCAGCCAGGTCAGCATTCATGAAGGCTTCCAACATCATCTGCAGGAGTTCAGCACAGCTGACGGTATGAAGCTCTTGCAAGGTGTCCTCGAACTGCTGCAAGTTCTCCCCCATCTTCTGCTGAACTGCTTCCAACTTCTGCCTAACACCACTCAATTCATCCAATTGAGACGCCAGCATCTCATTTTTGGTCCGAAAGATCTCATTTTGCTTCGCCATAGCTGAGACCTCCTGTTCCAAGCCTTCATGCGCATAGGCGGCCCCTGCTGAGACAACGGCTCCAAAGCACAGCAGCAGGGCGGCGAAAGTGGCAAAGCCATCGGGTTGGCCGCCAATGATGGGCACCCCATTGAAGGGCTGCCCTGTGGCCGCCATGATACCCAAAAACACCGCCAGCACCGACATCAGCAGGAAGGCATAGGTCACCAACCGGAAGAAGCCAAAGGGACCCAACCAGCCACCAGGAGGACTTGGAAGGCCACATAGTTCAACGACTTTGAAGCTGAAGGCTGCCAAACCTGCCATGGAACAATCCATCTTAGGCATTTCCTTGGCAGCTGTGCTTGGTGCAGCTGCTGCAGCTGGCGCAGCTGCCACCAGTGGTGCATCTGTCCTGTCTGTTGCAGGCGCAGGTTCCACTGGGGCAAGGGGTGCAGGTGGGGAGCGAGTGGTGTCCCTCATGGGCTTCATGGCATCACAAACTGCGTGAATCTTTGGTGTAAAGCGTCGGCAAGAAACGGGTTCTGAAATCAGGATTTAATCTGAGTGGTTCATGCCCTTTTGTTCCAGTTGGCCATGCTTTGCCATGAAATGGTTTAAGGAGGTCTGTTTCATGTGTGACAAACTTTTTTCAGGCTCTTCCGATGAAAAAAAATACCATGACAGTGCTGGAAAATGAAACGCATTCCTCATCATGCCTTGAACAGGAGCCTTGAGCCAGGATGGGCAGGTTGACAGGTTTGACCATGTGCTCGTATCTGGATGTACGTATATATACATATATATATATCAATTATATATATATATATAATATATACATACAGTACACGGAGGTTCAAAAAATGGGGGTACCCCCAAATCATCCATTTGAAATGGATTATCCATTGTAAACCATCCAGCTATTGGGGCAACCCCATGGAAAGCCCCATATCCGTGGGGTCGGTCGAGGTCACCCCAGGACTGTCCGCAACTGCCTCAGCAGCCAGGTCTGCTGCAAGTTCGTGGCTTGCCAAGTCCATGGCGACGGCTATCAGCAGCTATCACGTGATTTTTTAGTATGGAATATGCTGCAATATGATCAATATGTCACTAATGGGGGGTTCAATAGTGATAACTATTGCTAGGAATGGGGGGTTGAGTCATCGGGGATCCCCCAGTCGTCACCATGGGACAATTCCAAGGGGGATCATATTTTGCTGAAAAAACTACGGTTGGGATATTGCACCCAATTCAACTTACTTGGGATCAAGACCGCAGGAGCTACAGGAAAAATAGCCCGGCAAAGATCATTGGTAAGTCAAAAGAGTCCGATGAAGCAAGTGACCAAGGAGAAAGCTGAATCAACCTATCACTGAAGATCTGGTGCGGCTCATCATCTAGTGCTTCCTCATCTTATTCCTGACTGACGCTTCTTTCCGGTCACATTCCATACAGAACGGAGACAACATGTTTGTCTCTTGTCAAATGTTGTAGATGAATGTGCCTGGGGCTCCTGATGAATGTGTATTGCGATCCTTGCTTAGGATATACGTGAGAAGTCAAGACGAATGTGTCAAATGCTTCTGTGCCAAAGCTGCGACCACCGGACCGACATCACGACGACCACCATTCGCTTTTTGGCAAACAGGGATCATGGATTATGATGATCCCCAACTATAATCCCCCCAAAAAATTCAACGTCACGCCCAAAAAAAAACGATTGTTTCCTAGAAGATAAAACGCCTATTTAATGCCTATTTGGGACCATAGAACAGGAATGTTGATGTTTTTAATTACGGGATTCGCAGCAGGACATCAGCAGAAAAAACGGCTGCCGACAAACTTCAAGGCACCTGGACCTCGAAGTAATAGCGACCGGCCTTTTACTTTAAAGCGTAAAAGGACAGACACCGGTGGATCCGTTGGGTGACAATGGTGACATTGAAATTCCATAAAGATGTTTATGTATTATAAGGATGTTAGAAGGCACCACGGCACCACAGAATTTCTGGATATAAAATCCGGAGTAAATGTATAGCTGTCTGGATCGGTAAACTGTGGAGTTTTCAAAGGTGTTCCCATTTTGGTCATGTGGTTTTGAAATTTCCATATTCTATCTTCTCCAGGATGACTGAGTCGAGGTAGTGCATGACCATTTCAAGTTCCAAAATGTCATGATGAGTTATGCTCGTCAGATCTCGTCAGTGTTGCAAGATGTAACAATTTTATAGGCGGGGTTTATTGGTTCAGGCGTAACAAGATTTGGGATTGGGCTACCCCAAAATCCCATGATCATTACAGAATAAAAACTAGGTCAAAAAGAGAACGTGGCCTCCACATTTCTGGGCAACACTAGTCCAGCCTGGCACTTCAGAGATTCTTACCTTATAAAATATGGTGTTGGATCAAAACACAAGTTCTATTCCTACCTTGACAGTTGCAATTCAGTAGCCATTTATCACTATTTGGGGGAACCACCACAATTAATCAACCAGGGTTTATAAATCCGGGGTTGACATTACGACAGTGACCATAGTGGGCTTGAAACTGCTGCTCTCCGCACCGTTGAACGGTGCCTTTGCTCCCGTATTGGCCCGAATTGCTGAGCGCAAATGCCTCGAAAAGGCGGGCCAAACCGGGTGCACATCTGGGAGTTACCCCTCAAAATCCACCAAAATGGCTGGAACATGCTAGAAAGCATTTTCTACAGCAAAGATCCTGTCAACAATCGCAGGAATAAAAGACACACAGAAATGGACGTTGGAGCGGCCAAAAATGGGGATCCAATAAACACGGTGGAATCAACCAGTTGAAAAAGTGCGGATCTATGGGAATCGACAATGGTTTAGACGTGGAATTCTGCATCCTGCCTGAAAAGGCCTTGAGACAGCGAGGACACCCGCCTCCAAGATAAATTCACGGATTTCGCTTGGGTTGCTGATGGTTGCTGGGTTTGTCTGAACATGTTAGTTAGGAAAACATAGGGAAACATAGGAAAACCATGTTCTCATCATCATGTTCCCTCTTGAAATTGCAATTTGATGCGACCCCATTTTCAGGACACACCCATATGACTTCACATGGCAGTGGCAGAGCGAGACTCGAGACTCTCTTTTCAGGTGGCTCCACCGCGTCAATCATTGATTGAATTTCCTCCTGCAGAAACATAGGTGTAAATGAAACTGGTACTCCCCTGGAACTGAGCGATGAAAACTCGAGAAACTGAGCTCTTTGATGGGAAATCCAGTATTGAAAATGTATCAAACATGGACCGTACACCTTGATCTTCTTTGCATATCTATCTACTCGCTTCACGCTTAAATCAAAATATTGTGGCTGCCGATGCCAGCACGATCGAGATCGCTATCATGCAGGCAGAACAACATTCAAGATCCTTGTTTGGGATGATTTGGGGAACTGGAGTGAGCGAAAGCAAAAGGATGAACTTGCTAGGATGAACTTGCTAAGTGTCTATCTATCCATCTATCATGTTTCTTGTTTTTCTGTTTATGTATCAAATACGCAATTGTTAATGAACTGTGCACTACTGAGTCTCCATCCATATTTTACACTTACTAATTTGTGGTCATCAAACATGGCAATGGAAAATCCACCATCTACAAATGTTTTTAGATTATATACCTTTCAAAGATTGGACTTTCCATAGCTATGCTAAATTACCAGAGGGTATATATAGATATGTATTCATATATATATTATTATATTAAATATATAGTATGGCATAAAATATTATATTATAAATTATGTTATATTAGGTTATATCATGTTATATTATATTATATCACATAGTATTATTTTATGTTATATCATGTTATATTATAGTATATCAGGCTATATTATACTATATATCAAATTGTATTATATATTTTATTATATTATATTACATTATGTTAAATAATGTTATATCATGTCATCATGTTATATTATATCATATTATCTATTATATATCATATCATGTTATATCATGTTATATCATGTTATATCATGTTATATCATGTTATATCATATTATATCATATTATATCATATTAAATCATATTAAATCATATTATATCATATTATATCATATTATATCATATTATATATTATATATTATAGATTAAATATTATATATTATATATTATACATTATATATTATATATTATATTATATCAGATTATATAAACTTATCATCTCATATTATATCATGGTATATCATGCTATATTATATTATATTATGTTATATTATGTTTTGTTATATCATGTTATATTATAATGTTATGTTATATCATGTTTTATTATATTATATTATATTCTAATATATTATATTATATTAAATCATATTAAATCATAATATATATTATAGTTTACTATAATATACCAACAAATCTTATATCATATCATATTATACCATATCATATCAAAGCATAGTATGTCATATCATGTTAAATTCTATTATATTATATTATATTATACTATAACATGTATATATATTATATATATTCTATGGGCCCGTTCCTTAACTTTGTCCCCACTTGGTGCTCCTGCGACAGTGGTCGCACACTGCCAGGCTCACTCCTTGGCGAAACATCGGCGGATCACTGCGACCAACAGCCCTGTGCCTTGCGCCTTGCTGTGTTGCATACTCGATCTTAACACTAGATGTCTATATATATACATGTTTTTAGGTATATATTATATACTGTATATATATATACATAATACTATATGTTTATTATATATATATGTGTATCACGTGACATATGTATATGATATACTGTCATATACATACCATTACATTCGTATATTATACACATATTCATATAAATTATTAGAAGTACATGTGGATTCATGTTTCGTATCTAAAGACATGATGACTGAATTTGCTCTTGCACCAACTCAGCGCCAAACATCTCTTTGAGGCTCAGCGGGCCCCAGCGCATGCAGCAGATTTCTCGGGGCTGAAGTTCGACCTTTGAAGCACCAGTAACTCTCACGACTTCAAGATTCAGCTGGATGGTTTAAGATATAGGACGGAAAAAAAAACCATTGAAATGGATGATTCGCAAGAACATGATGGTTTCCAGAAATTGGGAGGGATCCCTAAGAGAATCAACTTCCACAGCTTTTTCCATCAAAAACCATCCCTTTAAAGGGGTACCACCATTTATGAACCCCCATATATATGGTCCCGTCCTCCGACTCTCCACCCACCCCCCCAATGGGTTGGGTCCCCAGGTAGCACCCCCCCTTCCCTTCTATTTGCAAGCTATTGGCAGCATTTCTGAGGTCCAGCTTCGTATTTGCTAGGTCTTTGCAGCATTTCTGACTACCAGCCTCGCATTTACTAGGTACATGCTACCTTTTAGGCGACCTACGTAGCACACATACTCCCTCAAAGTACCTACGTGCTACCTATAGACATATTTATATATATATACACATGTGCTATGTATCTACTTCCTATTTACTACCTGTGTACTCTGACAACACTACATGTGTTTAACATATACCGTACCTACCATACATTCCAATGATGCCATGCATACCATACCTATCATACCTATCATACCACACATATGAAAAATATTCACCCCGCTTCGCGTGGGGTGGCCGCCCACACCGCAGGTTTATTTCCGTCCGTGAGAGGGGCTAAGGGTGGTTTTCCCCCGTGGGGGCTCCCCAAGCTAAGAATTTTCACTTTCCCCCCCCCGTGGAGGCTCCCCAAGCTAGGGAATTTTCACTTTTCCCCCCCGTGGGGGCTCCCCAAGCTAGGGAATTTTCACTTTTCCCCCCCGTGGGCCCGTGGGGGCTTCCCAAGCTAGGGAATTTTCACTTTTCCCCGCCGTGACAGCTTCCCAAGCTATGGAATTTCCACTTTTCCCTCCCTTGGAGGCTCTCCAAGCTGCGGAATTTCAAATAGCTAGACAACAACGCCTAGATAGTCCCCCAAATCCCGTGTTCTTTGAATGTGTTTCCATGTTTTTGCAATGGTTTCCTTCAAAGCACGGTACTTTACACTTTTGTCGCCATAAAACCGGTCGAAAACATCATGTTCGACAATGCTTCCAATTCCCTTATCTCCCCAACCGTTGAAAATACCGCTATTTACAGTGTTTTCTTCAATTTTTCCATGTGCCAATGCCGGTAGCCAACTCCAACATATATATAAGAAATCCTTCCAAAACATTGTTTTTGACAGTGTTTTTCCAATGTTTCCAGTCAAACAGACGGTAATTTACACGTTTTTTGCCATAAAGGCAGTAAATCCTTCCAAAACATTGCTTTTGACAGTGTTTTTGTAATGTTTCCAGTCAAGCATACGGTAATTTACACGTTTTTTGCTATAACGTCAGTCCAAAACACTTGTTTTTGCAGTGTTTTCAATGCTCTGGCATCCAAAAACCCTGCAAAATCTTGCTATGTACAATGTTTTTTTCATTTTTGGCCGTTTTTCCATTGCCGGAAAGCTACCAAAATGACCCAAAATTCCATTTCAATACCCTCTTGCGCTCAGACACCCAAAAATCCTCGAAAAATGTCGAAAACACCACCGTATTCTGGTCTCGGTGCGAAACCGTTTTTGGGCCCCCCCCAGCTAAAGCTGATATAGCGACTGCTATATTAACAAATGTCATTGAGCATTTAGTGTTGCTGTTTTGCCCCCCAATAAGCACGCCTTCACCGCCAAAGCGGTGTGGGCGGAATTACCAGGCCTTCCATACATACAATACCAAACATCCATGCCATACATACCATACCTACCTTACATAGGAAACATTCCATACCCATCATAGCAACCATACATAGCATACCTATCATACCTATCATACCTATCATACATACCATACATTTGAAACATAATTACCACGCCTACCATACATACAATACCAAACATACATGCCATACATACCATACCTACCTTACATAGGAATCATTCCATACCCATCATAGCAACCATACATACCATACAGGCCATACATACTGTCATATCAAGCATGCCATACCCAACACACTTACATACCATACCTACCATCCATACAATACCAACCAATCATGCCATACATACCATAACTTGCATACATACCAAACATACCAGACCGACCATACACATCATACATACCCAACATACCATACCACACCCCCACCACACCACAGGGGGGCACCACACCACAGGGGGGGGAGGGGGAAGATCTCATATGGGGGCAGTATATGGGACCCATCCCATGGGGTGGGGGAGGGGGGGGTGGCAGGGCCTGCTGCATATATACTGCTTGGTGGTTTGGATTATCATCCCAAAATGTATGGTTGATAATTAAAAACATGTCGATCAATTAATCAAACATGGCTAGCTGGGAAATCTCCTGCAGATGATTTTCCATTGCCATGTTTGATTACCAGAGGGTTTGTCGTGATATGTCGTGATGATTTTAAAAAAAATGAAAGCATGAATTTCATGGCCACACCGTGGCAAACCCATCAAAATGCCTCTCTACACGCGAGATGTATGCTCTGACAGGAGAAAAAATGAAGGAGTATCAACCAGAAACGCTGGGTATGCTGTGAAATTCATGTGAAAGATCTGGTATCCCATTTCTAGGACTCTACCCAAGGACCCGGCAAACGAAAGCGCATGACGGATGCTTTGCGCCGTCCCCCCGCAGACCACCATCAGCAGCATTGGCAGCAGCTCCTTTGGCCGCACGGGTGCCTTCCTGGCAACGCACCAAACAGATCAACTCAGATCTCAATCGCTTCACTCTGTGGTGCAAAAATTGGCGATCACTCCCAAAATATCCCAAAATGTTGTAATTATCAATGTATCAAATCATGTTTCCCCAAAATTGCTGGTTGATCATCGCAGCATATCCCAGTTCTACAGCTAATTTGTGCTCATGGGGGCACCCCAGCGCCTGACGGGGAGGGTGGGCCACCGCGCGATAGTAGAGTCCATCAGGGCGCCCAAATCATCCGGCAGAGGTGCTAATTCCTCTGGCACTTGGATCCATGGACCGATTTTTTTTGGGGGAGATATAGAAAGGACAGGAATTGTAGTTGTAAATGTAAGCACAAAATACGTACATTTGGGGAGGGTCCTCTCAAAAACTGTCCCTTCAACCAATTCAGGGCAATCAAAGAATTGAATGTTACACAGGCATTGATCACCCCACTACAACTTGATGTACGGTAATTCTTGTGAAGCGTGCAAGTCATGTATTTGAGTACAAAAGGGAGCACTAAAAACTTGCAAGTACTGGTTGCAAATTCAGGGTTGGAGCTGTGCAACTGGCAAATACTACCATCTGGTTATGACTAACAGTTCGCCATGGAAAATCACCATTACCATTTTTAAGTTCGGTAAACCATCTATTTCTATGGGCCATGGCTTAACCATGGCGAACTGTTAGTCATAACCAGCTGTCCATGAGAACTCCTAGTCCAACATCCTGAATCTAAAAATATGAGCTGTCAACTTGGTAAAGTTGATGTACATGAAGAATGACCCAAGTCCATGGCTTGTAGGTAGCCACCAAGGTAAACAGCCACAGTTTGCGAACTGGAAAATCACCATGTTATAGCTGGATAAGTCATGATAAGTCAACTATTTCGACTGGGCCATTTTCCATAGCAAACTGTGGCTAGACTTACCAGAGGGTCAATGTCCATGGCTTTGCCCATCAACCAGGAGGATAATATCACCCAGTCAGCACGCCACGTCTCTGGTGTTTCCACGTCTTCGCCGCAATCTTCTTCCGTGATGTCCTGGAGAAATGAGGTGCGAATCATTGGGCTTCCCAAATTGGGTCACAGGTTCTTGACCTTCAACTGTGATCACATGCTACACAAGTACAGATGTCACACATATATATATATATATTGTATATCATATATATATACAGTATATACATTTATTTATTTATTTACTTATCTATTTATTTATTTATTTATTTATTTTAAACATGATCACGAATATTATCATGTAGAAGTCTCCACATCATTTTTCGAGTTTCTTCCGGACTTCCAGGCCTGAATGACCAAAGGCTCAGCCTCGGCCTCGTAAGGAACTCTGGATTCGAGGAGGGCAAGCTGGAAAGCGCTCGGACGCTCTTTCAGCCTGCCAGACCCGACCCCATCAAATGATGGCCAATTTGTGAGGGAAATATATGAGAAAATGATGATTAACCATTAATATTAACCATTATTAACCATCATTAACCATATAATAACCATTATTATCAACCATCATTAACCATATAAAATGATGATTTTTAGGGTATTGGACATTAGGCAGGCACAAAATTCAAATCCCTCCTGAATCTTAGCCAAAACTAGCGGGCACAACATTCCTCACAGGGCACTCAACCCTGGCATGCGTCCTAATGAGCTCTGTGCCAACCTAACTTACCCACTCTCCACAAACCCCAGTCTACTTGAGCTCTTGGCATCTCCATATGTTGTTTTGCATGTTTTTATATGTTTTTGCATATCTTTCCTGTCAGGTACTTCCCTGAAATCTTTGCTTCAACCCAAGCCATCAAACGTTTCCCCTACCTGATCATGAAGGTGCTTGGCAGCAAAACATCTGGCTTACGGCCTCGTCACAGGCATCGATGAAAGCAGAAACTATGTGGCCAACAAGACTGGGGATGTATGACTGTTAACTATCTGTTAACTCAATATTAAGAGGCCTCTCAGTTTATTCATGTCATAGGGAAGTACCAAATTTCATAGTCGGATTTTATCATAATTCAGCACAATTTGGGTGGTAACCCCCCAATCAATAGTCGAGGACATTAAACCCCATCTGTCATCCATCTTGGATCATCTTGGACCGTGAACCGCCCCTATTTTTGTTGCTTCAACCCCCTATTTCTGTCTGCCAAACTACAGTTTTTTATCCCAGTCCTTCATTCTCAAATCCCAATCTTATCAATCTTCTCTCTGGTTAAATCTATTTGTTTTTTTCCTTACAATATATATATAAATAAATATAAATCCCCTTGTTTTGAATTCAAACAAGCAACACACATGATACTAGTCGAACACGTACACGTACTCACTCTGTAACACATTCAGATTCAAAAACGTTTAAAAACATATGTTGTTCAACAATATATGAATATAAAAAATCAACGGAATTAAAATCAATTAAATGTTCACGTTTATGTTATCGTTTTGATGGTTGAATTCGATGTTTGGCTGTTTCTTTGCACGGCCTCCAAGCTTCCGCAGCGCAGGTATGTTGCTTAAGAGCAGCAAGCCCGAAGAGGCGAGGTCTACTGGACCCAGGGGTCGCGCCACAAGCGAGGTCTGGGGCCTCGGGCGTTGCCACCGAAATCAAGAAACTGATTTACTCCTGACATCTCCTGAAAGATAGGCAGAAAATAAGGGTTTCACTGGTTTCACTCCTAATCCTACAATGTGGGGCCCCCAAGATAGCTAAGTTGGTTTATAACTACAGTAACTAGGGTTTATAGTAGTTATAACCATAGTTAGATGGGGTTATAAACCAACTTATAACTAGGGCCCACATTGTATGTTTTAGGATTTACTGAGCTACTATGATTTACTCCTATACTCCTAAGACATAGGATGTAAAAGAATCCCCCGAGCTAAGATAAACCTTGAGATAAATTATAATTAAAGTAATCTCTCAACCCCCCGTGTTTGGCAGGGTCTATGTTAGTTGTGGGGGGATAGTGCAAAAGCAATCATGATGGGAATGCTAAGGGATATGTGAGCAATGTGATGGATTTGATATGATTCAATCAACAGAAATGGAGAGATATAGCAATAATGCGGTTGTCGGAAAATATTGAACATGGGGTACACACAAAAATTGTAATCTGATATCACTGGAAAATGATCATAGACCGGATCTGGAGGTACAAGTTTTTTTTAAGCAATCAAAAGAAGGAGAAAGCAATCTTCCAACATATCATGAAAATGAACGAAGAGACAATTCCCAAACGCTTTTTTTCAGCATTTTGATTGCAAATACCAGGCCGGAAACGAGTAGAGTTCAGTCTGCGGCCGGGATACAACAGCTCTTGATATGTTGGCCGCTTCAAAGGATCACCCTCTGTGAGAGCATAGCCTGTGGACAAAGCCGTCAGAGAGCCGTAACCGCACAGATATGTTTTGTGGGCAACATCTTGTAACCATGAAAGAAGCCTTTCTCTCAAGATCTCCCAACACACTTTTCCAGGTCAAGTCCCACTTTTCCGCATGACCTGCGGGCTTGTGAGCCACAAAGGCCATTCGACTGAGCTCCGCCAAGGGGTGGCCGTTCAGAGTGATCCGATGGTAGTCCTGCGAAAAGGAGCGGATCCATTTGGGGCGATTTCTTGGTGACTTCGTGGGGAATCCATCACGGGGAATCCATGGTGATAAGTCATCTGAAAATTCGAACCACATTTTAAAATATGGGGATGGGTCAAAACCCTGGTACCTAGTGAACCCCAAAATAGCTGGTAAATGGATGTTCATCCCACTAAAAATATGTATCTATAGGTATTGACCCATACCCATATCTCAGCACATGATTTCCTCAAAGTTATGATGAGATTCTGTGGGATTCTGGAGCCATCGAAATGTATGGACTGTATGGCCAAGTTTGTCTCATACCATCCCTACCCTCCCCAGCACAGCCGAGCACCTCAATCCATCTGTTGGTCTTCTGAATCTTTCCATCCACCATCACCCGCGACCTGGCTGCGACACAGTGCCGGGGGCTTGCACTCTGGTTACTGGTTGATTCGTTGATCTAGATCCACAATGATCCACATCTATTACATGGGTATGGGTCAATACCTTTAGATACATGTTTAGTGGGATGAACATCCATTTACCAGCTATTTTGGGGTTCACTAGGTACCAGAGTTTTGACCCATCCCCACATCTATGTTTGAGCGCAGTAAACCCAAATGTGATGGTTAAAAAAAACAGTCTTCCAGTGTTTGGTGAATTCCCCATGATAGCTTGCTGCAACAACGATCTTTTCAGTCCCCATCGTCATCACCTCCTCACTGCATCCTGCATGGCACCTCTGTATGAAGGCCAAGGCATCCTGGGCATCAAGGCCCAGCACGGACATCAGTCGTTGATGCAAGCGCTGAGGACCATGTAGATTTTGTAAACCTTGCGTGGCTGAGCAGCTCTGAAAAGTTTGGGGAAAATGCCAACATCCAGTGGGTTGCCATAATTTTCCATAAAAAATACTATATAGTTAATTTATATATATAATGGTATTTTTTGGGGGATATACCTCAATTTTTAGACACATGTATATTTTTCGAACCCACGAAGTCATATCGAAGTCTCTTAGGGGGATGGAGAACCTGAAAGGGACAAAAACTATATGGAAAAAAGACAAACAAAAACACATCATTCAGAAATTTCGATGTTCCGATTTTTTTCGCACTGACAATCCACAACGAGGCTAGCTGGATGTAGACACTCTGCCGATCCCCGCGCCTTCAGGTGCCTTGAGAGGCGGGCTCGCTGCCGGAGCCCCAAGAAAAGCTGCCGGAGGTAAGGGTCTCCTTTGAGAATCAGGAGCTATGGAAAAAATCAGGGAACAACCATGGAAAAGCATGCAAAATCCATGCTAAAATCATGGATCCGCCATTTTTCTTCTGAAGTTTCATCCAATCCAACAAGATTCTTACACCAAAAGTTCAGGGGGGAAGGACAACAAAAAACCACGCTCAAAGTCAACATCCATCCATGAATTCAATAAAAAGAAGAAACATCTGCCAAAAAATCCAAAAGTATTCAAAAATCCACCAAACATACAGTATCAAACATATTCAAACATCCAGCAACCATATTCAAAAAAACAGCAACAAATTGCCAAGTAGCTGGATCCCCCAAGTGGGGTGCCACACCAGGGAGCCTTGTTCGGGCCATCGCGCTCGATTCAGGCGTGTCCAGGTGAGTTTGTGCACTCCACGGTAGGGCCTCAGGAGGAAGGTTTGGGGAAGGTTGGAGGAGGTGAAACAAATGTGAAAAGGCGATAGAGAGTGAAGGATGAACACATTCTAAACTTGAAAAATCCTGAAAAATCAACCAACAAAGATGAGCGCGTAGAGAGGTATGATAAAGGCAGGGCTATCTCATAGAATCATAGAAGGATATAGCAGGCAAATGGTGAGCATGGCAGCATGACCCCAAAAGAGTACCAAGGACCCACTGCTTCGATCAAAGTTAGTCATTTTTTGGTATTCAAGCACTGAATTTTGGGTTCAATCATTCTGCGCCAGGGCAACTAGAAACGCAGAAATCTTCGAAGATGAGGGCATCACCAAGACTAGTGAGTGGCAAACTTGGGGGCATCCAACCTTGAGTCATGGAACCATTTAGTATCATCTTCATTTGATGCCCTTCTTCTGCGCAATGCAATTCACGAGACCAAACACTTCCAAATGAATCCATAGACATCTATGGCGGGGGCAGCAGGCACGGAAGACTTTTAGTGTTGTTTAAGAAATTTAAGAAGCTTTTACTATGAATAGCGGGCAAATTTACTTGTTCATTTTCATGCCATGTGCACATTAGGGTCGTCCCCTATCGGTAGAGAGGATTTCTGCGTTCTCAGACTTTGAGGCAACTCATGCAAAGCAGGGGTATTGGTATAGGGTCGTCCTCTATCGGTAGTGAAGGTTTTTGTACAGCCCTCAGCAAGGCCAAGGCGAAGCAAGACTAAATTAGTATTGCAATAACTTTGTTTAGTTTTGTTTAGATTTCCTTCGTTTTGGTTTTGTTTGATTCATTCCTTGTTTTGTTTGAAGATATCTAGTGTTTAGTGATCTTTTCAAGATGAAAATTGGATCCAGGGGCTTGGGAGAACTGCTTTTTTTCGGACCGTCGTGGCGTCTGATTGGAACTTGTAAAGGCCTGATTGGAACATATTGGAACATCATGGGGCCTATCAAAATCCCGAAACCCTACACAAACCCTTTGTTTTCCCCTCGGTTTGCCAAGCGCTTGCATGGATCTTTGATGGGACTTCCATGGGCTGTTGATGACAATTGTTATTGGCCTCAGCCCTTGTGGATATGGAAGTCATCGGACCAAAAAATGCCGGGGTAGGACCAGCGGATGATCGGCTCACACCCAGCAAGGTAACCAGCGGCATCCGAGTCGCGAGGTGTCCCATCGGCGTTGACATAGCCGGGCGAGAAGCAGGGGTGGCGCCCACGTCATGGCGTCATGGCGTCGCGCCAGTCACATGTTGCGCTGCTGATACGTGGAAGGGCTGTGGGTATGACCCAAAGGAAGCCAAGATGTTTCTCTACATTTGGAGTTGGGACATGTTGGGACAAAGTCACAACAATTCCACAACAAAAATAGCAAGAAATACGTTGGCCGTGGCCTGGGCCTGGCTCTTCGTCCGTGTCTGAAAAAAAATGGAAGAGTCAAGGTCTGCTTAGAATCTTAGAAAATGACTTAGAGCCAAGTCCTTTGATTTGGCAAAGCTGCCTCTATGTGGGGTGTGGAAGAATTCCAGCAATTGCTGGATACTAAGTTGGCAAGCAATGTCAAGCTCGGATTAGACACCCCTCACCTGTTTAGTTGGGGTGGTGCCTTCAATCAAAAATCTGGGGTTGACACTTGACACTGCTCAATAAATCTCCACAAGCACAGTTGGCAAGCCAAACCTGCAGCAACTCCCTTGTAGCTTGCAGCTTAAATTACTGCAATTCCATATAAATCCCACAAACACCATCCACAATGACTCACCAGAAATAGGTGCTATACATTCACATGTATAATATTGTATAATCATGTATAATGCATCCATCATTGAAATATTGAAGGTATTTGAAGGTGGCATTGAGTTTACCCTCTGGTTGTTCAGCTCCATGGAACATGTCCACCCTCGCACCCGGAGGAAGCGATCACGTCCAAGGTCGCATCTAAGGAGTTCAGTCCAACCTGCCGGGGGTTCGCTTTTGGACCATGCTTTGGATGGGGAAACTCCGCGGTAAACCCTCACAATTCACCAACTTTGCAATTGCCAAATTGCCAAATTGCCAATCAGGCAGATGAATGTGAAGGAACACCGTTCGGAACACCGTTCGGAACTTGAATCCTTCGGAAACCACTTCACAAAAACTCACGGAAGAGAATCGTTGCAGGTCCCACCTCATAGCTCAGTCTTGGACCTGCAACAGGATTTCACAGGTCGGAGCAATCTCCCAGAGATGAGGAGATGAGTAGGGACTATAGATAGGATGTCATCCCATCAGATGATTTTCCAGTTTGGAGGTGGTCCTACCTTAATGCATCTCTACTTCGGGATTCCTAGATATGTATCTGAAAATGGGATCTATTACAATACAGGCGATTTCAAGAGGGATGGTTTAACCCACTGGATCTTGGGGCCTAAACTTTCAGACTTTGTGACCTGTCCATCACTCTCCCACCTGTCTCATCCCTTGACCTTGGACGGATTTGGACGGCAAATCATCGAACAAAAAACTGGCCGTGGCCACAGGCAGCAAAAGGGGCTGTAAGTTCCGCACGATGACCCCATGGCATGCAGCGGCTGAATGGGAGTGTTGATGGTACAAACGAAGGATCCTAGGGGGATCTACCGATTAAAGTTCAGAAGATATTGTTTTCTGTTTCCGCTCTGTTTGTTTCACAAAATCTCCTGCACAATTTGCGATTCTTCCTCTGACATTTTCCGACCAGCGGAATCGGAAAGGGTGAAATAATGTGAAATATGGCAAATCCATGCAAATCCCTTCAAACCATGCTGTTGCCCACAACTCATCTTCATCTTGGCCCAGGATAAGGTGCGATTTCGGAGGCAGTCGTCAGGCAGTCGTCAAGTCCGGATGGCTGATCCAAATCAACGTTTTTGATCGGGAAAAATGGTGGTTTTTCCCGAATTATTCGAAACTCTACTTAAACCATTTTTTTCTATAGGCGTTGGTAAATGTCCAAATTAAACATCACCCAACTACAAGTATTTGGGGATATGATCTCCAATAGATAAATTAGATAATAATTACTTGAAGGTGATGTTCAAAATCCCGATTTGCAACCCCGCTCTATAGTATACTAGTATCTGAATCTTCTGCAAAGTAGCAGCGATCGAGGCGCCGTTTTCTGAGCGCTTTTCCTCTGCTCGGTGACTTTCAATCCTCGAAGTCCTGGTGATGGCAGAACTCCAACGTGTGGCATGAGAATTGGGTACCCTCAAACACCAAAAACAAAATCTGGTGTATCATCATTTTCTGGATGAACATTGCCACGAAATGAGTTTGTCTGAAAATAGACCAGCCCCAAAGTTGATGGTTTATCACCAATTGTTCCTGTATTGTGTTCCTTTTTATATTGCCATTTGAGGGGTATACCTCATTTTCAGACAAACCCCAATGGGGGTAACACCGTCCTCACTCCCACTTTCGCCGCTATCGTCACTGACATGGTGAACTGTAGCCTGGAGAAGTTTCACTCAATGGGTTGGTTGAAGCAAAGATTGAAACCAGAAACATCCAGAAACTATCGCTTTTACCGTTCAAAATGATGGTACCCTTTATATAGTAAACTTATAGATGACTTAGCTACTAAAAATGGTGATTTTCCATAGCCATGTTTACCAGCGTAAGCCCTGTAAATGTTGCATGAAATTCAGAGAACCACAGGATTTGAGGTGTGTTGGGTCAACAACGCCAAAGATACGAATCTTGTCACCGCTCTGCCTGCTTTGCCACGTAGTCCACGACCTCTTCCATTTCCAGGCCTTACAGTACTCTTTATCGGTGGTTGATCCTGGGGGGGGTCCTCTCCCAAAGGGACGTGGCTGTCAATCAAAACCTCCCTGTGGTGCCACGATTTTCAAACCAAAAGCAAAGGTTGCCGCACTTCAGCAAGCCTCTGACAATATGACTGGCTAATGGAGATCTTTCCCATTTGAGGATTCCTTTGTCCCAGTCATCAAAGTCTCAATTAAGCAGCATACGTGCAATACCATGGCTCTACCAGCTGCTAATCTCGTTTACCCATGGGTTTGTCTGAAAATTTAGGGGAAAGTAAATTGGACGGTTGAAAAAATGATGTTCCAATGCAAAATGGCCGTTTTGAGGTACTACAGTTACTACAGTAAATATATCTCATTTGCATCGGCAGACCCCACATCCTCATGTCCTGCCTGCATAAGCCTCGCAGGACAAGGTCAACCTGGCAGGGTCACAGTTTTGTCGCCACGGCCGCCAGGGTTTGACGCCACGTTCCCCGACAGCCCACCATATCCCACCTGAGTCGGCACTTTCCAGCCAATGGCACTCGGAAGCGGATGTGGGCCACAAACTGGAGCCGGCTTCAGTCCGACACAACTTTCTTGCTGACCACAAGCATCTCGCAGCATCTCCCAACCTCTCTGGAGCCGTCTGCAATCCTTGAACACCTTGGGAGAAAATGAAATTAATATAAATTAATCAGCTGTCATGAGAGCAGTGACAAAACTTCTGGCAGCTGTTTGGCATTCTCGCTTCAAGCTTCGCCAGTTGAGCCTCCCAACACACTAACACCACTTTTGCCCCTGCCAGGCAGGCGAAAGGTTACCCACCAAGCTTCTCTGACCTGGCACATTCAACTGCAAGGCCTTGTTGAAAGCACCAGAGTTGACTCTTGGATTGAGGTACATCATCTATAAGTTTACTGGAGGTGTACCCCCATTTTGCCCAGTGAAGCCACCATTTTCCCCACATCGAGGCTGTCCAGAGCCTGAGCACTGGGAAAGTGCGGTGTATGTGCTGATCCAATGGCCTGCGGCAAACGCCATCCCCATCACCCAAGTGACCGACGCTTCCCCAACTTCGCCGAAGAAATACAAAGGATCCGAATTGAATCCATTTTGGGAGATGGAAAAACATGTCTATTATATATATATATCTTAATATATATATATATATTATATATATACATATATACATTCATACATATATAGCTTATCTCTTAAAACCTCTATACTGTCTGTATGACCCAAGCTGACCCCAAAGTTGCGTGCCAGACCTCGCCCTCAGGGAGATTGGCGCGCAGAAGCCTCGCCGATCTGCACCAACTAAGAGGCTGCTTTCTCTGAGATACCCTCTGGTAAACGTTTACATAGCTATGGAAAATCACCATTTTTAATGGGAAAACTCACTATAAATGGTCATTTTCAATAGCTATGTAACAAATTACCAGAGGGTAGCTTGAGGATGCTGCTTGAAAATCATCAGTTGATTTTCGCACAGATAGAAATCGAGTCACAGAAAAGGAAAACTATGGAAAACTGGTAAGCAAGTTCTGCAAGAGCCTCTGAATCAATTTGGGTTCGTCCAGGGGGTATACCAGTATGCCCCAATGTATATGGCCACCAAATGATGTGGAAAATGATGATTAACCATTGGAATCACCTTGGATTCTTGCGGTTCTCCTCCAAATTCTGAGACAAACGGCATCATCCCAATTACGCACTGATCATTTATTTCATAGCCATGTTTCACATGGCCCATGTGTAGAGTAGATGATTTACCTATCAAAAACGGTGATTTGTTCAATAACAATGGCACAAATCACCGGGTATCGACAACAGGAATCCCATCCTCAGCTCGAGCGTAGCTACGTCACCGATGCAAATCTCCTCTTCACCTTGTACAAAGACGCGAGAGGCCTGACATCGACGCGGAAGTGCCATTGCTAAGGAGATATCCCGAGTAAATTGACAAAAAAACACGGAAAAAACGTGAAAAAAACAATGGTTTTCATATGTATAAAATTACTGCAAAATAACCTCGAAAGGTGCAGAAATCATCTGAGATGGATAGCTTCAAACACGGCTCCCAATGGCCCAACCTGGATTTGCATCTGAGGAGCACAAGCAACGAACTCCTCGATATCCTCAGTTGGCACAGTCAGACCAAGTCGCCAGGTGGTTCTCCGATCTCCGATCAGTTCAGATGGGTTCCCAGGTTCCAAAGGTTTGGTTCAACATGGTTCAACAACCAAAAGTCATTGTGAACAAGGTTCAAAACCTGAAATGTAATCCCGGATTGTACTTCTTACTTGGTTGATAATGGGTCACTGAAAAAAATCTCATATCATCTCCAATCAGTTAGGTTGCTGTAATGACCCCCTATAGAAGCCCCCAACCATCAATAAACTATCATTCATTACCCATGAAATCCCCATGTTTGGTGGATTCGAGTCTTCCAATGGCTAGGAGTTTTGAATGTTTCGCTTAGCAAAGGCCATGGGTCGGCTCGCTGATTGCCAGTCAGGCCCAGTTCCTCCGTTGACAAGGCGGTGCTTCGCTCCTGTAGATGGCTACTTTTGTGTCTCCCAAAATTCCACCCTTGAGAAACCACCGTTGAACTGGATCGGATGGAGACTGGATCACCGTAGTGATTTAATTGGTTTTTATAGTGATTCAATGAGATATTAATGGGATATACCCTCTGGTCATTTGTTACATAGCTATTGAAAATAGCCCTAATAGAAATAGTTGATTTACCTATTCAAAATGGTGATTTTCTATAGTCATGTTAGTTTACCACAGGGTATTTCTTCTTGCAAACGCTTGTTACACAATCTGCAAAGGAAATCGGACAATCTGAATCTTTGCTTGGAAACCACAACATCAAGAACTTCAGATCCTATATCCTGAGCTTATCGCACCTGTGACGGCATCGAGAGGAAGGTCGGAAATGTGGCGTACTTCTTGTTCCGCTTCTGCCACATCCTGCGCTGACAGGTGGATGATGGCGAATCGCCATCGGTGCATGGTATATTCCCTCTGCATGTCCAAATATCAAAATACACCAATACTATCCAATACTTTTGGTATCTCTTGGTTACATGTCCCCTTAGATTTTCTTTCCTCAAACATAGATCCCTTATGGATCCTTATGGTTGCTACACCTCCATGTTTGTTGCCGAAGGCCGGTGGAACCCCCACGTTGTTGGCCAAGGTACCGCACTTGCTCAGAGGTGAAGTGCGGAATCCTTTTTGTGCAACAGGACATGGGGTGTTTGACATGGTGATTTTGCTAAACATCAGAAATGGTGATTTAAACATCAGAAATGGTCATTGAACCATCAGAAATGGTGATTTAATATGATTTAACCATCAGAAATGGTGATTTAACATGATTTAACACGACTTAACATGATTTAGCCACCAAGAATCTACAATCATGGTGATTTAATCATCAAAAATTGGGAATGAACTCACCATCAAGAAGTGAGAGTTAACCATCAAAGATGGTGATGTCATCAACCAAAATGAGGGATTCACTAAAAAAATTCGCGGGTTGGACTACACTTTCACCCTGGCCTACAGATGCCTACAGTACATTAGTCCAGTTGCCATCAACTAAAGATCCTCATGGCAATCGCCATGGTGGATCAATTGGGCTGTGGCGGCTATGCATCACCAAGGTGTATCCATCTATGTTGCCATTGTTCCACGTTGAATGATGCCCATGGCTATCCGTGGCTGAACTGCACCTTTCAACTTACATGGTTTACCTTGCATCCAGTCAGTGTTGGTTGATCTCCCATGCCTAAAAAACACCAGCTTGACTTCATGTTTGATACCTATCAGAAGCTACCACCAGCTCCTCTCACCTGGGGTACCCTCTGGTAAACTAACATAGCTATTGAAAATCACCATGTTTAATAGGTAAACCATCTATTTCTATGGGCCATCTATACCATGGCTATGTTAGTCATAACCAGAGGGTAAACTAGATCATCTTCCCCCTGCCAAGTGACTGCAACAAGGCCCCTGCACCTTTTCCCGAAGGCTCAATCGCCTCGCCGGGCGATTGATAAGCCAAGTTGTGGGGTGAGGGTCAGGGTTCCCCAGTTGAACGCGGAATGAAAGATGGATTATGTAAAAAAAAAACGTAGTGTATATCTAATATACGTGTATATATATATTAAGTATCATATATGCATGATAACATGAAATTTAAATTGGACCAAACGAACTTAAATGAATCATAATGTTTATGTCAGGTATGCCCAGTTCTAAGTTGGTTATTGCTCCAGTTGCTCCAGTTCAGTTCCACTTCTACGTATATATATATATATATTATTATATATATATAATATTATATATCTATGTATATAGGTAGAAGTCCATCAAAAATATCAGTATAGCTCAAAATCACCAACCAATTCAAAAAGAAAGTATGGTCTGCTTTCAACAGAATCAACCCGACACAATCGGCCGCCACGGGATTCCTCTGCGCCTGCACTAGGCCCCGGAAGACGTCCAGGGTGCTATGAAGCGTCTGGGAAAAGCCTGGCTTTTTCATGGGGATGTAAGGGGATAATATGGACATATTAATGCAATATTCATGGGATATGAAATTACCCTCTGGTAGACTAACATAGCCATGGACATCATTTTTAATGGGAAAATCCACTATAAATGGTCATTTTCAATAGCTATGTTAAATAACCAGAGGGTATCAATATTAATCAATTGAAAACACATTGAAACACAAGATGTGATTTCCGATTTCCGTTGATTCCCTGCACAAAATTCATTGACCCACAGCCATGTGTCCCATGCCATGCTTTCCATACTTCTGAGGCAACTTTACATTAACTAGTACTGCACTGCCCAGTGCTGGTTGAAAATTGGGTAGGGTAGTTGAAGGTGCTGTGTTGAATTCCCCTAAATCGTCTTTGGTGCAAAGTTTCTCTGCACAATCTTAGAGCGAATTCTGCTTGGGGATCCTTTGACTACAAAATAGAGTCCATCCACATGTAGAATGTCCACCAGCACCTGCCTTTCTTGGCAGCAAGCTGTAGCAATGCTTTACACGTCATCTGCGAAGAAAACACCCCGCAGAGGATGTCTGAAATTTATTGAAATTTGGGGTTGCCAGTTTCCGGGATTTCCATGCCTTGGGATAAGTCAGTTCCATATCGAATCTGCTTCTTAGATCGTTTTGCGGACAGATTCGATGAAGCCAACCCCAGATTGACAGATTTGACAGACCCAAGAGGTCACCTGCTATGGAAAAAGCCAGTAGGCCCTGAAGAATGACTCTCTGAATTGAATGGGGATATTGGGATACAATGGAATTAATGGGGATTTATTGGGGATTCACATGGATTCACTATCATGTGGTAGGGAAACTCTATTCGTAGCTCCTTGGCTCTTCGTTTGCTAATTCTAACAAGGAATCGGAATATGGATACAGCCATAACTGGCCACAACTCCTTGGTTCCCTCTTAACTACTGGATTGCAGATGCTGTTGTTTGTCATCTGTTCAGCACAACATTTGGGCTAGTCCAGAAATGTGGATACCCTCAAATAACCATTTTTTAAGGTAAGGATGAGGTTCGAAACCATCCAATCTCGGGGGTCCCCCGACATTTCAGGTACCAGCCAGCCATTCCCAACAGTTGGGGGGTTCCTAATCTGGGGGGATCTCCAAGTCAAAATTGGAAAATGCTTCAATGTTGGATGAATTGGGGGTATTCCCATGACTTAGGAAACCTCCAGTTCTTGCGGCCTCCCAGTGCATCAAAGCTGGCTCCAGCAGATCTATCTCCAGCAGATCTGTCCGCCGGAGGAGATGGGCCCAGAACAGTGCTTCCTCAGGTGGAAGCCAGGGGCTTCAAACAAAAATGGAGGTGTTTGAAATATAGCAACGCCCAGACAGAAAAGTATACAGTTTATTTGTATACAGATTATTTGTATATATATATGTATATATATATATTGGAAATTATGGGGAAAACATCATCGAACTACCATAAATAGCAAATACGTTCTAGCATCTTTTTGAGGGCTACTATAAGCTATGACCAATTTGAAAAAGATTGGAGATAGACAAAAAAAAATCACATCATCTACTAAAAATCTTGCTTTACTGAGTTTGATTCGGTGGTTTTTGTTGGGCCCCTGAAGCCACCATGTGCCGCTTGGGAATCCTCTTCGGATAAAACCCACCAAGGTGCCGCTTGTTGGAGCCGCGCTTCATCCTGCCATTTAGTGCAGGGATTTTCCAGGCACATTTGATTGCGAGAGGATGCACCAGCATATTTCAATGTATTTCATACCACTTCTAAGAGTCTAGGATGGTGTATAAACCTTATCTCAGGATATCTCAGGTCCATCTGAGGTCATATCACCCCACCCAAACATTGAGGTACAATTCACTATGTCAATTCAGTTCTAAGATAATATTGAAAATCCTTTTTTGACACCAGCTCCAAGACTCTAGAACGATAGCAAATTCCAATTTCACGGCTTAAATATGCCTCTAATCAAAACCTCTACGTAGCTTAAATGATGTTAAATACCTCTTATACATAAAATATACCAGTCAAAACTCTGTACCGGTCATTGGCTACCGCAGTGCCTTGGTTTTTTGGGGGGCTGGGGCAGCAACGCCACTCAGCGTCACAGCCTCTGCATCTTCAGGGCGTTTGCGAACAAAGGTCGCGCCGGCCGCAGAAAGCCTAGCCCACCGTGTCGTCATTGATGGGTCGGCGGAAACATATTTTTGGATGTATTTTCAAATATAAAACATGTTATAGATGATTTGTAGCACTTTTCATCTTTATAAATTTCATATAAGAAATAAATCTGTTTGAATATGTTTCACCTCAACGGCTAAAAGGCACTGCGAACTCAACCGAGCTGCTGCTTTCGCAGATCTGCGTGGTCGTCCCGTGCCTCGGAAAAGAACGGTTAAATCTCCAGGATATTTTTAGCTCAGTAGATAACCAGAAAATACCAGAAACATACAAAAATATAATCTAGGAATATCTAGGACCTATAGGATATTATAGGATAATGCACAATAATGCATAATAATACCCGTCTTAGACCTGTACTGTATGTTCTTTCCCATTCTTGGAGTATGTATCTTTGATGGTTGAGTATCTGGACCTTTCTGGCCCTGCTGTCTGCCCAGCAAGTCACCTTGGTCTCTCCGGCACTGGCACGGAGTAAGAGCTCCTGCCAGCAACGACAAGGTGTGGAAAGCCGAAGAGTGTCCAAACGCGTAGGAAAAGACAAGTTGGTCCAAACCTAAGACATACTACCCCAGTCTTTTTGAGTAGGAAAAAACAGCCGATGGTTGGTGAATAATCCCCAGTCTTCAGGAACTATCTCAACATCAGGGCGTGGTAAAGAATGCATTCTGCAGCAGTGACCTGTGAAGCCAATCTGATGTTAACTGTCCAAGGTTGATCTCCTTGGTAGCCCAGTCACCAAGTTGATCCCAGGATATCCCAGGCTGCCGCTGCCTCCCACAGCTTCCCCACCTGCACTGCTCTGACGTCCATGGTGTCCCCTAAACCATTCTGCAAGACCTGAATTGGCAGCTGATCAGCTGAGATGAACGGGAAGCTGAAATCAGAGTTGTTTACTTTACAAACCGGGCACCCCCTGTCATATAAAACACCTGCTAAACGATCCCAAAACGTCCCGCATATCTGATTTCATAGGTGGAAGAGATTACTTACAAACCATCTATCCCCCTGAAAGAATGACTCATTCAACCATAGCAGTGAAACTCCACCACGAATCCAGAGGTAATCACTGAATCCTTGGGATATCTTGGGATGTCCAATGAAACCTGCCATGGCTGCACTTCCAACGCGCCTCGTTGGTAATCCGTGGCAGTCCATTTTGATCGATGCTGGTCGACTGCCTCGATCCCAAACCCTATGGGTCAAACACCCCACGGAAAGATCTGACAACTGTGGTACTTCTACTACCACTACGCTACTATTAGAAGGCACATCTGGTAGACATGTTTTAATGCTCTGAGAAGCGCTTGCCAGATTGCTTCTGTCTCTTCGACCCTCCACCTACGCATCTACAAGTCCAACCAGAGTTCATTTTGTGTTCGTTCCTCCTCGTTCCTCACCAACATACTTTCCACGTTCCAACAGAATTTTGTGTTTGGGACAACGAACCTCCACAGTTGCTAGATTGACTGAGAAGCTCCTCTCTGAAGCCCAGCTACATGCAATACAATAAGGTCAGGGGCACTCCAATCACAAAGAGTAACAGGAAAAGGACCAGGACTAAACCCTGCTTCTCCTCAAATTTCAGGCATTCAATACCGTTCAATGGCGTTCAATGGCACTCAACGGCATTCAATGGTCCCAAATGATGCTTCTGGCTCTGTCTATGCATCATTTTTGGCGGTTGCTAGACTGAGTTGTTTGACATATTCCTCCCACTTCATGCAGCTGTGACGTAGGAAATCATGATCCCCACAATGTCTACACACTGGCAGTGGCAAATCTGATGAAAATCCTTGATCTTCAGCGGTAATCAGATACTTCAATGCTCATCAATCCGATGACAAATGCATACAAAACCCCATAAAACCCTATAAATACCCTCTGGTAAACTAACATAACTATGGAAAATCACCATTTTCAATGGGTAAATCCACTATAAATGGCCATGTTCAATAGCTATGTTAAATTACCAGAGGGTAATGGGATAAACCACCTATCAACTGCTGCAGGATTTCGCTGGCCCATCCACAGGCTGGTTTCACCCGGCCGCTGGCTGGTCGAAAACCGGTCCTTGTCCACCGAAGGCAACGCCACGCTGAGTTCCACCCGCGTGGGTCCATCGGGATTGCCATAGAGACCTGGGATGGCGCCACATGCGCCACGTAATCCACGTATAGATCGGAGATTCTGAGGTGTCATACGCTTCATAAATCTTGGTTAATACATGCTAATACATGTTAATACATATTCAGAATGGTTAATAATGGTTAATAATACTTAGTAATGGTTAGTAATGATTGGTAATGGTTGGTACCTGTTAATAATGGTTTGTAATTTGTAAATGCCAATTATCCATTTAATATGCTTCATAATGGTTGATAACGATTGATAAATGCCTATTTTTAGTTGCTATTAACGGTTCATAAATGTTCATCACCCAGAGTCACCTACCGGTGGATGTAGACGATACAACTAGGGTGATACGAATGGGGGATGGGATTGGTATGTGAAATGCTTGTATCTCACTCTTGCTAGGCCCGTTAGGCGTGAATAGAACTACTCTCAGCATTGCAACCCTTACAAAATTGTATCAATATGTATCAATAATATCTATTACATTTTATTGCCATCATGTTTGTAATCGTCGATGATTGGTTGCAATCAAAGGTCTCAAACATTATTCAACCAATGACCAAAACTCGCAGGTTTGAATCATTTTACACATGGCCAGTCACCAAGTTGGGAGTCGGCAACGTCGTCACAGTGAAAGACTATGAAAGATGATTGCGATTAGAGTCTGATTTTCCAGAGTTGAAACATCCCCCCAGAGGGCCCAGAGGTGATGAACATTGCATTCCGAATTCCCCTCTGGTTATTTAACATAGCTATGGAACATGGCCCCACTATAGATGATAAAAATTTTAAAAATGACGATTTACCTATTTACCTATTAAAAACGGTGATTTCTAGACCGTTAAATTACCAGAGGGTAAATCGATCTTTGCCAAGGTCTGGTCAGCAGGCGACGGCCCTAGTTGCACGGCTGAGATGGGGGCGGTAGTTGCGCTTGGCCACAGGATCTGTAAGGGCATCATAGGCCTGCAGGGCGACAGTGCGGGATACCCAGGGGGATTGTTTTGGATGTTTTGTCGTGTCTCAAAGTTATGATAAGTTATGGGCTCCCAGTGTAAGTATGTATAATACATAACGTATATATATATATATTATATAATGTTTACATAATTAATATGTTTATATGTGCATACGAGTACATACAGATTGAGCGTCCCTGTCAACATGTATGGCTTGGCTGAGGAATGCATACATCAACCCTCGTTGAAGATCAGCTCCCTCGGTGCGCGGATTCCTGCATGGTGCAGGGATCTCTGGTGCCTTCTTGATGAGAATAAACTTCTCTGCGGCGGCTGTATCGGGGTTCTTATCCGGGTGATACTTTAGTGAGAGCTTGTGAAAGGCCTTCCTTGGTTGACAGATGTTGACAGATGTTGACAGTTCATGTTCAAAATCTCAAACACTTCATTTGAAAATGCAGGACATGGAATCGTCGGAGGAATCCAGAGACCCCAAGGCGGTTGTGATGAAACAGGTAGACTAAACATGACTAAACTTGACTAAACCCCGTTGAAGCCGAAGAAATTGCATCCAAGCTTCTTGATCTGTGAGCTGGAAGATGTTCCTCCAACTTCCAAAATTGCATAGGGATCAAAGTTTTGGTACCTCAGCACAAAATCTGCGAAAGCTTCGGACACATTGCAACACAATCATCCATCGCCGGCAGAAAGTGCTGCCTGAATCGCTGTTGCTCCAAAAATAACCACTGCAACCAGGCAGCAGCGCGCTGGTCGCCAGCACTTGCCGCACCTTGGAGGTGATCAGTTTTGACATCGAATCTTTACCGATCCGCGCGATAGGTGGTTCCGGACAGTGATGGTTGTAGTGAAGTATAAGAATCTACACTCCAAAAGACATCTCTGTTTGCTCCACTTGGGGACCCGATCTCTGTGCGTTCAAATTCATGACATTCCAAGCGAGCAAGAATACATCGAGTAGTACATTAGTACAAACCAGACCAAACCAAACCTATAGTTTCCAGGGAAAATTTCGGGACCCATTTTATGTTCCGAATCCCTAAATGAGTTCGTCGACCCGTCGCCTGCACCACAATGTAGAGAAGCCAGCACCACAAAAGCACAAGCAGAACCAGTCGCCTCGGTCAACATATTAATCACCGACTCAACTCGTGGTGTGGCATCATTTTTTTGAAATCATATAACTTGGATATAACCATGGATATAACCATGAATTCATATTAATATATATATAATTATATATATATAACCATAAAATACATTAAAATACCATAAACTTCTTTAGCTGTCATGAGTGGAGTAGAATTAACTTCTATGACTTTCATCAGAAGAAATACACCTGTTGTGGTTGGTCAAGTCCAACTGGAGTCCAGCACTTAAACTCGCCGCGCTGCGATGCGAAGCCCGCAGAGATATGGCGGGACTTCAGCCGGCGCATGTCAGCTTCACGACGTTCCTGCCGGACAGTGGCCATGGGCCATAGATTGGCAGGTTGGGAAAGGAACAAAGGTCCAGAAGTAGAGGACCCTAAAATCATCTAATTTTTGTTTTGTAATGTTTAATGGGGAAACCCATGGTTTAGTTTAGTCTATAGGGTACCCCAATTTTCAGAAAACTCATAATGGCGATCCCCTAACAATTTTTGATAGTGGAATATGGTGAGTGTTCAATTAATGCAATAATGTCTCTCGAAATTCAGGTACCCAAAAAATCCAAAAACCATTGGTTTCCCTCAAAGGAATGACCAATTTGGGATGATTGTGCGGTCCACTACTAAAATAAACAAACAAAGAAAGAAAGAAACCAAGAAACAAAAACGGAAAAGGAAACCCTTATTTGAGAGAATAGAAAACCTTGCCTACATACCCGCCAGTAAACTAACATAAATATCAAAAATCTATCGGTTTGCAAATCATTTCCCTAGGAAAACCATAAAACCTCGATATCTGGCTGTGCCTGAATACAGGGGAGTGACCACCATTTATGGCTAGACTATAGTGGCAAAAATGATTCTGGCTATACTGTAGTGTGTAAAAAAGACGTTCTGAACATTTCCCAATCATTAAATGGATCTTTTCAAAATCATAAGGGTACCCCAAATCATCCAAGTCATGACCATGACTTAGCATTGAAACAACCATGGTGACTTGGGGATCCTGATCATCTCAAGCAACCCCATCGAAGGGCAGTTCGGAGCGCCTGCATCGCCTGGGTACTGCAGAGCCTCACGCGGCTCCCTTCAATGGTCGTAGGGAATGCCTTGGCCACCTGCCGTTGGGCAGATTTTTCGGCCATCGAGAAAACCAAGGACTTTACTGGATGAATCGGTTCATCCCAAAAAATACATTAAAATATATACTGGGTGAAGAGTAAATCATGTTTTTTCCTTAGAACCCAACATATTCTAAAAGGTGGATTTAAGGGTCAGATTCCGGTGTCGTTTTGGTCAGAACCCGCCATTGGATGCCTCGGCATGTCCAGGGAAGAGGAAATACCAAAGCACCGCCAACGTCCAGGGCAGCAGGAGGCAACTAAGCATGGCCAAGAGGAAGAAGAGCATGGCCTCACAATTCCATTCAGTCCCAATGTCACCAGTTTGGCTGCGAGGAGATTTTGGAAACTGTCAAGTCAAGGTCACATTCAAGTGGGAGTGCATATGTTTCATGAATGAACTCCTAATAATCCTAGTATGTTTGCATATGTTTGCTACTCTTCAGCCTTACATGGAGTTGAACAGGGTGAACAAGTGTTGAAGATGTTTAAAACAAACTGAGATTTTTTCTGCCAAGGCACGGAATCGTCCCCATCACTCTGGTTCTTCTTCGCCGCAATGGCTGGAACAGCCAGGAGCCACAGAAGAGCCATGGCAAAGCGAAACATTGTAACGACCAAAGAAATCTGTGACCCAAATGGGGATGGATCCAATTTTGTCAAAATCGGGGCAGTGGACCCACAAGAATTATCAAACATGATCATTCTGTTGTTTGGCATCGGCATCGGCATCAGGATTTTTATACAAAGTCTAAACCTCAGCTTGGTTGATATGCCATGCAACCCTCATGACTCATGGCTTCGCTAGCTGATCAGGATGAATCTGATCAAACTTGATCACGTTTCAGCATGGCGAATTCCCGACTCTTGTTCCGGTTCGTTCTATGGTTTGGACCAAAATCTTGCGGCCAGGTGGTATGCCAAAAATCATGGGGTTCCGAATTTGTCCCCCTTCAACATGAGCTTCCTCTCGTTTTCAATCAAAGAAAAGTTGATGTTACTCCCCCAAAGGAGAACCACAGCATGGTGGCATTTTCAGCTTTGGTCGCCGGTCGCCGTTGGTCGCAACCCGCAAGGCGCAGGTGAATTCGAGCGTCAAATCTTGCAATCTCCAAAAGGCTTCCTATGTCACTTCTTTCGGCTTTTGTTTGCGAATGTCGTTGGTATACCACTTATTACCACTTTATATTTATATCCATTCAAACGCATTTACCCAGAATGGTTGTTCAAAGTTGATAAACAATGATAATCAAAGGGTTGCCTCTCTATAATGACCAATGCAATGGTCTGAAACTCTTGCAAAGGAAAACCATTGGTTACCCTTTCCATACAGAGCATACGGTGGACATGGGGTTTCGACAGGGTCACTTTGTGCGGGATATAAGGGATGTTCTTTCCAAACCTTTGTGGTGCTATGTTTGTAACAAGAGCAAAGCTGTAGCGACGGGACAACACTTCTCAATGTGCCCATTTTCAGTGGACGTCAAAGGAGGAATAATATAAGGGATGGTCTTTCCAAACCTTTTGCGGTGCTATATTTGTAACAAGAGCAAAGCTGTAGCGACGGGACAACACTTCTCAACGTGCCCATTTTCAGTGGACGTCAAAGGAGGAATATAAGGGATGTTCTTTCCAAACCTTGTGCGGTGCTATGTTTGTAACAAGAGCAAAGCTGTAGCGACGGGACAACACTTCTCAATGTGCCCATTTTCAATGGACATCAAAGGAGGAATATAAGGGATGTTCTTTCCAAACCTTTGTGGTGCTATGTTTGTAACAAGAGCAAAGCTGTAGCGACGGGACAACACTTCTCAATGTGCCCATTTTCAGTGGACATCAAAGGAGGAATATAAGGGATGTTCTTTCCAAACCTTTGTGGTGCTATGTTTGTAACAAGAGCAAAGCTGTAGCGACGGGACAACACTTCTGAATGTGCCCATTTTCAGTGGACGTCAAAGGAGGAATAATATAAGGGATGGTCTTTCCAAACCTTTTGCGGTGCTATGTTTGTAACAAGAGCAAAGCTGTAGCGACGGAACAACACTTCTCAATGTGCCCATTTTCAGTGGACATCAAAGGAGGAATATAAGGGATGTTCTTTCCAAACCTTTGTGGTGCTATGTTTGTAACAAGAGCAAAGCTGTAGCGACGGGACAACACTTCTCAACGTGCCCATTTTCAGTGGACATCAAAGGAGGAATATAAGGGATGTTCTTTCCAAACCTTTGTGGTGCTATGTTTGTAACAAGAGCAAAGCTGTAGCGACGGGACAACACTTCTGAATGTGCCCATTTTCAGTGGACGTCAAAGGAGGAATAATATAAGGGATGGTCTTTCCAAACCTTTTGCGGTGCTATATTTGTAACAAGAGCAAAGCTGTAGCGACGGGACAACACTTCTCAATGTGCCCATTTTCAGTGGACATCAAGGAGGAATATAAGGGATGTTCTTTCCAAACCTTTGTGGTGCTATGTTTGTAACAAGAGCAAAGCTGTAGCGACGGGACAACACTTCTGAATGTGCCCATTTTCAGTGGACATCAAAGGAGGAATCTTTCCAAACCTTGTGCGGTGCTATATTTGTGGATGTAGCTTTCCAAACCTTTGACAAGGCTGTAGCGACGGGACAACACTTCTCAACGTGCCCATTTTCAGTGGACATCAAAGGAGGAATATAAGGGATGTTCTTTCCAAACCTTTGTGGTGCTATATGTGTAACAAGAGCAAAGCTGTAGCGACGGGACAACACTTCTCAATGTGTCCATTTTCAGTGGACATCAAAGGAGGAATATAAGGGATGTTCTTTCCAAACCTTTGTGGTGCTATGTTTGTAACAAGAGCAAAGCTGTAGCGACGGGACAACACTTCTCAACGTGCCCATTTTCAGTGGACATCAAAGGAGGAATATAAGGGATGTTCTTTCCAAACCTTTGTGGTGCTATATGTGTAACAAGAGCAAAGCTGTAGCGACGGGACAACACTTCTCAATGTGCCCATTTTCAGTGGACATCAAAGGAGGAATATAAGGGATGTTCTTTCCAAACCTTTGTGGTGCTATGTTTGTAACAAGAGCAAAGCTGTAGCGACGGGACAACACTTCTCAATGTGCCCATTTTCAGTGGACGTCAAAGGAGGAATAATATAAGGGATGTTCTTTCCAAACCTTTGTGGTGCTATGTTTGTAACAAGAGCAAAGCTGTAGCGACGGGACAACACTTCTGAATGTGCCCATTTTCAGTGGACATCAAAGGAGGAATATAAGGGATGTTCTTTCCAAACCTTTTGCGGTGCTATATTTGTAACAAGAGCAAAGCTGTAGCGACGGGACAACACTTCTCAATGTGCCCATTTTCAGTGGACATCAAAGGAGGAATATAAGGGATGTTCTTTCCAAACCTTTGTGGTGCTATGTTTGTAACAAGAGCAAAGCTGTAGCGACGGGACAACACTTCTCAATGTGCCCATTTTCAGTGGACATCAAAGGAGGAATATAAGGGATGTTCTTTCCAAACCTTTGTGGTGCTATGTTTGTAACAAGAGCAAAGCTGTAGCGACGGGACAACACTTCTGAATGTGCCCATTTTCAGTGGACGTCAAAGGAGGAATAATATAAGGGATGGTCTTTCCAAACCTTTTGCGGTGCTATGTTTGTAACAAGAGCAAAGCTGTAGCGACGGAACAACACTTCTCAATGTGCCCATTTTCAGTGGACATCAAAGGAGGAATATAAGGGATGTTCTTTCCAAACCTTTGTGGTGCTATGTTTGTAACAAGAGCAAAGCTGTAGCGACGGGACAACACTTCTCAACGTGCCCATTTTCAGTGGACATCAAAGGAGGAATATAAGGGATGTTCTTTCCAAACCTTTGTGGTGCTATGTTTGTAACAAGAGCAAAGCTGTAGCGACGGGACAACACTTCTGAATGTGCCCATTTTCAGTGGACGTCAAAGGAGGAATAATATAAGGGATGGTCTTTCCAAACCTTTTGCGGTGCTATATTTGTAACAAGAGCAAAGCTGTAGCGACGGGACAACACTTCTCAACGTGCCCATTTTCAGTGGACGTCAAAGGAGGAATATAAGGGATGTTCTTTCCAAACCTTGTGCGGTGCTATGTTTGTAACAAGAGCAAAGCTGTAGCGACGGGACAACACTTCTGAATGTGCCCACTTTCAGTGGACATCAAAGGAGGAATATAAGGGATGTTCTTTCCAAACCTTTGTGGTGCTATGTTTGTAACAAGAGCAAAGCTGTAGCGACGGAACAACACTTCTCAATGTGCCCATTTTCAGTGGACGTCAAAGGAGGAATATAAGGGATGTTCTTTCCAAACCTTTTGCGGTGCTATATTTGTAACAAGAGCAAAGCTGTAGCGACGGGACAACACTTCTCAACGTGCCCAGTTTCAGTGGACATCAAAGGAGGAATATAAGGGATGTTCTTTCCAAACCTTTGTGGTGCTATGTTTGTAACAAGAGCAAAGCTGTAGCGACGGGCCAACACTTCTCAACGTGCCCATTTTCAGTGGACATCAAAGGAGGAATATAAGGGATGTTCTTTCCAAACCTTTTGCGGTGCTATATTTGTAACAAGAGCAAAGCTGTAGCGACGGGACAACACTTCTGAATGTGCCCATTTGCAGTGGACATCAAAGGAGGAACAGGGAACTAAATTTGGTGAAAGCATTCGCAACTATCCCTGACAAACGTGCTCCGTGCAAATGGCCGTCAAGATTTCTCATAAGAAGTCCATGATGTGTCTACGATGTCTACATCTTGTGCCCTTGTGCCATTACTTTGAAGCCTTTTTGTCGGGTGACACGGTGGAGCGAATAATTACTACATCACCTGGTGGAGAATTTGGCTAAGTTCTTCACCAACTCGAAGGCCGTGAGGGCCACTCAATGCCTCGATGCGTTTTCACGACAAACCGGTCTGACCAGGACAGCAAGGTTCTTGGAAACAGAGAGGCCTTTCCAGGAGCAGTAGGGTATAGGGAAAACAAGGAAAAACAAGGAAAAACAAGGAAAAACAAGGAAAAACCAGTGTGGAGTTTGATGGTTGATTCCTGAATCTCCCTAACCAAGAGCTAGACACTCCCGTGTCTACCCATGGCCAGTTCGACCCGGGGACCTGAGGACCTGGGGACCAGGGGACCTGCACCCCCTCCCTTCATCATCCCCTGGGGGCTATGGCATGGCTGTGACGTCCAATCTTGAGTGGCACAGCGGACAATTTCTCAGCTTGCGCACCTGCCAGGGGAGTCCCATGAAATAAGCCATGGCGAATGGTAGATTGGTAGCTCACCGGCACAAATTCGCTTTTCTGGTAGATTTACACTCAATCAAACATGGGAATGTCAAATCTACAGTTTTTTTTTGGGGGTAAATATAGAAATCAGCCCGTGACAAGCTGTAAATGGATATGAATACCATCCATATATCACCCCAATCTGGAACTGGCAGGGGCCCATCGAGCAAGCCTCAGTAGAGTACATCCGATGTCTGCAGCAGCGGCACTTGATGGTTTCTCCACCACCTGAGGGAAGGAAAGGACGACCAGTGCTTGCTCCAGAATCAATGGTACCAGTATGTATCGGGATGTATCAGGATGTAGCAATATATGTATACATACATATATATATATATGCTGTATATGATTGTATATGTACTGTATATGTATCAGATTGTATCAGTATGTATCAGGTTTCTCTTGAATCGATGTTTTCTTGTTCTTTTTCCCTAGATTTCTTTGTGAAAAGCAAACACAATTTGCTTGGCCTTGAAACGACAGGCTGCACAGAAACTCAGTGCCACACCCGTGCCAGGGGGATACGGGATGCTGGCAGTGCGGTCCTGGCGGAAGGCCAATTCCTGATGCCCTGTGTTGCGGTCCGTTTATAAACTTTCATCTATGCCTATGGGGGAAACAACGCTCTAAGATGATTGATCTATTCAATCAAAGTTTACCCAGTTCCAACGATCATAGCTGAGGATCTGTGTTTGGTCATGTTTGGTCCATGTTGGTTTTGTGCAGGTTCAGGCCTTTGTGCCCCAAGTTAACATGAACCATGGCCCCATGGAACACCTTTGACATCAACATGTTCACCACACCAACCATGGTTCCATCATGACCCATCTCCCAGAACGCCTGGAAATTTCGTTCAGTGAATGCTTTTTCTATGTGTTTTTTCCTCTCAATGGACATCCCAATTTCTCTTGATATAAAATCCTATCTGGTTGGTGGTATACCTACCCCTCTGAAAAATATGAGTTCGTCAGTTGGGATTCTTATCCCCAACTGAATGGAAACTCATAAAATTCATGTTCCAAACCACCAACCAGCTATTAAAATATGGGATTTTACAGGATCATTATGTTTTTTTTTGCGGATTTTTGATGGGTTTTCTATAGGATGATCAACCAATGTTTAAAACCTATGAAATCCATTTACCCTCTGGTAAACTGTCACTTATGTCCATGGACAGATCCACCATGTTATAGCTGGGTGAATCAACTAAATTTCTATGGGCCATCTACCATCTGGTTATTTAACAGTTCGCCATGGAAAGATCCACCATTTTCAAGTTCGGTAAGCCATCTATTTCTATGGGCCATCTATACCATGGCTATGTAACAAATAACCAGAGGGTACTATTTTTAGTAATTATGGATAAATCTGGGATATATCACTACTATTCACTACTATTATTCACTAATATCATGAGTATATGGTTAATGTACCACCTATTATTGTAACAGTCATTACCAGAGGGTAGACCCCACTGCCACTGGCTGGTGTTCGCCTCAGGGAAGATGGATCGCCCGGAGGCCACACAGAAGGCTAAACGATGGTTGCAGCTGGGGCCTGGGAGGTCAGTGACTCATCATAACGATCATTGCTAGCAGCTAGTAACAAAAGAACTACAACAGTAACAAGTTAAAGTGATACTAAGTATACTACAGTTATAGTTATATCATCAAGTTGTCACCTTCATGATCATTGATCATTGTTGCGTTCATCGTTCATCGTTATGCTTGATCACTTGGTGCTTCAAGTCATACGGGTTTTGGGGGTGGGTCGCAATCAACATTTGAAACAACCAAATATATAGTCACTGGTAATTTAACATAGCTATGGAAAGATCCACCATTTTTCATGGGAAAATCAACTATAAATGGTGATTTTCAATAGCTATGTTAGTCATTACCAGAGGGTAGTCACTTCCATTTACAGCATTTATTCTTCGGATACCACATTTTTTTCCAACGCCTCATGCAGGAAAACGTACCATTTTGGATACTAGAGGAGGATTTTTGGGATACGAACGATTCTCGAGAATCTCTCAGGTTTGAAAGCACCAACTGGGACAAAGTCTTTTCACTCGCACCACTTCAGCGCTTCAAATCTCCGCCTTGGGAGGGTAAACTTTGCGCCAAGGTCGGACTTCAGCGTAAGCAACAGCATCCCAGCCATATCTCTATGTACATCCAAAGATCCAAAGATCCCAGTTTCCTCAGAAATCCCAGGGCTCTGCATCATCCAAATCACCCATGTAAATATATGGCAACTCCTCTCCATCTCTGAAGTCTGTCTCTTCCACCCTGCGGCGAGAAACCATGGATATCATGGATCTTCAAGGCACATCCCAACAAGAAATTTCACGAATGAAGTGATGAGAATCTAACGGCGGAGACTGTGTATGGGAAGCAGAAATAAAATCCTCGCAATGTATCACCCCACCGGTCAATGTGTTCCTTTGGTTGTTGACGTCCAACCTATGAACGATTCTTCTTGGCCTTCAGTCGCAGACATAATAAACTTGAGATAAATCAGTGAGCACGACAGAACTCAAGACCCCTCATCCCTCATGAAAGGCAGCAGAAATTCCATCCACAGCTGGAAAGGTTCAAGAACCTTGACCCCCCAATTGTCCAAGGGTCTGTGGATCAACTGTTTGGGTGCAATTGGCTCGCATATGCTCATATCTTCCAAGTGGTGGGAGGGCCCATCGTTGTCCAATCCCCGTTTGAAAACAGCAATGTCTACCCTCCGGTAATCAAACATAACACTGCAGAGGATTTCCCAGATTTTCCCAGCCATGATGACACCGGAAGGTCCACCCATGGCTTACCTCACCCGGTCATCCAAGAGGAAGCTGCTGGGTGTGAAGCGCGCAGCGCGGCCCTTGCATCGCCGTTTGACGATGACGATCTTCTCCTGACGGTCGAAAACAAATGGTGTTCCAACCAGGGGAATCGCTATGGTAGATAACTACCAGAGAGAGAATCAAGAATCTATTCGATAGTCCATAAGAGCAAAAAGAAACAAGAGTTAGAAAATTATGTATGTAAGATATTGTAAGATGACGTTTAACCTCATCCAAATCGGGGATGATTAGGAATACCTGTCAATCCAAGGCTGAAACCAAATAGGTAATGAAGTGGAATCACGTGTCAGTCAAATGTCGAAAGCATATTTCACCTTTTTTCTGGCTGAAATTCGGTCATGGCTACAGTCCCAGAATTAGTAATAAACGAGAAAAATGCCTGGGTTTAGTGGTAATCGTGCCCAAAAAGCACGTATTTTATGTTACCATCTGGTTATTTAACATAGCCATGGAAAATCCCTTATTCTCATAAATGCAGGTTTTAGTGGGAAAATCATCCATAAATGGGCCATTTCCCATGGCTATGTTAAATAACCAGAGGGTATTTCATTTTCCATCGGTTTTCCTTCAACCAACCCGTGGCTAGAGGTTGAGTCCCCCGGCCCGACGAAGGCATGGTAGGCGGATGCACATCCACTGCCTGCAGTTGATAATCTCTGGCTCACAAAGCAAGGGACCACCAAAATAAAAACACTGAAATTTCATGCAAATGTCAATCAGTTTCCATTGGTATCCCAAAATAGTACGGATACCCCCAAAAAAAATGGTACCCCAAATAATGATTTAAAAGAAAGTACCGTAAAATGGCACTAGAAAAAAACAATCAGATTCTATTTGATCTCCCAGGTCACGTTGGCATCGCCAACTTGCTTCACTTGCCCGATGGTCCATGAAGGTTTGATGCAAATCTGGTGGATTTCATCATCCTTCAGCGCTATTTTCAGGCACAACTTTTCGTATGGAAATGTGAAGCAAAACACCTGGAAGAAGCACCGAGAAGTTTAGGGTTTCACATCCAAAAGCCCCGACACTTGGTGAAAATGATAGCTGAATATATCAAGAAAGGTTGCATCATGTTGCATCCACTAAATCCTAAGTTGTATGTTTCACTGGAGGAACGCATCAAATTGGGAGTCGGGAGATTAGTGAAACGTTCGACCAAGAAGTCTGAAGCAGCGATAAGCAACGAATCAAACACTGCCAAACTGCATTGTATGGACTTGAAAAGCGCATCACAATGGCTTCGGGCTCATTTGGCAAGACTTCCTCCAGCAACGGCCCCACCTGGTGAAAGAAGTCACTTTGAAGTCAGCATCACCATCATCACCAAGTTCAGGCTTGGAGAACAAACCAAAAACGCATCTTTGTCCATTACCCTCTGGTAAACTGCCACATAACTATGGAAAATCACTATTTTTAATAGGTAAATCAACTATTTCTATGGGCCATTTTCAATAGCAAACTGTGGCAGTTTACCAGAGGCTACTCTCCACTCATTGCACGCCGGTTTTCCTCATGGTTTCGCCCAAGTGGCCTTTCCAAAGCCAGGACCTTCGATCAACCTAGCAAGAACCCAAGCCCCGCCACCACAAACACCACAGAGTCCATCCAGTGGCTGAAACGGCCAAGAAAAAGATTGAAAAATAAGTCTCTTGAAAGCGACAAAAAATGAATTTTGTCAACTTTGAGTAGATCTTACAAAAAGGGTCTGGGTCAAAATTGAGCGCCTCAAAAATCTGGTAAAGACATGTAAAGACATGTAAAGACCTCAGCCATCCTCAACCTGTGGTAAGGTTCGCACAGCCAGCCAGCTTTATGAAAGACTGGATCAAGCTCAATCCAGTGTCCTCCTGGCTGGTAACTGAAGGTTTGAGACCAGCCAGTGAAAATGCTCAGAGATTTTGGATATATGATATATATATATATAGATGATATGTTGTATCTATATTATCATATAGATGTTATCCATATTACCATATATCATAATAAATCCATATTATTGGTATATATATATAAATATGGGCGAATTGTACTAATTCACTAACCTGAAATAAAGCCATTATTATTCCACATTGCTTGCAGACCACTTCCCAGCATGCGCAAGAAGCGGCCTACCCTGTTGATATAAACTTTTCACTTTACGAAAAGAACATGTGGGCGGAATCACAGGTTCAACAATAAGGCCATTTTGGGATGATTCCTCTTACTAACCACGATTCCAGTGAGGTCGCAGTGAGGTCGTTATAATTTACCCAGATATGGGTTGCGCAAAATTCGGGTATGGATCGGCCCGCAGTGATCCAGACGTATGGATCGGTCTGGATCACCTGCGTTTTGGTATGGATCGGGGGTATGGATCGGCCTGTGGGTTGAGGGGTGTGGATCAGGGCTTTACATTTTGACTCGGAGCCATATATATATATATGATTATATAATTATATATACATATGTGTTATATATATGTATATGTTATATATATATGTTATATATATATATGTTATATATATATATGTTATATATATATATGTGTTATATATATATACATATGTTATATATATATATGTTATATATATAAATATGTTATATATATAAATATGTTATATATATATAAATATGTTATATATACTGTATCTATATATGTTATATATATATGTTATATATTATATATATATGTTATATATATAATATATATTATATGTATATATATATATGTTATATATATATATATGTTATTATATATATGCTATATATATGTTGTATATATGCTATATATTATATATGTTGTATATATATTATATATATATTGTATATATGTTATATATTATATACACAGTACTGTATATATATGTGTTATATATATATATATGTTATATATAACATATATATATATGTTATATCTATATATGTTATAGATATATATATATATATATGTTATATATATATGTTATATATATGTTATATATATATATATGTTATATATATATATATGTTATATATATGTTATATATATATATATATGTTATATATATATGTTATATATATATATGTTATATATATATGTTATATATATGTTATATATATGTTATATATATATATATGTTATATATATATTATATGTTGTATCCCAAGTGTGGGTTAGATGTTTGCCCCGTCCTGCAGGGCCCAGCCAGGTGCGCCCCGTGGTCTTCACGAGGTCTCCCACAGCTTTCTCAAGCTTCACCTCAAGGAGATTTCGACCAAAAATGGGGGGTGTCAGCCGGGGTGTCATTCCGGTAAAGCTATAAAAACGGCTATAGCTGGCTATAACTATATAATTGTTTCGCTAAAAACCGGAATGAATTGAAATCTATTTGAATCTAATTGATGTTTTACTTTCTTTGTTGGTGAATAGCAAAACGAACAAGACATACAAGACCAATAAAAGACAAACCGAAAGGACACAAGTTCAACAACGAACCCCTCAGTTGCCCATCACTGAATCCTCCCAGAAAATGCTACCCTCAGAGGCAGGTTGCAATCTTTGATGAGCTTGGCTGTGCACCCTTCCTCGCCAAACACACTAGCATGCACTGCTAGTTTTGTGCACTTTGTATCATCTGATCTCTTGCAAGCTATGCTGTTTCCAAAATAGCTTGAAACGGAAGTCCGTGCCAACACTCTCTGCAAACTAAGAGTGGGTCGACTTGAAAATGACACCTCGGCTGCGACTAATCCAAGCCTGACCAGCACGACCATGGTGGGCACTACGCCTGACACCCGAAGTATCTTTCCCAAAGGTCCATGCTAAAGCTAGCGAGGTGTGTGTGTGTGTGTGTCTGAAACTGGGGTATACACCCACATGGCCATCAAATAGTAGGGAAAATGATGATAAACCATGTGATCTTGGCATACCATATTCTCAAACAAACCAAAACAATGTACAGTACTTGTCACCCTTCCCTAAAAGGGGTGCAGCTTTTATATGCTTTTATCAGGTCCTGCCAGACAACGATTACCACCCACCAATGCACTGTTGATTGACGAGGAGCCTTGCATTACCTGGTATTCAACGGTAGGGTTGGTCACCACCAGCGTCACGACGCGATCTTTGCACGCCGGATCAGCGCCGAGGCAGTCCAGTGCCGCAGTCGGAGGCAGAATCTCTCCTGGACTCAGCACAGGAAGGCTCAACAAGTTGTCCAAAACGTCAGATGTTAATTTTGTTTTAATATGTTTTAATCCTAAGACACCAGAAAAACATGACACACTGGAACTGTCACAGGTTTTTTGTCTTTTTGTTGTTTGCTCAGTAGGAAATCCCTTCTTGAAACATGCTCTTCCGGGCTTTCTGTTTACTGTTCCATGGGCAGAAGATGTCGTCTCTTCTACAGTCCTTGATACAGCAACCTCTGCGCAGCTTTGTCAACACCGGTTGCTTGTTCCACTTGGAACTGCAAGTCCTTCCGTAGCCAGCTTGGAGTCAATCGAAGTCCCCGAAGGACTGTCTATGAGAGATGAAAAACACCACAATTCGCGCCGAGATTTCCTGAAAGTTTGAAGCAAAAAACGAGTGGTCCAATCCCTTCCGACTGATAAATATCAACATATTTCCCAGATGGAAATGAATAGATCCAATCCTAAATATATTAAATATGTTAAATCACAGTTCCTCGTGGGTCGACGCATATGTTTTTCCTGTCCTCCACCAACGTGTCTTTGGCCACGTCGGCACACACCAGCTGCTTGCCGCTCAGCGCCAGGACCGAGACATGAAGACACGACATCGACGGCGTTGGGAGATTTTGCCACAATGTTGTACATGCATGAGATGTATGATGTATAAATATATGTACATGTGTGTACTATATACATACATATAATGTAGATTCATATTTATATATATATATATATACATAGTATGTATGTTTGTATATTTCATGTATATATATATAGTATGTATATGCGTGTATATATAGTATGTATATATATAGTGTATATATAGTATGTATATATATATGTATACATACTATATATATGTATGTAGTGTGTGTGTATATATTATATAGTATGTATATACATAGTATCTATATGAATATTATAGTATGTGTATATAAAAATATTATTATAGTATGTATATATATATACATATATACATATTGCGTTGTGACATGTCTGAATTGAGCCTGATTCCCTGGATCTGGCGTCAATGAAAGCCTATATGTGTAGATATCTCTACATCCATTTCATAATTGTGTGCATATCTGCTTACGCAGCGCCTGATGTACATGCAAGAAATTTAAGGTCAACTCAACTTTACAGCTGCTGATCTTTACAAAAACCCATTCGGAATCCATGGAAATCCGCTGATCTTTGCCCATATGTATATCTGGTTGGTGGTTTCAATCCCTCTGAAAAATATGAAAGTCAATGGGAAGGATTATCCCATATATTATGGAAAATATAAAATGTTCCAAACCACCAACCAGTATACAAATATATATATATAATCTATTCCCAGCAGGACAGGCGACTGGGATCCCTGGGGGCCCTGCAATTGATGACCCAGTCGTTTATTCTCGTTCCACACTTTGGGCAGGGCAACATGTGCCCAGTGGGGTCCTGCGGGATGCTGACGGTGGGATTATAGGGTCAAATGAGTCAAATCCCTGGTGAATGGCAGTCAACTCCCCATTTGATAGCTTCAAAATCTACTGGCCATGGCTATGGGGTCTTTGTACGATGTACTCCGAAAACTTGAGTATGAGTTCTCATGGGCTACCCAAATAGATTGAATGGGCTGTGAACAAAAATGACTAGAGGTCAGCAGCCAATGCTCAATAAAGCAACCAACCATTACAGGTCCCCTGCGTTCTCAACTATCGGCTATCGCATACCCAAAGTGGGGTAAGCACTTGCTTTCCCTCCTCAAATAAACCAGTGGACACAAATCGAGTCAATTTAGTATTAAACACGGTTAAACCATCCATTTTTGGGGCTCCCTTTTATGTTTTGACCATAGTAAACCACAATGAAAAGCACGTTTAAAAAATCATTAAAAAAACATCAGTTACCCTCTGGTAATTTAACATGGCTATTGAAAATGACCATTTATAGTGGATTTTCCCATTAAAAATGGTGATTTTCCATAGCTATGTTAAATTACCAGAGGGTATCATCAATTTACCGTAGGAAACACCACATGGAAACCCAGCAACTGCTGGAGAACTCCAAGACCAACCCGGGGAGTCCCGGGGGGCATTCCGCGTAAAGATGCTGAGCGCCAGATCCGCGAACTTCGTGCGCATCTCGTCGGAAACATCGTTGGAGGCCTGGGAAAAAAACGATGGACTTGGGATGAGGATCTTCGTTGGTAACCAACATATATCCTTTAAAAAAAACGGTATGTTTTATAACTAACATAGGTTTTTTTAATGATTTATGATGTATACTTACAGTTATAGGTAGTTTTTACTCTGATGGATAACGCTATAAGTATAGTGGATATATCTAGTACTACAGTGGACACTATCTATATATACTAACAGTATGGATAACGATAGTAGATAGTTATTTCTACTGTAGTACTAGAGTATACTATAGTTCATAAAATCAGGACCCGATTTATGCTTTTTAGTAGTATATGATCTTCATGAATTTATGGACTACTATAGCACTGTTCCTAGATTTTTTTTTTTTGACTGGAGACCTGCTTAACTATAGTTCATGCACTTCAGTCATCTAGTAACTATAGTAGTTCATGAATTTCGTAGCTAGTGACCGAATGGATTGTGATATTTCCGCGTACCAGTGGTAAATCGATCTCATTTGACTTGTGTTACCATGTGACTAGAATAAATGTATAACATTGTATAACTGTTACAACTATTACTAGTTAATATCATCTAGTAGTAGATTGCAATATTTCCATATATATTTTCCCCACATATTGGGTAGTATAATCCCATATGATCATCAACCAACAGGGGTCTAGGGGTGGTCTTTCTATGTTTTTCTTGTCTCATCACCTTGGAGCATTAAATAATCTGGGATTATGATGGATTACAATAGTTTTATTGGGTTTGACGGTAGTTCCAGCCCAATAGTTTTACGGGTTGGTAGCTCTTGAGATGATCAGATCATCGTCCATGATATTCCATAATTTACTCCTGGAGTGCCAGCTGCAGTATGTTGCCAAAATCACCAACTTTGGTGCCAACTCTTAGGTTCAGCTGGATTCACCAAGTAGACATACTGCCAGGCTGCATCGTTTGCACTAAAATCGTGTCACCGGATGGTCGCAAATCGACGTGCCGAAACTGAGGAGTTCACCTCCAATTTGATGAATGCTCTGGAACATTGTGCGAAGAACTTGTTGTAGTACGTCGTCAAAGCCTCTGTTGAAACAAGTGGCAAGCTGGCAAGCATTCTGTTGTGATTCATCGGCATGAGAGTCAGGTCTTAATTTGCGTCAATCTGACTAGTTACTAGTTGCGGTGCTGATTCTTGTGTGCAATCAAGCAAAATCAGGGGTCTTGGCAATCAAAGAGTAGATGGTCTGGGTGTCCAAGATGTCCTGAACCAGACACTGCTGCATCAACTTTGTGACCTGTTTTTCTCAATCCATCACTAAAGATTGATTCAAGGGATTGGTTCAAGGGAAATCTTCGGAACCTCAGGAACCCATGGTGAAACTAGTTTCATCTAGTTTCTACTCCCAACTTTAAGGCTTTCAAAAAAAGACGTTCCCTTCAACATCCTTCAACCATTTCTAGGACAGAACATGATAGTGTGAAAATCTGAAAAGGGTCGTCCTCGTATTCAGCAAGGCGCAGAGATGTTTTCATCGCCTACCGCCGGGCGATCATCCGCAACCACAGATCCCACAATCCGCATGGTTTTTTCATGGACATATGTAAATTTACATGGTACATAAATGTACATAGTATGTATATCATATCATTTATATGCGTACAACTATACACTCTAAAGACAACTGTGTATATCTATATATATATATATGTTATATGTCCCATAGATCTCATATATCTGAGTAAATTATAATATTTCACTAACCTGAATTAAGGCCATTTGGGGATGATTCCCCTTATTAACAATGATTCCAGGGTTCGGTCGCAGTGAGGTCGTTATAATTTACCCAGATATATAAATGATATATATGTATATATATATGTTATATGGAGGGAGAGAGATAGATTCATCCTGACAAATGCACCCTGCAAGATGTCCAAATTGCAGAGCAGCGGTGAAAAAATCAGATCTGCCATGACTATCCAACTCACGCAGCATCACGCAGCTGTGCCAGGCAGCCGCAAACAAGCGAAAACCTACAAAATTGTCCCAAAATTAGAATCCTCAATAAAATTATAACTAAAATTATTGAAACATATTGTAACTACCAACAATTTCTGACTAACATCCTAAGATAGAATCCTAAGAGCGTTTCCTCCCAGCGGCAGTCAGCTTTGGTAAGCAGAATCCACGTACAACTTCACCATAACACATCTGAGGGTCTTTGATTTCGCATCATGCTGCCAGAATTCCGAAGATAAATCACATTTGAACAATTTTGAACAGATGTGAACGGTCTTTTAGTCTTTTATTGGACAAGGTTTACAAGTGTAAACGGCAAACGCGAATACAAAACTACGACAGAATGGACAACAAGTGATCAGTGATCACAGCAGCAGTCAGCTTTGGTAAGCAGAATCCAAGTACAACTTCGCCACAAGAAGTCTGAAGGGTCCTTGTTTCTCTTCATCATGCTGTCAGAATTGCGAGGGAGAATCACATGTGAACAATTGAACAGTCTTTGTTGCATAAGGGTCACAAGGGCAAACGGCAAATGCAAACAGAAAACAACGGAGAAAACTACGACAGAATGGACAACAAGTGATCACAGCAGCAGTCAGCTTTGGTAAGCAGAATCAAGTACAACTTCGCCACAAGAAGTCTGACGGGTCCTTGTTTCTCTGCATCATGCTGTCAGAATTGCGAGGGAGAATCACATGTGAACAATTGTGAACAGATGTGAACAGTCTTTGTTGCATAAGGGTCACAAGGGCAAACGGCAAATGCAAACAGAAAACAACGGAGAAAACTACGACAGAATGGACAACAAGTGATCACAGCAGCAGTCAGCTTTGGTAAGCAGAATCAAGTACAACTTCGCCACAAGAAGTCTGAAGGGTCCTTGTTTCTCTGCATCATGCTGTCAGAATTGCGAGGGAAAATCACATGTGAACAATTGTGAACAGATGTGAACCGTCTTTGTTGCAAGGGGTCACAAGGGCAAACGGCAAATGCAAACAGAAAACAACGGAGGAAACTACGACAGAATGGACAACAAGTGATCACAGCAGCAGTCAGCTTTGGTAAGCAGAATCCAAGTACAACTTCGCCACAAGAAGTCTGAAGGGTCCTTGTTTCTCTGCATCATGCTGTCAAAATTGCGAGGGAGAATCACATGTGAACAATTATGAACAGATGTGAACAGTCTTTGTTGCATAAGGGTCACAAGGGCAAACGGCAAATGCAAACAGAAAACAACGGAGAAAACTACGACAGAATGGACAACAAGTGATCACAGCAGCAGTCAGCTTTGGTAAGCAGAATCAAGTACAACTTCGCCACAAGAAGTCTGACGGGTCCTTGTTTCTCTGCATCATGCTGTCAGAATTGCGAGGGAGAATCACATGTGAACAATTATGAACAGATGTGAACAGTCTTTGTTGCATAAGGGTCACAAGGGCAAACGGCAAATGCAAACAGAAAACAACGGAGAAAACTACGACAGAATGGACAACAAGTGATCACAGCAGCAGTCAGCTTTGGTAAGCAGAATCAAGTACAACTTCGCCACAAGAAGTCTGACGGGTCCTTGTTTCTCTGCATCATGCTGTCAGAATTGCGAGGGAGAATCACATGTGAACAATTATGAACAGATGTGAACAGTCTTTGTTGCATAAGGGTCACAAGGGCAAACGGCAAATGCAAACAGAAAACAACGGAGAAAACTACGACAGAATGGACAACAAGTGATCACAGCAGCAGTCAGCTTTGGTAAGCAGAATCAAGTACAACTTCGCCACAAGAAGTCTGAAGGGTCCTTGTTTCTCTGCATCATGCTGTCAGAATTGCGAGGGAGAATCACATGTGAACAATTGTGAACAGATGTGAACAGCCTTTGTTGCATAAGGGTCACAAGGGCAAACGGCAAATGCAAACAGAAAACAACGGAGAAAACTACGACAGAATGGACAACAAGTGATCACAGCAGCAGTCAGCTTTGGTAAGCAGAATCCAAGTACAACTTCGCCACAAGAAGTCTGAAGGGTCCTTGTTTCTCTGCATCATGCTGTCAGAATTGCGAGGGAGAATCACATGTGAACAATTGTGAACAGATGTGAACAGCCTTTGTTGCATAAGGGTCACAAGGGCAAACGGCAAACGCAAACAGAAAACAACCGAGAAAACTACGACAGAATCAACAACAAGTGATCAGTGATCACAGCAGCAGTCAGCTTTGGTAAGCAGAATCCAAGTACAACTTCGCCACAACAAGTCTGAAGGGTCCTTGTTTCTCTGCATCATGCTGCCTAATTTCAGATCTGAAATTGGATATTCAGTGCTCTTTTGTCGCCTCCCATGTTTTGAATGGTAGTATGACACTGCACGTACATCGTAATTGAAACTTGTCATCTGTATCATCACTGGACACTGAGCGCTCACAAGCAAATGCAACTACAAGCTCAAAGGACAGTCAACCTCAGACAAATGCCTCGAATGTCATCATCCTGTTTAGTGCAATGCACTTCAGGCTCGTCATCTGTATCATCACTGGACACTGCAGTGCTCACAAGCAAAGGCAACTGTAAGCTCAAAGGAAAGTCAACCTCAGACAAATGCCTCGAATGTCATCATCCTCTTTAGTGCAATGTGCACTTCAGGCTCGTCATCTGTATCATCACTGGACTGTTGTGGTGTTGTGTTGAAACAAAACACTTCTTGATTCTGCCTCAGACAATGGCCTTCCACTAAATCATCACGGTGTGTGGTGCTTTGCACTTCAGTTTATTACCGTGAATGACTATCATCATTGGACATACAAACAGCGGAAAATAACTAAGATTCAATGGATAGAACTCATCAAACAAATAGTCTCTAGTGCGTTCCTATTTAGTTTAATATGTACTTCAGGCTCGTCAACTGTATCATTACCGGACTGCTGTGGTGTTGTTTTGAACCAAACACTTCTCGATTCTGTCTCTGACAATGGCCTTCCACTAAATCACCACGGTGTGTAGTGCTTTGCACTTCAGTTTATTACCGTGAACGACTATCATCAACTAGCGATCAGTGACAAAGATTCAAACGATAAAACTCATCAAACAAATGATTCGAATGATATCCTGTGTAGTGCAATGCACTTCAGGCTCGTCATCTGTATCATCACTGGACACTGCAGTGCTCACAAGCAAATGTAACTACAAGTTTAAAGGACAGTCAACCTCAGACAAATGCCTCGAATGTCATCATCCTGTTTAGTACAATGCACTTCAGGCTCGTCATCTGTATCATCACTGGACACTGCAGTGCTCACAAGCAAATGCAACTGCAAGCTCAAAGGACAGTCAACCTCAGACAAATGCCTCGAATGTCATCATCCTCTTTAGTGCAATGCACTTCAGGCTCGTCATCTGTATCATCACTGGACACTGCAGTGCTCACAAGCAAATGCAACTGCAAGCTCAAAGGACAGTCAACCTCAGACAAATGCCTCGAATGTCATCATCCTCTTTAGTGCAATGTGAACTTCAGGCTCGTCATCTGTATCATCACTGGACACTGCAGTGCTCACAAGCAAATGCGACTGCAAGCTCAAAGGACAGTCAACCTCAGACAAATGCCTCGAATGTCATCATCCTCTTTAGTGCAATGCACTTCAGGCTCGTCATCTGTATCATCACTGGACACTGCAGTGCTCACAAGCAAATGCAACTGCAAGCTCACAGGACAGTCAACCTCAGACAAATGCCTCGAATGTCATCATCCTCTTTAGTGCAATCCACTTCAGGCTCGTCATCTGTATCATCACTGGACACTGCAGTGCTCACAAGCAAATGCGACTGCAAGCTCAAAGGACAGTCAACCTCAGACAAATGCCTCGAATGTCATCATCCTCTTTAGTGCAATGCACTTCAGGCTCGTCATCTGTATCATCACTGGACACTGCAGTGCTCACAAGCAAATGCGACTGCAAGCTCAAAGGAAAGTCAACCTCAGACAAATGCCTCGAATGTCATCATCCTCTTTAGTGCAATGCACTTCAGGCTCGTCATCTGTATCATCACTGGACACTGCAGTGCTCACAAGCAAATGCAACTGCAAGCTCAAAGGACAGTCGACCTCAGACAAATGCCTCGAATGTCATCATCCTGTTTAGTGCAATGCACTTCAGGCTCATCATCTGTATCTTCACTGGACACTGCAGTGCTCACAAGCAAATGCCCTTACAAGCTCAAAGGACAGCCGACCTCAGACAAATGCCTCGAATGTCATCATCCTGTTTAGTGCAATGTGCACTTCAGGCTCGTCATCTGTATCATCACTGGACTGCTGTGGTGTTGTTTTGAACCAAACATAACCAAACACTTCTTGATTCTGCCTCAGACAATGGCCTTCCACTAAATCACCACGGTGTGTAGTGCTTTGCACTTCAGTTTATTACCGTGAATGACTATCATCATTGGACATACAAACAGCGGCAAATAACTAAGATTCAATTGATAGAACTCATCAAACAAATATTCTCTAGTGCGTTCCTGTTTAGTTCAATATGTACTTCAGGCTCGTCAACTGTATCATTACCGGACTGCTGTGGTGTTGTTTTGAACCAAACACTGCTCGATTCTGTCTCTGACAATGGCCCTCCACTAAATCACCACGGTGTGTAGTGCTTTGCACTTCGGTTTAGTACCGTGAATGACTATCATCATTGGACATACAACTAGCAATCAGTGACAAAGATTCAACGGATAAAACTCATCAAACAAATGACTCGAATGTTATCCTGTGTAGTGCAATGCACTTCAGGCTCGTCATCAGTATCATCACTGGACACTGCAGTGCTCACAAGCAAATGCAACTACAAGTTTAAAAGACAGTCAACCTCAGACAAATGCCTCGAATGTCATCATCCTGTTTAGTGCAATGCACTTCAGGCTCGTCATCTGTATCATCACTGGACTCTGCAGTGCTCACAAGCAAATGCAACTGCAAGCTCAACGGACAGTCAACCTCAGACAAATGCCTCGAATGTCATCATCCTCTTTAGTGCAATGTGCACTTCAGGCTCGTCATCTGTATCATCACTGGACACTGCACTGCTCACAAGCAAATGCAACTGCAAGCTCAAAGGACAGTCAACCTCAGACAAATGCCTCGAATGTCATCATCCTGTTTAGTGCAATGTGCACTTCAGGCTCTTCATCTGTATCATCACTGGACACTGCAGTGCTAACAAGCAAATGCAATTGCAAGCTGAAAGGACAGTCGACCTCAGACAAATGCCTCGAATGTCATCATCCTGTTTAGTGCAATGTGCACTTCAGGCTCGTCATCTGTATCATCACTGGACACTGCAGTGCTCACAAGCAAATGCAATTGCAAGCTGAAAGGACAGTCGACCTCAGACAAATGCCTCGAATGTCATCATCCTGTTTAGTGCAATGTGCACTTCAGGCTCGTCATCTGTATCATCACTGGACACTGCAGTGCTCACAAGAAAATGCAATTGCAAGCTGAAAGGACAGTCAACCTCAGACAAATGCCTCGAATGTCATCATCCTGTTTAGTGCAATGTGCACTTCAGGCTCGTCATCTGTATCATCACTGGACTGCTGTGGTGTTGTTTTGAACCAAACATAGCCAAACACTTCTTGATTCTGCCTCAGACAATGGCCTTCCACTTAATCAGCACGGTGTGGATTGCTTTGCACTTCAGTTTTGTCGTGTGAATAACTGTCATCCTTGGACATAAACGGAAAGGATCAAGGACATCATAGAAACTGTGTGGTAATGACTAATGGCCACACTTCTCTGTTGCAAATGGATTCAACGTTCAAATCAACCTCCAGGCTAGCTAGCCATATTGAGTCTGCCATTTTCTCAGTGATGCAAACCAACAAAATGATTTTGGCATGCTGCTTCCGGACTTGGAAGGAACTGACACGCACCTGATTCTCTTTCAATCGGAGAGGGGCTTTCTAAGTAATTCTACCTCTCAAGGTTACCTGACTACTTCAAAAAGAGTGATGCTTATGGATTACAACAGTCAGTAACAGGTTTCTGTCAGTATCATATTATCATGGCTCATTATACGACTATTGAGGATTAAATCCTTTCTCACCTTCATATAATTTCCATATATTTCCATATAGTTTCATATGTTACCATATATATCCATCATTATCATCATCATCATCATCATCATCAAATGCCAATGATGTTTCATCTTGGAGCCGACCTAGGTCAAAGTGCCGTAGCCGCCCCGCACCTGTTCGTGCTGACCTTCGTACAACTGCCGTTGGGCGAGGAGATAGATGTGAAAGGCCTGGCCACGAAGGATCCAACCAGCCCTATTTTTTGGAGGTTAATTTCTACTGGAATTGGGGAGAACATACTCTAATTATCTCCGAAAATGTGGTAACGGGATTTATATGGGTTTGTCTGAAAATAGTGTACCCCTACACCCAATGGTTAATGATCATAATCCCTATTAAATGGCTATAATTGGGAATATACCCTATTTTCAAACAAACCCATTTATCTCCACGTTGGCTAATCATAGTGAGTTCGATGAGTTCAAGACAGCGCTGAGATCCTGGTCCCGCCTCGCAGCCTCTCCAAGGGCTTTCCAGTGCTCGATCGCTGGACACACTCTGGTCCTTCCCGCTTCGCAGCATCCGACATGGAGATTCGATGTGAGATTCGTGTGGGTTTGTCTGAAAACCCGATGGAACACCGGAAAGCCCCAAGAATCCCAAGATCTCATCGTCGAGATTTTCTCGTCTTCCGCAGGATTCAATGAGTTCAACGGCCCCGGTGATCAGCGACAGCACAGTCCTGTGTCACCAGCGACTGCAAGGTCTGCGCAGTGGTCATCGTGCCCTGGGTTGCACCTGAGGTATGGCCATCTTAGGGGGTGAAATGAGGTTTTAAACCTCTAGATTTGGGGGTACCCTCAGAAAAACCCAACAGCCCAAGGATATGAAAGTCAAGCTTGATCATCACAACAGGACACCAGGTAGGATAGAGAATAGCTGGAATATTTGGAATCACCAGCCAGGATTCACCTGAAAAAATGGCTGAAAATCACCTGAAATGGTGGAAAAGCTTGGCCGCTGGCTTGTCATCTGAGCATCCAAAGTCTTGTTTTTGAACCTTGGTGAGCAGAAAGAAACAAGCAACCCTGCAGCTACTTTACCTTGATGATAGCTTTGCGCTTGAGTGCAACCCTCACCAAATGCACCTCAAGCGGTCTTCAAGATCCACACTTTTCCACTTCCAGCGCTGCCAACAGGTAGAGCCTTAGCTCAAGAAACAACCCAAACCTCTGTTCGTCCTTGGAACATATTAGAACAAAACAAAGTTCTCCATTCTAAAGTGAGTTTTGTTTTAAGAATCCGCATTAAACCAGGTGGTACAACCCACCTATTTCATATCTAACCAACCATCATGTAATTATCAATTGTATCCCCAGTTTATTGTGTTTAAAACCATCAAAACTCATTGTTTTGACGGTTTTTTCACCCATAGTTGATGGTTAATAAGTATGTGTAACCATCATATCCTTCCACAATGATCGTGCCGCCTCAGCTGCCCCACCTCTTGATACGATCTGGATGACGTTGGGCACCACCTGGTGCGTCATGGAAGTTTCGCTTCGCTGCATGTGTTGTGTGCGGGGTCCAAAACTTAAGATCATCTTGACCCATGGTTTAGAATGGTTTAGGATGATTTGGGATGGTTTTGGACACGGATGTCTACTGAACATCGCCTTCCACAGACCACTCACTGTGATCATTTTTCGATCGATCAGTGGATTTTGACTGGGCTCAGAGGCCACGTGCCCAAAAAAAGCGTACGCTCCATTTTTTCGCAGCCCACGCGCCAAAGGTTTCGCACAGAACTGGGCCCAACTCAGCTTGCTTCGCGATGTCGTTATGACTGCAGGAGAAGCTGTGCAACCTGGAAAATCGTAACGATGGGATCATGATCCCATGGAAAATCACCAAGAATTACTAATGATTAGTAATATTAAGGATATTAATATATATATATATACATATATATATATACATATATATATATTATATAATAGATGTTAGTTGAAACAGACAACTCGTTCTGTTCTTTCTTGTCATTTGGACCCACATCATGGCCTTAACCAGGTGATTTTTCAAACGTGATATCTGTCAGATTTCGCCATATTCCAAGGAACGGCACATGTCCAATCTCCGCCAAACGTCTTCCGTGCTCGAAGGGCACTTTGTTGTCTTCCGTGCCATGAAGAATGATCACCTCAACTGAAGTGCAAAACTGCAAAGTTACCCTCCGGTAATGACTACAAAAAAAAAGTGTGCGAACTGGAAAATCATCATGTTATGTTCAAAGTAATAGGTGAAAAAATCCACCAATGTGTGATTGTTCATGGCTATCTCTAATTACCAGAGGCTATCAATTCGATGAAGCTGCTAACTGGGACCCTTTTTCAGGGGACCTCTGACCTCAGAGAATTTCTTCATCATTTGGTTTCTCACAATTCCATACAATTCCAGGGATATAACTGATATAACCCTGATTGTTTGATATTCTCTCAATGATGGGGGAATGCTTGTCGAACCCATGTTTTTTTCCCCCAAGGTTTGTTTCTTCTGAAATGGTTGGGTCTGAAAACAAGCTACCCCTTAACCGAATGGCTGGGACATATCAGAAGTCTACACATCAAAAATGCAGCAAATTGGGTGCCCATCCCCTATTTTCGGACATATACCTATTGAATATTGTGATATGCGTTGTATTCCGTTTGTAGTTGGTTAAATATCTGTTGTTGGTTGGTTGAAACCCCAATGATTTGAAACCCCAATGATATCCCATTAATCCTCACTGTTTTGTTACTTGAGTCCCATTTAATCCCATTTAACCCCAATGTTGTTGGTTGATTCACTAACCTGCAATGTGGGGCCCCCAAGATAGCTAAGTTGGTTTATAACTACAATAACTAGGGTTTATAGTAGTTATAACCATAGTTAGATGGGGTTATAAACCAACTTATAACGTTTGGGGGCCCCACATTGTAGATGTTTGGCTATTTTCAGATATTTACCCCAGTCCCAACCATCATTCCAATGATGTTACAGTAAGGTCCTTATCATTTATCCAGAATAATTCCCATGATATCATCATCTCCACTAATTACCGCCATGTTTGTTGACATCTCCATTATTCATGGTGAAATCAACGTGCTTGATTTGTTATAGTTATGTAAACTATGTTAAACTGGTTGGTGGTTTCAACCACTCTGAAAAATATATAAACATATTAGTCTGTTGGGATGATTATTACATATTATTACCAATATATGGAACTTATGGAAAGTCATAAAATTCCATGGTTCCAAACCACCAAACCAGTAAAACCTATTTGTTACACCCAAAGAACATCCAGAACTCGCAACGTATCCAACGTGCTCCGAGTGGCTGGGACCTGCTGGGCCACTTCTTGGATCTTGGAGGCCGAATCAAAGCGCAAGGCGCCCATCACTTGAGACAGGCGCCGGCTCAAACCTCGCGGCCGGCGTGGGGGGGACATGTTTGGAGAAGTGAATTGAGATATGTTGAGGTCATGTTTTGGGACCAGTGTTTTTGATCGGTTTATTTTGTCCATCTATTTCCGTGGACAATCCTTGCTCTTAGATGTGTGTTTTGGAATTTTTGTTTGAAGGGTTACCTTGAGCCATGTCCAAAAGGCTATGGGGCATCATAGTGAAGGTGTTTCGCTGCTGGAAAGTCGAGGTATCATCAAACAGCAATGTGTCGGGTGATTGTGTACACAAAATGGGACAGTTTATCACCAACAAACGCCATTTCATCTGTGATCGGTGGAGATGAAACGCAAGATAACGCAAGTATAGTGGCAAATCAATCATTCCAAGGCTCAAACCCTTCGAGTTTGAAGTGTGGATAACTTGTCTGACATCTTCTATCTGTTTATCATCAATCTGGGTCTGTATTAGGTGGTCAGTTGGTTACGTTTGGCATTACTAGGATATAACCAGCTGTCATCAACCGGACAAAAAATAATTGGTCGGTCTGTCCATATTTCATACTCAATTCATAGCAGCATAATCACTTACCATGTCCATCAAAATCTCGCCGTACTATCTGACCACTCCAATGTGGGCTCGTCCAAGACTTGCATCATGGGAAACATGATTGTCTCAACTCAATCATGAGATTATAGAGTAATGTAAACCCTGATTCATGTTCGCCCTGGCAGACAACTTGGCTTGGCCCCATACCCCTGCAACAAAAAAGATCATGTTGTTTATTGCATTATGTCATTTACCAAACTATATCACTCCAGGGTTGACTTTTCCATGGCTATGGGTCAATGATTTCGGCCCAGCCACAGATTTTGGTCCATTTTCAGTAGGAGGATCATCATCCACGAATCGTAAGTGGTGAACATAAGCCTAGTTAGCAATGTTAGCAAGTCCCCCGTTTTGTGGCTTATCCCATAAATGTGCGAAAACGAACTATATGGTTACAAATCAGTTACGATCCCTGGGATCCTCCAAGTGAACCATCCCCGGTCACCTTGCTGAAGGTTCGTCCAGCTATTGGGTGTCACCAAGGAAGCAGCCGCTGAGGACAAGGAGAGGAAGGGAGCCTGTGGCCATTTTGAGGAAAACCATGGGATGTTTTCATAACTGTTGACCATAAATCATGGGAAAACCATGGGAAAAGCCTGTAATTTATAAAGCCAATGTCATGTGGTAATGGGATGGATGGCATTTTTTATTCAAGTTCGAAATGAAAAGCCTTCGGATAATGTGGCAAACCCAATGCCATTAAACCCAGTAATTGTAAACCACACTACTTGTAAATGGGATGTACAGTAATCATTATTTGGCTAGTGGGTTAGTGGTTATAAACCCAATCATGTGGTAAAATATGACCTCCAGTCATGGTTGGGTAGATTGGAGATGGTTTATGTCATTGCGTTTACCACGTTATCCTATTTTGAGACCAGTCCTAACTTTTAAGAATAGGAAAAGTATAGAAAAGTAAATGGAGTGTTCCATTACCAGCTGAGATTACCGGAGGTTATCCCTGGTCCTGGTTATATTCAAATTATAAGTGATGTAACATAAAATCTATAACTGGGGTACATAGCACCCAACGGCTAGAACTCACCGTACCAGTTTCTGCCTCCAAGACTACTCCTTTGCATCGCTTGCCGTCCTCCAGCAACTTTGACAAAGCAGACAAGGCAATTCCAGTACCGAGGCCTCGGCTTTGCACATGCGGCATCGGTTCAGCTTACCCTCTGATAAACACAAAAAACAATGGGAAATCCACCATGTTTGATGGGTAAACTAACTATCAATCCCCATTTTCAATAGCTAAAAGCTATCGGAAAAAAAAAAAAAACAACAGGTCCCGCAGCTGAGATTCTATGCCCCCACAGGATGACCTCGGCAAAGTGGCAACGCTCAAGCCCTTAGTAAATGGCTCGGATATCGTGGGATATAGACATATAACCAAGATCAAACAATGAGGTCTGTCGAGAAGTAAGGGATATGTACCTCCAATCCGTTGCCATTAAACAAATCAAGACATTGATGGACCGTTGGGGATGCTCCTGTATTGCTGGGTTTCAATTGACAGCAATCATGACACAATCTCAACATGGACCATATCAAATGGAGCAGGTGAGTTTCAGCATCTCTACAGCCCCGGGCCAAGGTGACAGGCTCAGCTCCTCAACCCCTTAATTGTGGATTATTCAGGCAGCAGTCAGAATTGGGTGCCTTAAAAATGCATAGTTGGATACCGAACATGACAAACACATGCAAAAACTGCATACCCAGGGAGGGCCCTAGATTGTGACCCATTTCCGTTCCCTTTTGGCTTCTGCGAAACGAAGTACTGCGATCCCACAAACGATGCAGCAAATCACAACCATAGTCAGCAAGTTGCCTCTTCAGTGGATGACCCTGATTGCTCCATAAACTCCAGGGTTGCCAAAACATCGGCAACTGCAGTGGCCTACAGATGGACAAAATGGAAGGAAAGCAACTGAAAGGGTGAAGCAGTGAACCTCAAAAAGCAAAAGCCTCAGGACTTGGGATGGTTTTTGGCATTTTTGGCTTGGCTTCCTGCCTCCGTGGGACGGCAGAAGTCCGAATAGCCGCAACCACAATAGTCTATGGCCAGCACCTCCCAAGGCTGGAATTGTGGGAGACTCTCCATGGAACTCAAGAATTGAATCCTGCCGACCTCGCAACAAAGCGGATCATCTACCAGCAAGTTGTAAAGCCAACAGCGGTGTAGAACTCCAACGTTTCCACCTTGCCTGAAACCCAGCGGGGTAGGATGTACAGTCTACTGGCGTGAAGCTGGGAAGATGTTCATCCCCGCAAATATGGTATTATTATATATTATTATTATGTATTATTTGGTTTTGAATGGAACAATGACCCATTCCCCCATGTTGTAAAATTTCAACACCCGACTGTTGCTCAGCCTCCACTGTGATTTTCATTACAATCTGAATACTGCCTGTTAAATGCGTTCAGTTTGACGCTTCGCCGAAAAACAACTAGGGATTCAACCGTCGCATGGCTAAGTTCGGATACTCCGCAAGAAACTGAAGCCAATCTCTAGTGGGATGCATGATATGATCGTGTTCCTCTGCAAAAATTGTTCAAACAATATATGATAACAATATTATAGCAACCCCCAAACAGATAGAAAAGTGTTTCCAAGATGTTATAGGTTCTGTTTCCTCCACATTCTCCAGTCCAACTGTCAGACATCAAGCTAAGGTGCCCGTGCAAGTACAGCACCCGATGCTTGGTCTCGCCCGGCACGATCCGAATCCCACGCACTGTGCCGTTGGGACCGGAGATGCTCAGGGGAGATCCCCGCGACAAACCTCGCCGGCAGGGCGAATGACGGGATTCAACTCGATACTTCTTGTGGTACTAAATGAAGTGTGATGAATCGATATATTTTCATCACCTCTAACCACAGAAAAAGTACTGTGAAAAACCCTGAACTTCGAAGGTTCAAAGACACCAGTCCCTCTGCTTTTCCGGTCACTGCCACTGTGCCTGGGAAAGGCCCAAAGGCTTCATCTTCGAGGTAGCCCAAACGCCGGCAGAGGTTCTGCACTTTGGGACCCGAAGGCCTTGGGCGCTGAAATGATCTCTGCAAAGTCTCATGTAGAAAAATGAAAATTTGGTGCTTGTGATTCAGCATCCTCCAATCATTCACTACACTTGGATCTTGCCATCACATGCCCCCGGCCGATGGTTTTGAATGGTTTTGATGGTACTTAGCCCGACCGGCTTTTATTCTGAGAAGTGATTGGGTCAGTCCCGTTTCATAGTTGCTTCCCTGCTTTCTGAATGAAAACTCTGCACTCTCCCACCTCGTTGGGTCGTCTTTGTCGAATGGCGGCCAATTGACCAAAAAACCGAAGGTGATGGCTGACTGCATGGCACCAAAACGTCAAGCGATTTGAGCCCAGCACGATTCAACCGGGCAACTCAATGCATTTCTGTCATGGTGTGGTTTTAGGTTGTTGGGATTGCCACTGATGCGTCATACTCTAGCTTAAATGCTCAGGTATCTTCCTTGGCTAATCCTAAACCTTGCCTCAAAAACGAACAAAAACATTGGAGGAAGCAGGCGCACTGGCCTCGTGCCCCTTTCTTGCAGAGTCTTCCCTACCCTTTTTTTTTCGTTTGAGCTATCTGCTATTTTCGATGAGCTACCTGCTGCTTGCAATCTTGATATATCTTGGTCCGCAACGTGCACACCATGGTCTGGTAAAGCATCAGAAGGATACTGAAACGGGATCCACAAAAAACTGAGCAACTGCGATCACAAAAAAGGCACAGGTCTAACTTCTCAAAATATCTGAAAATGAAAAAAAAAATCGGGCCTGGCATATCCTTGGCCATCTGGTTCAGAAGCTTTGCGGCCTGCAACACGGTGGATTCCATGGATTATGCCTGGGTTAATTGTGGATTATCACGCTGGGGAAACTGGTCGTCATTGGACCTTCAGGATTTTCTTAGCGAGAAAAATTGGGTGCCAGTACAGTATCCTATGTTCAGACCCAATGGGTGAAACTTGGTTTACCCGAAAGTGAGATGATGATGGATGGTTTATTTCAAAACTCGGGATGTGCTACGACCCAATACAAATCCCAATACATTGCAAGCGTGGAAAAAGCAGCGCATTACAAAAGCCTGTTTTGATCCTGGCAGTCAGAAACTGCTGGCGAATCTTCGCTGATCCTGCCAGAGTCAAATAGTCTTTGGCATGGGCCTCTCCTTTCAGGATCAAACGCCTGCCAATGCTTAGGCCTCTCTAGGTGCTCGGAAGAGTATTATAAGCACCCATTGGAAAAGCGGAGATTCTTCGAGTCTTTTTCAAAGACTCTTCAGAATTGATAAATAGCTATGTGTCGTTATGTGTTGCGTCTAGGCCAAACACCTACTGTAACAATTTGCTTAGTTCTGCGCGGTCATTTGCACAAGAGCTCATTTAAAAAAGTCACGGCGCGCGCCAGCACACCAGGAAAAAGACTGGTGTGAATCGAATCATTTGGGATATTTCCGTGATATTGCACGGGACATCCGTGTGGCACGGGACTTCTGCGCATTCACCACCCCCGTTTGCATCCCTTGACCTCAGACCGATGCACTGGTTGGGCATCAGCTGCCGTTGCAGTTGTAGAAACAGGGTGGGGTTGGTGGCTTGGGTAAGACGTTTGGTGACTGTCAAATGGGGGAAAACTCGTTTTCGCTACAAAACATTTCTGAACTTGGGTCAATGGTTGGGTGATGGTGATGGAATGTAGAGTTCTTCACCAATATATTTAATATCACTTGGAATAGGCACTTGGTATGGACATTCGCCGCACTTTTTATTTGGGCTATGCCGGCTGGTGGCCCTCCTAGCCGCCATGGCCTCCCTCTCCAATCGCTCGCCCCAGGATGTTTAACGGCAAGCCGCTTGCCAGAAACTTGCAAACGTCCAGCAGCACCTCGTGCAGTTGGGAGAACTCGTCTGAAGTGAACTTTCGCAAATCCACAATGTCCTCACGAGATTGCGCCGAGGAAGTGCCTCAAAAAAATGAGATTGCGACCACTAGAGCTCTACCAATGATGCCTTTGATGGCCACCCACTACTTTTTAGAGCACCCATGTATGCCATGTATATATATATACACACTATATATATATATACTATATATATACTATATATATATACTACATATACTATATATATATACTACATATACTATATACGTAATGCTACATATAATATACTATATATATACTGTCTATACTATCTATACTATATATACTATCTATACTATAGATACTATATATACTATATCGACTATATATACTATCTATACTATAGATACTATATATACTATATCGACATGAGAGAGAAGACGAGAAGAGTGAGACGAAGAGACAGAGAAGAAGAGAGAGAAGGGAGAGGATATGAGATGGAGAGAAGAGAAGACGAGAGAGAAAAGAATCAGAGAACAGGAGAGATAGAAGAGAATGAGAAGAGAGAGAAGAGATTGAGAGAAGCGAAGGGGGGAAAGGAGAGAGAGACGAAGAGCAGAAGAAGTAGAGAGGAAGAGAGAGAAGAGAAGAGAAAGAGAGATAGAGAGAGAACGAGAGACAAGAGAGAGAAAACGAGACCGAACTAAGGAGGTGAAGAGAGAGAAGAGAGAAGAGAGAAGAAAGAAGAGAGAAGAGAGAAGAGAGAAGAGAGAAGAGAGAAGAGAGAAGAGAGAAGAGAGAAGAGAGAAGAGAAGAGAGAAGAGAAGAGAGAAGAGAAGAGAGAAGAGAAGAGAGAGAAGAGAGAGAAGAGAGAGAAGAGAGAGAAGAGAGAGAAGAGAGAGAAGAGAGAGAAGAGAGAGAAGAGAGAGAAGAGAGAGAGGAGAGAGAAGAGAGAGAAGAGAGAGAAGAGAGAGAAGAGAGAGAAGAGAGAGAAGAGAGAGAAGAGAGAGAAGAGAGAGACGAGAGAGAAGAGAGAGAGAGAGAGAGAAGAGAGAGAAGAGAGAGAAGAGAGAGAAGAGAGAGAAGAGAGAGAAGAGAGAGAGAGAGAGAAGAGAGAGAAGAGAGAGAAGAGAGAGAGAGAGAGAAGAGAGAGAAGAGAGAGAAGAGAGAGGAGAGAGAGAGAGAGAGACAGGGCGAGTGAGAGAGACGGGAGATAGACGAGAGGACGAGAGAGGGAGAGAGCGAGAGAGAGGAAGAGAAGCGAGAGAGGACGAGAGAGAATGATAGATACGGAGAGAAGAGAGATACCGAGAGAGAATAAGAGAAGAGATGAGAATAGATATGAATATAGAGGAAGATATAATAGATATAATATATAGGGAAGCGAGGATATAACATAATATAGACTAGAGATAAGAGAATATATAGATATAATAGATATAATATGAGAAATATGATTACGATATAAAGGATATATACTATATATACTATATATACTATATATACTATATATACTATATATACTATATATACTATATATACTATATATATTATATATACTATATATACCATATATACGATATATACTATATATACTATATATACTATATATACTATATATACTATATATACTATATATACTATATATACTATATATACTATATATACTATATATACTATATATACTATATATTCTATATATTCTATATATACTATATATACTATATATACTATATATACTATATATACTATATATATACTATATATAGTATATATAGTATATATACTATATATACTATATATACTATATATACTATATATACTATATATACTATATATACTATATATACTGTATATACTGTATATACTATATATACTATATATACTATTTATATACGATATATACGATATAAACGATATATACTATGTATACTATGTATACTATGTATACTATGTATACTTTATATACTATTTATACTATATATACTATATATACTTTATATATAGTATATATAGTATATATATAGTGTATATATATACTATATATAGTATTTATACTATATATAGTATATATACTATATATACACTATATATACTATATATATATACTATATATATACTATATATACTATATATACTATATATACTATATATACTATATATACTATATATACATTATATGTATTATATACTATATATACTATATATATTATATATACTATATATACTTTATATACTATATATACTTTATATACTATATATACTATATATACTATATGTACTATATATACTCTATATACTATATATACTATATATTGTATATATACTATATATACTATATATACTAGATATACTAGATATACTAGATATACAATATATACTGTATATACTATATATACTAGATATACTAGATATACTATATATACTGTATATACTATATATACTATATATAGTATATACCATGTATAGTATATATACTACACATAGTATACTTTAAGTATATACTATAATAATATGCTATATTTGCCGTATTTGCTGTATTCAAACTGTATATGCGTTATATTACATATTATACATGTCAATACTACATAAAATCGATTTAATATATATATAGTGTTCACTATATATTTATTTATTTATAAAATGCATATTGTATATACTCAGTGTATATACTTTATATACTGTAAATACTATACACACTTATATACTGTGTACTCTATATACTAGATACTATAACAAACTTTATATATACTATACAACCACCTCCCCACCCCACCACATTCAAAAAAAAGGGGTGTCCTTGACGGTGGTGTGGTTGGAACCTCTCAAGGTGAGCATTCCCTCCATGAATTCTGCAAAGGTGAGAGGTTCACCGTCTTCAAAGAGCAGAATGCCATAGTCCTGCCAGAGGCAATATATGGGGTATATATATATATATGATGTTTATATGGGGTATATAGTTTTATATATGGTAATTCACTATATATATACACATGATGTTCTATGTTCTATCCCCAAGAAAATGCGAATGCTTTTGTTTAGCCCAGAAATTAGCGAATGGTGCCTGTGAATGATTGTGAGTGGCCATTCATTGATTGATTGGCTTGGTTTTTGTTGGGAAAATTAGAGGAAACCCGTATATTTGATGGTCAATCCCTTGTTTCCTGTAGATGTCCCCTTCAACCAATCCATTGACAGAGGGGTCAACTTTGACCAAATATGACAACATGGGATACCTATGGACCTATTGGAGTAGCCAAGAAACAGGGATGGTTGACTCGCAGAATAACCTTAAAATCACCAAATTCGCAGATCTTACCCTCTGGTAATTTAACATAGCTATGGAAAATCACAATTTTTAATGGGAAAATCCACTATAAATGGTCATTTTCAATAGCTTTTTGTATGTTTACCAGAGGGTAAATAGAGACCCATCCCCAATCCCTGACATTTTTGACTGAATGCCCGACCGCTTTTTTTGGTGCAGCCATCGCCAAATCGCTATGGATCACACTGGTCCCGGACCACAAATGTTGTTCACCTTTTTGGCTACCCTGATGACTTGTCTACTGGTTGGTGGTTGAGCCCTACCCCTCTGAAAAATGATGGAGTTCGTCAGTTGGCATGATTATTCCCAATATATGGAAAAGTAAAAAATGTTCCAAACCACCAATCAGTAATTAATAGTAATTATATATACAGCTCCCCCTTGACAACTGGCCCTAGAAATTAAACACAGATGATCACAGATGCAGCGCAGTCCAGCGCTGCCGTCATGTCCACGCCCAGCACGGTCAATGCTTTGGCAGCCTCAGGCCTGCCGATAAACTTCGGGCCTAAAAAATGTGTAATCATCAGCTGTCTCCTTGGTTTGCTCCAGACAAATCTAATTAATCTGCAAAGTGTTTGTTGCCAAGGTCAACATCTCTTTCGCACATATTCTCGCATGTTTTTTGAACCTCAAAAATGTGCTGTAACTTCACCGCAACTCCAACTGGCCTTGATAGGAGGTTCACGTACTCCGTCTCCGAGATGCGATTGTCGCCGTCTTCATCTGCACCGCCTTTGTCGATCATCTCCCACAGGACCTTCTGTGCAAAGTCGATGTCCAGTTGCTCACGCTCCAGGGTGGCCACCGTACTCACTGTCTCCACCAAGACACCAACCAGGAGACCCATCACGATGTAAGAAGCAAAGAGGATGAATAGCAACCATAAAAGTCCTGGCAGGGGAATGTTTCTACACGTTTTTTTGCGAAGTATGTTCAATATGTTTAGGACGAGACAGTCGGATTATGGTATGTTAAGTATGTCTGGTCTTGGAACTAGTTAGAACTTTCCGCGTCATTGCTTGGCTCCATCAGTGGTGTCGGCTCCGCAGCAAATATATCTTGACTGCTGCAGTGAGGTCACAAGAAATGCCACGTCCACGTCCTACGAACCAGTTGTCTGCTGCGGCTCGCTTGAAGGATTCTTCCTGGTCAGGCATGATGCACTGCACAAGCAGCGTCAGCAAGGTAGATCCCATCGAGGAAAACAACAAGGCCGGCAGCTCTGTTCCGCGGCTCACTTCGGTGATGGCAACACTGAAAATCACGGTGACCAAAATCAGAAGCACGATTGTAAAGAAAACCTGGTTTTCGTGGTCCCTACCCATCCCCAAAAATTCACAAGACGTCAACTATTCGGCAAGTCCTCTGCGGGAAACGATCAAAAGAAACATGCTAAAATATAGCATGTCTAAAACCAGAGAAACAGATCGAAACGCAATCATCATCCCTTTCAGCAAAATGATCAGCTCGGGCATGTAGCGCACCAGTTTCGCCACCCGCGCAGTCCGCAGCACCCGCATGACCCGCGCGATGCGCAGAATCGATGCGCTGCGCGCCACGTCGGTGCCGCCGTTCATGCCACCGGAGAGGAGACTTACCAAGGGGATCAACCACGTCTCCAGAACCATCATGCTAACCTCATTGCGATGTGGTACCAGATATGTACCAGATATGTACCAGATATGTTTGTTGGTTCATGTTGGTTCATAATCCATCATAATCCCATCTAACTATATGTTGTAACATGTTATAACTACTACAACTACCCTAGACCCTAGTCAACCTGGTTGAGATCGTTGTAAAGCTACCTGGCTAACTATGGGGGCCCCACATTGTGGTTGAGCTACCCCCTGAAGAATCATAGGACAGTCAGACAGGGGATATTTGGTTGATGAATCATCCTCCCATTTCTATGAAACAAACATATGACTGAAACCACCAACCAGTAACCAACACGGCATCAAAAATGAATGGCGGATCCCTGATGGCATTGCAGCCACTGGAATATCCAATGAATCTCAACAAGAGCTCCACGGAGAAAAAGAGAAGGAAGATGTTTTCGACCACGAAGAAGCCCTGCGAGGCATCTGAGGCTGGCTCAGCATTGAACTCGATGTCGATGGGGATCCAAATTGCATTTAGCAATGTAGCTGCCATGGCAACTCGTTCGAAGCATGGGTGCTTTCCAACCTTCACAAGACAGCGCTCATGTTGCACGTCTTCTGGCTGAGTAAAGTTGTCGAATGCAGATCTACGGACAGATTTTGCAGCGTGCTCGGCATTCAAATTGGCAAACCTTAGCTTGGTCACAGCAACAAAAAAGAGTATGTATATATATATATTGTAAAAAATATTGCAAACCAAAAAGTGTCACAGACTCGGTGTCCGTCTCTGCCATGCCACGCTGAAGATGCACCAAACCGCTCTTCAGCATCCTTCGCAGCCTCTTGCTTCTCCTTGCGCGAGGTGGATGCGATTGAGGTATCTTCCTCCACTGCAGTCCTCAGGATGACTTGACACGCCAAAAAAGGTTCACCTCATCTAGAAATGGGAAGTTGGACAATCTACAGAACCGCCACGAAACATGCGTGGTCAAAAAAGGAGCTGTTACCATGGTGTTTTGTTTTTTAGATTTAAAGTACCCCAGAGGAACCATTTGGCATACACCAACAGAAGATCTGCCAAAAAGAAAAAATGCATTGCAGGAAATCGGAGAAACAACAGGCAACACTCAGAAACACCATGGAATTTGTCATGGCGTTTACCAAAAATTACCTCCACAATATGAGGGGATCAAGCGCATGTCCAACAATTCTGCTGAGCTTCTTATGGATCCAAGGCATGTGTCTTTTCCGTTTCTCTCCAACGTTGTTCAGGGTGGAAAAGGTGGCTACCGCAGACTCCCGCGCTGATCTGAACCCATGTGACCCATCTCCTTGCGGTGTCTCTTCCAAACAGCCTGGTAGTGTGGGAGCCGAATGAAAGCTTCCATAGTTTCCATCGTCCTGCAAAGCTCTGGCGTTTTGAGCGAAGATGGGCAACAAAACCTGGTTTTGACTCTTCCTATATTAAAAAAAAAGGTTCCTCTAGATTTTATTCGTTGGTATATTCACCCCGCTTCGCGTGGGGTGGCCGCCCACACCGCAGGTTTATTTCGGTCCGTGAGAGGGGCTAAGGGTGGTTTTCCCCCGTGGGGGCTCCCCAAGCTAAGAATTTTCACTTTCCCCCCCCGTGGGGGCTCCCCAAGCTAGGGAATTTTCACTTTTCCCCCCCGTGGGGGCTCCCCAAGCTAGGGAATTTTCACTTTTCCCCCCCGTGGGGGCTCCCCAAGCTAGGGAATTTTCACTTTTCCCCCCCGTGGGGGCTTCCCCAAGCTAGGGAATTTTCACTTTTCCCCCCCGTGGGGGCTTCCCAAGCTAGGGAATTTTCACTTTTCCCCCCCGTGGGGGCTTCCCAAGCTAGGGAATTTTCACTTTTCCCCGCCGTGACAGCTTCCCAAGCTATGGAATTTTCACTTTTCCCTCCCTTGGAGGCTCTCCAAGCTGCGGAATTTCAAATAGCTAGACAACGACGCCTAGATAGTCCCCCAAATCCCGTGTTCTTTGAATGTGTTCCCATGTTTTTGCAATGGTTTCCTTCAAAGCACGGTACTTTACACTTTTGTCGCCATAAAACCGGTCGAAAACATCATGTTCGACAATGCTTCCAATTCCCTTATCTCCCCAACCGTTGAAAATACCGCTATTTACAGTGTTTTCTTCAATTTTTCCATGTTCCAATGCCGGTAGCCAACTCCAACATATATATAAGAAATCCTTCCAAAACATTGTTTTTGACAGTGTTTTTTCCAATGTTTCCAGTCAAACAGACGGTAATTTACACGTTTTTTGCCATAAAGGCAGTAAATCCTTCCAAAACATTGCTTTTGACAGTGTTTTTGTAATGTTTCCAGTCAAGCATACGGTAATTTACACGTTTTTTGCTATAACGTCAGTCCAAAACACTTGTTTTTGCAGTGTTTTCAATGCTCTGGCATCCAAAAACCCTGCAAAATCTTGCTATGTACAATGTTTTTTTCATTTTTGGCCGTTTTTCCATTGCCGGAAAGCTACCAAAATGACCCAAAATTCCATTTCAATACCCTCTTGCGCTCAGACACCCAAAAATCCTCGAAAAATGTCGAAAACACCACCGTATTCTGGTCTCGGTGCGAAACCGTTTTTGGCCCCCCCCCAGCTAAAGCTGATATAGCGACTGCTATATTAACAAATGTCATTGAGCATTTAGTGTTGCTGTTTTGCCCCCCAATAAGCACGCCTTCACCGCCAAAGCGGTGTGGGCGGGTTTTTGTACAATGTTAAACGCCTCCATGGCTTAGCACTTGGAAGTTTACTGCTGGCTGCCGTCAACGTTTCAAGCATCCCTTGGAAACACGGCAAAATCTGTGTGTAAGTTCGATGATGGTACCCTCTGGTAATTTAACATAGCTATAGAAAATTGCCATTTATAGTGGATTTACCCATTGAAAATGGTGATTTTCCATAGTTATGTTAGTTTACCAGAAGGTATGCCACGGGAAACTTTCGTTCCTTCGGCAAGCTGCAGAGTGACGCTGGCTCCCCCTTGGGTTCGGCGACGTCCCTCGGCATCCGATAGGAGACTCCGCTAACAAGCTTCCACAACAGTGACAGGCAAATGATCAAATGCAAACCTCAGAAATCCCTTCAAGTTGCATAATACACATGGAAAACAACACAATTGATGATATTGATGTATTAAGCTAAGAATTGAAGATAAAAGGCAGTTACTTGCGTGCACTGACTTGATCACACCAAAATCCAATCGTATCTCAGCAACATCTCCATCCGAAATCCCGCCTGGTTGATGGAATTCGTTCCAATTGCCGAACCTGCCCATTGGTTGACGATCAGAATCTCCTTTGAACTCAGGAAATAGGCCCTTGATGGCCCTTGTCAATAGGGAAGGACCAAACGCAACCTACAGATACCTACAGTAACTATGTTCAATCTTCGACTGCTTTGAATGCATGCCAAGCAAGTACAGCAGGACCTGCTAAGTGCTCACAAGGTCAGTGCCATGGTCCTTTAGCATATTCCAGAACACAGGTTGTTTTTCTTAGGATTTTTCTGCGGATCCTGTCTTGGAGATGGTCCGCGATGTCCCGTATGAAGTATGATTGGAAACCCCGGAAATCCCACCCAATTTCATGGTCTAGCAGCGATTTATGAAAACGTAGGAAAGACAAGTATGGTCTCGAGGAATTCCATCTTCGGTACAACCTTCGGAGCATCTGAGCCATCCCAATAAACCTGGTAGTACCCTCTGGCAATCTAACGTAGCTATGGACTATGGAAAATCACCACGCTTTACTAGGTAGATCATCTATCAATATGCATCAATATGCCATGTTCCATAGTAATTTTCCATAGTAGCTGTGTCAAACTGAGGGTATAATAGTATAAGTCGCTATTTTATAATAGCATAAAAATATATCATATGCAACCAACAGGGCGATGTTGTTCTCATCATTCCGAGATCGCACCTTCTCCAGCTCGCTGTCCAGCTGCGACAGGATGGCCTTTTGACTCTGAATCAACGAGCCCCGGAAACCGTTGAGGCTCTCCAGAAGTCCTGGAAGCTTGGGCCGGTGGCGGATTCTTTGGCGTTGAAAGGGATATGACCGATATAATCCCATATAGATCATTAGTATAATTGTAGATATTAATGATCTCAATATGATCTCATTTTAGTTATCCCAACAATTGAGGAAAATTCCAACAAGGCGCCTCTGGGGGATGACGCAGGGGAAGTTCCGTGCCGGAAAGGATCGAAACTAGGAGGTGACCTCGGAGTGGGTCACTAACCGTTGTTGAAAAAGCCATGCATTGCGAGTGTTTCCCACCAGTACAAGTCCCACAAGTCATCTGTGTTCATCACAATGGATTGGTTTAAGGGAAAATGTACAGGAAAACCCCATATTTAATGGGAAAATCTATTGTTTCCTGTAGATTTTCCCTTAAACCAATCCATTGATCATCACAATGGATCTTGCTTTTTTATATGCTTTTTTGCAGTTTGGTGGCAAGTCCAACGTGGTCGGGGCAGAAGGAAAGTCACCAGTGAAGAGCATCGGCATGCTTTCAGCGTTCAACAATTTATGTCTAAGTGCCTACTCTCTCTCTCTCTCTATCTTTCTTTCTCTTTCAATTCTCAATTTTGTTAATGTTGAATGTGTAGCTGCAGCGCTGCTTTCATGATACTAAACAAATGAGTGTTTCTTCCTTACTGCATATTTCGTCTGAAACACCAAAGCCAATGTTTTCTGGGCCACTCCTCTTGAGCTTCTGGTTGGTTTGCTCATGACCGTGGATTTCTTGTTGTCATCTATGAAAGAGTGAACTCTGGGCCGACAGCAGCATGGGGTAACAGGCATGAGCCCCAAAATCGCCCAAACATGACCCTGTACACGCTTTGCGAGGCATCATGCACCACAGTCAGAGAAAATATGAAGAAAATACAAAATATGAATAAAAAAAAGACCGACTCAATGACTCCAAAGAAAATGACTCGCCCCCTGGACCCTTCACAACCTCAAAACCCTCTGTGAAACAGTCTCCAAATGCACGGCCAAGACTGAGCCATGCCTCCGTGTGTCGACTGGCTTTTCGGTACAGCTGAACTGCCTGCAGCAACACAGCGATGGCTGAACTGCCCGTGACCGGCCCTGAGCTGTGTCCAGAAGCCCAAAAACTGGTGACACTGAAAAACCTGAGGTTTTCAACCACTGAATTTGGGTTTCCCAACATTTTTGGGCCCCTTAAGTACCCTCTGGTAATTTGTTATAATAATAGCTATTGAAAATGGTCATTTAATTATAGTGGATTTACCCATTGAAAATGGTGATTTTCCATAGTTATGTTAGTTTACCAGAAGGTAACACTCAACTAGCATTGGTATGCATGGGCCCAGCACCTCAATCTTCTTATTCTTGTCCAGCAGGTGCTGTGCATACTTCGCCAGCAAGCCTGCAGCTGTGGGTGATGATCTGCAAGACCCAGGGGAAGCGATGATGTTGGTAACTTAACTAGTTCCAGGATCTTTCAAGACTATATCCATGATATATATATATATAAGATGTATGTACAGTATTATTTCATATCCCATGTTGATACATTGTTGTTCGGCTCCCAACTCTGGCCCATCAAATCTCGCTGGATTTTGGTGCCAACCTTCGATCTGTTGAAAGTTGTGCTGCTGCGCCAGATTCACAGCCAGCTCCCACTGATTCAGAAGGACACACCTTGGACTCGAAAGTCATCGGACTTCGGTGCTTGACGGGCTCATCTAGCGTCGAAACTACAGATGATTCTACAAGAAAAACTACAGATATTTTACAGGAAATCAAACATCGAGGTTTCTTGCTGGGATTCTTCTCTTCCTCCAATTCTTGGAAAGCAAAAGCACTGTGGTAAACCCAATGATAACCATCCCAAAATATCCTAAAATCATATTTATCTATTTTTGTGGCGGATATGTTTACCATCCCCATGGTAGGTTTATGGCCAGGGTTTCACACCTCTTCCCCGCAGGACCCTGACTGAGGACCCTGACGTGTCAACCGCGGTCTTCACATCTCCATGTCGCAGAAAGGCTGCAACGGCCTTCCGAAATGCCGGAGGTTCATCGAATGGGAGGCGCCTCCCGGAAATATCTATGGAATTCTACAATGTGGGGCCCCCAAGATAGCGTTCAGTTGGTGAACATAACTACAATTTCACTAGGGTTTATGGTAGTTATAAGTTATAACTAACCACAGTTAGATGGGAAATATCTATGGAATTCTATAGACTTTTGCAGATGCAGATGGTGAATGCTTCAAATTTTTGAAGACTTGTTCTACTCAGATTCTACTCGCTTCTGGTTTCTCGGTTCCATGCCTGCTCACACAGCCCCACAGAGGCGAACTTGTTGCCAACCTCCGTCAAGAGCGGGCTGCCTGCAGTTGGAGATGCTGAAGCAAGTCGACATGTTGCCAAATCGCTATGAGCAGCGAGAAGTAGCTGCAAGAAAAACATATCATCAAGGAACTGTCAGATCCGAAAATTCCCAAAGTGTACAAACAGTTGTTCGAAGCTGGGTCTCCGATAATTAGGCTGTAAAAACGAAAACTATCCCAACAATTTGATGGTTAATACATGCTAATACTGAAGAAATTAAATTAACATCTATTAAATTAGATGCTTAATACATGTTTAATACATGTTTATTACATGTTTAATACTGAAGATAATAAATTAATCTCTATTAAATTAGATGCTTAATACATGTTTAATACATGTAAATACTGATGATATTAAATTAACATCTGTTAAATTAGATGCTTAATACATGTTGAATACATGTTTATTACATGTTTAATACTGAAGATAATAAATTAATCTCTATTAAATTAGATGCTTAATACATGTTTAATACATGTAAATACTGATGATATTAAATTAACATCTGTTAAATTAGATGCTTAATACATGTTGAATACATGTTTATTACATGTTTAATACTGAAGATAATAAATTAATCTCTATTAAATTAGATGCTTAATACATGTTTAATACATGTAAATACTGATGATATTAAATTAACATCTGTTAAATTAGATGCTTAATACATGTTGAATACATGTTTATTACATGTTTAATACTGAAGATAATAAATTAATCTCTATTAAATTAGATGCTTAATACATGTTTAATACATGTAAATACTGATGATATTAAATTAACATCTGTTAAATTAGATGCTTAATACATGTTGAATACATGTTTATTACATGTTTAATACTGAAGATAATAAATTAATCTCTATTAAATTAGATGCTTAATACATGTTTAATACATGTAAATACTGATGATATTAAATTAACATCTGTTAAATTAGATGCTTAATACATGTTGAATACATGTTTATACTGAAGATATTAAATTAACATCTATTAAATCAGATGCTTAATACATGTTTAATACATGTTTAATACTGAAGATATTAAATTAACATCTATTAAATCAGATGCTTAATACATGTTACATGTTTAATACATGTTTAATACTGAAGATATTAAATTAACATCTATTAAATCAGATGTTTAATACATGTTTAATACATGTTTAATACTGAGGATAATAAATTAACATCTATGAAAATAGATGCTTAATACATGTTTAATACATGTTTAATCCTGAAGATATTAAATTAACATCTATTAAATTAGATGCTTAATACATGTTTAATACATGTTAATACTGAAGATATTAAATTAACATCTATTAAATTAGATGCTTAATACATGTTTAATACATGTGAATACTGAAGATATTAAATTAACATCTATCAAATTAGATGCTTAATACATGTTTAATACATGTTTATTACTGAAGATATTAAATTAACATCTATTAAATCAGATGCTTAATACATGTTTAATACATGTTTAATACTGAAGATATTAAATTAACATCTATTAAATCAGATGCTTAATACATGTTTAATACATGTTTAATACTGAAGATATTAAATTAACATCTATTAAATCAGATGCTTAATACATGTTTAATAAATGTTTAATACATGTTTGATACTGAGGATAATAAATTAACATCTATGAAAATAGATGCTTAATACATGTTTAATACATGTTGAATCCTGAAGATATTAAATTAACATCTATTAAATCAGATGCTTAATACATGTTTAATACATGTTTAATACTGAAGATATTAAATTAACATCTATTAAATCAGATGCTTAATACATGTTTAATACTGAGATATTAAATTAACTCTGTGGTGGTCCCTGCAAAAACTGCCATAGCGAGCCTTCGGCAGTGAAGGGATGACTCGCTCCATCGCGTCGTAGTCCTGGAGACGACTGGGAAAACCCCTAGGAAAATGGAGGTTTAGCCTCTGATAAACTGTTATATACATAACGATGGAAAGATCCACCATTTTTAATAGGTAAATCAACTATTTCTATGGGCCATGTTCAATAGCTATGTAACAAATTACCGGAGGGTAAATATTGATATGAACATAGTAACAATAACTGGTTGGTGGTATACTGGTATACCTACCCATCTGAAAAATATGAAAGTCAGTTGGGATGATTATTCCCAATATATGGAAAAATAAAAAATGTTCCAAACCACCAACCAGACAACTATATGTCAATATCATTGATGGGGATGACTTTGTTATGTAAACTATAGGCGTTAGTATAGTCACGAAATGGCGATTAACATGCTTACTAAATGGTAATACTAAATGGTAACCAAGATGTTACATGATATTAAGCTAGTATTCCATCCATAAATGGTTTCACTATGATGTAACTAACTACGTCACTGGCCAGTTCCCAATCTTATATCTAGTCTGTATTAGTCGTATAACTATGGTTACTAACCAACTAGTAAGCGGGATGATCCTCCAAGTAGGGAGTTCACGAAAACAAAAAGGGGATTTGACCTTAGATTTCATGGGAATTGAAGCAACAATCAATACGGATTAAGCCAACTATAGTGGGGGATTTCATGGGGAAAATATGGGATGTCAATAAGATCTATCCACAATCATTTGATGGCTGTGTCAAGTGAGGGGTTCACCCCCCAAGCTATGGCCGGAGAGGATATCCTAGTTTCAGACATTGCTCAATTGGAGTTTGAAATCACAAACCGCAGGAAGCCATGAAATTGCCATTGTTTTACTGATTGTGGTCATCTTCTTGTGACCACAAGGGCCTCCAGGAAGTAGTAGGTATCGACCAGAGCTGCATTGTTTCCAGCCTCTCAACGGAGCGCTTTCGCAGTTGGAAACGGATGGAAACGGGGCTTATGCTAATGGGGATATAGTGATACATAATAGTGATATAGTGATAGAGTGATGGTAGTTAGTTCGCCATGTGTTGCTTCCGCAAAGTCAATTGTCTTTATGCTATCTTGCGGAATGCAATCACATGCTGTGGGTCAGAAAATGATTTTACATACCCCCATGCAGCCCATTCACAATTCAAAATCATAGGTGTTGACTTTGACCCATCCCGATCTGTCGCCGCTGTGCAGGACATCATCAGAGCCTTGGCGTAGTAGTTGGCTGCATTGTGCCACCTGGCATCCCGAGCTCGCCACTCGTGATGTGCAAAAGAGACTCTCAAAATTTGACATCGCCAAAATCAAGTTCATTCATGATTGTCTTACCCTCTGGTAAACAAACATAGTAACATAGCTATTGAAAATGACCATTTATAGTGGATTTACCCATTGAAAATGGTGATTGTCCATAGTTATGTTCGTTTACCAGAGGGATCCAGAGGGTATATTCCACGCTATGATTTCTTCACAGATTTCTTGACCTCATGCGTCCAAGCTGGCCACAAATTTGCGCAGTCGTTTGGGGATGATTCCACGGAAAACACCATCATTCCACAGAAAGCGACGTGAGGTCATCAAATTCATCCAGATATATCCAGATATTATACCATGACTATACTGACTATACCATGTGATTGGGCTATTTATACCATTATCTATACCATTGTCATACCATTCTCTATACCATTTTCATACCATTCTTATAGCATTTCGAAATCACCCTTTCTCTCATCCAGATCAGTCCCCCCACTTGCAACGATCTGCATAGTAGTCACCGATGGCGCTCCAGGCTTGATGCAGTAAGTCCTACCATCCGACCCGTGGCTCGACGACGGGGTTGGAAGATGTTCAGGGTCGAACTGTTCATTTACCAGAGGGATTTACCATAGCCCTGAAAAAGTTAAAATTTTAGGATTGACCAGTGAGATCTTAGGGATTTTGCTCAATTGTTTTCTCTCGTTGGAGGTTGCTGAAGCATGCTGAAGCATGGTTTACCACGACCACATGGCTTTGTCGGAAGATAGCGTACCCCAAAATTTCATGGTAATCAACATGTTCTCAAAAGTTGCAATGCCGCAATGTTAGGGATGTCCCCCATTTTCAGACCCGCATGATTTGCTTGGTGAACCCAATTGTCTGTTAGTTAGATCCAAGTCTAATCATATTCCATGAAATCCAATTTTGCAGCAGCAGGGTAAACTATCACAATTTCGATGGGTACCATCAAAAATGCTGGGTTTGTTGGGTTTACAGTACCACACTAGATGGTATGAAAAACCATTATATCATCCCCATTGTTTGTTGGTTAAATTGCGATGGTTTATTGGATAACATTCCAATTATCCCTTTATATCTCCATTATATCTTCATTATATCCCATTATATCCTATGATATAACCTTTTGTGCCTAACGTTTTCATAGTTGTTGATGGTTAATACCAATCAATGTCCCAGGTCACCTTATTTTGTTGGTTAATCCAAGCATAAATGTATGAGTGTAACAGATAAATTAGATTATATAAATTAAGCTAGATTAGACTAGATTGGATTCGATAAGACACGATAAGATTAGTTAGATAGACAGATAGATAGATAGGATCACTGTAGATAGGATTACAGTAGGATTTAAGATAGGATTAGATCAACAGTCCCTGTTGAATCCCCATTTTATCATCAGGTTGGCGAACATCCCCCGTAACCCAACCCATCAGTGCCTCATTGGCTCCATGCGCCAGCTGAATGACTCGGAACCAATCGCCCAGACGCACCCGCAGATCAATGGCCAGGTCCTGATTCACCAGCGGTGCTTTTTTTAGGGAAATGCTCATTTTCAGAGAAACCCATATATTTATGTAATATGGTTGTAGAGTTATGCTAATGTATCACAATGTATCTATCTATCTCTTGATTTGTTTTAATATCTATTTATCCTATCTATTTTAGTAATTCAAGCAATCTATACTGATACACAACTACGGAAAGATCCGGAGGTTTGCCCGCACTTTAAAATCTTTAAATGAGCGTCTGCACAATGATGATGATGATGATGGTGATGATGATGATGATGATGATGATGCTGATGCTGATGCTGATGGTGATGATGATGATGGTGATGGTGATGATGATGATGATGACGATGAAGATGATGATGATGATGATGATGACGATGACGATGACGATGACGATGACGATGAGGATGATGATGATGATGATGATGACGACGACGACGAGGAGGACGATGAGGATGAGGATGAGGATGAGGATGAAGATGAGGATGAGGATGAGGATGATGATGATGATGATGGTGATGATGATGATGATGATGATGGTGGTGGTGGTGATGGTGATGGTGATGGTGATGATGGTGATGATGATGATGATGATGATGATGTTTCGTCTTTGTTTTTCAAGCGTTTTTTGGAAAAGACACTGGAACCCATTTGACAGCAGCAAAGTTGGCTCAAGGATGCCCAAGGTTAAACTGTTGTAGCCATCATCCGCAAAGAACTGCAAAAAACTTCGATCAACTGCACTGAACCTAGAAAAAAAAATATACATTAAACATTTAAATATATAACCAACTGCTCCTGCACCCAACACATTCGAACCAAATACCCCAGCCTTGCGATCGATCTCGCGGTAGAGGCTTTCTGCTTCATCGAAGCGCTGGAAATAGGCAGCCACCTGCCATGGCGTCCAGAAAAAATGGCAGTGGCAAGAGAAAATGATGAGGTATCTTTATAAACCCACAAAAAGGTTGAACATGTTTGGTATTTAACCATGCATAACTTGGCGGATAGGAGCTCCCAAATGGATTGATTTGAGGGAAATCTTGCAGGAAAACCATGGCCAATTTACAACTGGTTGGTGGTTTCAACCCCTCTGAAAAATATGAAAGTCAATGGGAAGGATGACATCCCATATATTATGGAAAATTGGCAGTTTTGAATACTAAACCGTCTCATGCTGGGGGCCGAATACATTTTGCCCCATCCCGAGGTAATCAAGCACCGCTTGTAAGTTGTACGCCTTCGAAACGGGTGTGTTTGACACTGAGCAATAGCAACTGTAAACCAAACTACGTATTTTCCTCAGAAAAGTTGGCTTACAACTTAATTATAACCATTTCATTTGACTTACGTTAGAATTCACAATTTGAAGTTTTGTGACCCTGTTCCTTTCTGATTACACCTTTCAGAGTTTCAAGTGTTGGTGCTAGCTGTCCCAAAGATCAAGTGTTGGTGCTAGCTGTCCCAAAGATCTGTGGCGCAGAGCCAAGCAGACTTCCCGCTCAAACATATGGATCTATGATCTATGAAGTGAATTTGGAGATTAAAAATGTTAAAACTTCTTTGTTTCAACCCACCCAAATCATCCAAAGACCAACTGCTTCATCATCTTCTCCATGAAAATTTCGAAAATTTGCATCATTGGTAGGCAAATCCCAGATTTTTTGCCACAAATCCCCCAACTTCCCAGAAGTTTCGTCGCCACCTCGGCCTTTTGCTTCACCCTGTCGTCCAGCAATCGGAGCCGCTTCACCAGTTGGATGCCCTGCGAATCAGGTCTTGGCAGATCTGAAAAGGAACCAATTATTAATGGGGATGAATCAACTATTCATGTGGAATAACTATTAGTAAATGATAAAAATATTGATTAATGGATATCAATGATATCAATGGTAATCCCTTCCCCCCTAATACTAAACAATCCAGAAACCATGGTGGATGCGGGGATGAAACCACATATTTGGCACCATTTGGCGGTTAATGAGAAGGGGAAGGGATTAGTCCGATGTAAATTTACCGGGCGCAAGCTGTTGCTTTTGAATGGGAGAAATATGGTAGGGTGCGGTTGGTATATATTTTCATCCATGTAGCTGTTGATGGTCAAAAATGGGGTGCTGCCTCTATTGATCGACCCGCCTGTGAGAAAAGGAGATGGATGGTTTGGCAAACGTTGGGGATATCTCGGTATTTCGACCCATGATCCGCATATTACATCATATTGCAAGTCCTACTGTGTCACATACTAAGCACCTATGTGGTTCGTATCAACTTAATATTGATGGAAACTATTCGACGCTATTCCCACAAATCCTGAGAAATCCTCCCTTTCAGAATAGGGATTGTTTGACAGGATTGTATCCATGGACAATGGTAAATCCAGCTTGTTTAGTTTAATCAGTTTAATCCATTTTAATCCACCATTTCAAATGTTCAGATAGTTTTTCTGTGAAAAATATGGACATCTACCAGTTCTAACTTCAGAAATCCCTGGGGAACTTCCCATGTTTCACCCAGCTCCACGGATCGATCCCGTGGATCCAATGGATCCAAGGCCTGGTAATCCTCGAAGCGAACGAAGGCCTTCTCTGCCACGCTAAATTCCAACTGCTCCAAGGCGGCTTCGGCCAAAAGCCTGGCCCAAGGGCCCACCAAGGGGGCACCCTTAGGGGGGCCCAGGGCAGTGAGTTGATGGGTACCAGTATCATCTATAAAGAAATGTCCATTGTCCATATTTTGATGGGAATTCATGGGAATACTTCATATTGGATGTTGATGGATGTTGAGCATGTTGGCAAACCTCCAAGATCCAGAAGTTGCAAGGAGTGTGCGGGGTCTGGTGAATTGTTTGACTACTGTATTGTAGCGAGTGCATCAATCTCCTCATTGTCCGAAGCTTTGAAGTGCCACACCAGCAAATAGGAGCACGGTCCAGAAACCACAAACGCTGTTTTCTCTGGCAATTTTGCCCTCTCAGCACTGAACACAAATGGCTGTAGGCACTCTAGGAGAGATGCTGAAGAGGTCAAATGCTGGCTAGCCGCATTTTATAGGGGCCCACATGTCAAAGCGCTTTGTCTCTCCCAGATTTTGATAAATAGATCCTTTTGGCAACTTCCAGTAATTAACAAGTTTACAGAACGGTTGCAGAGTTCTCTCTGCAAGGAAGCTGAAGGGATCCAGTTGCCAATCCAAGCCCCTGACCTTGACGAAGCAGAAGGACGTGTGTGGGAAATGCTACTACCCATTGTTAATTTGCATGTTTTTGCGGCAGCATTTTTGGTCATTTTGGTCAAGGGTGTTGGGCTGAGTCGCAGAAAATGCCGAATCTTGAAATCTTCAGTCGCGAAGTTGCGAAGCACTTGCATGTACATTCGATACGAATACGCAGCGACTCATCGTTGCCGCCCTCCCAGAGGCGGGGCATTCCACGATGAGCCAATTGGAACCGAAACGAAACGCGCCTTCAGGCACCTGAAGTTGAAATTTCACAAGCCACCAAAGCTTCAAAAGTTTTTGTTTACCCCATTTTCATCACAAAATATACATAGATTCAACATGATTTGATCAAAGGGTTCAACGCTGCTGAAGGCACATTCTTAAAAAGAGAATGATGAACCTTTAAGCAGTTTTGGCATCATTTCTTTTCCGCCCATTGAAATCGCGGCACGGAAGAGATCTGTCTGTCGCCCAAGCACCTCTGTCTCAACGGCGTTGTTTTTGGGTGGATGTCTGTCTGAAAACAGGGGATGGGACCCCAATGGATATAGCCATTTTGGATGGCGAAGAACTGGGAATATGATGATTCACCAATGGACGTGATATGGGATCCTGAGATCCTTCTGTTCTCCCAGCTGTTCTGGTTTATGTTGATCCCCCTCCAAATGGTCCCATCATGTTCTGCAAGTCAACTGCCCCGCATCAAGAGTTAGGTTTGTCTGAAAGTAGTGTGCCCAAAAACGCTATAGTTCACCAGTAAAATTGCAAGTTTAGGCCAACCCTCCTAATTTTGGATAAACCCATATACCCCAGATTGTTGGTTTTAGCCAATTACATTCCATTAAATCCCCATTGTGGCTGGTTTAGTCAATATGCATCATCCAAAAACAAAACACTGATAATTTGGGTAAACCCAGTAAATAACGCATCCTACTGTAAATTCTTTATCTTGAGTTGTCTACATATGACGTATACACTGTATATACCCCTATAATCTCCTATAATTTCTATGGTCACTGGCCATCTCAGGAACCTAAATTGGAGGTACCTACCATATATAAGGCCTATATAAGGCCTATGTAAGGAAATATCCCCACAAAATATGGCCTTATATGGTACAGTACCTCCATTTTAGGATCCTGACATTCCAATTGATATGGTGTTCCTTATGACCCCCATGGGGCTATGGCTGGTCACTTCGTTTATCCCGGCCACCCTGGGGGTCCCTGCGAAGCAGTGTCAGTACTTGCCCATCGGCTTGGCTGCACCTGAAGTGGGGAGCGAAGAACCATTCGAAGGGATACCATTCGTTATCAATAAACCAGTATACAGTATATATGGGATATGTATATATATATATATCATATAAGGGATATGGCTTGCATACTATATACTGGAGTGGTTTGTTGGGAAATGAATGTTGGGAAAATTGTGACCAAACCATGTGTTTTTTCTGCGAAATATGGGGGTTCGGGATTTCCGGTTTCAATTTTCCCTTAAACCAATCGAATCAATGAATGTTGAACCCAGCAAAGCTTTACTGTACAAAACCCAGCATTTTCTGGGGATAGAATGGGATATCATTGGAAAAGCGTCTCTAGCTCTGTGCCAGGGTTTCACCATCAGAGACGGTGGCATACCATGAATGATTGGGATTCAACTGGGAAAATGGGGAAAATCAGGCCGCCAAAGGGCGGGCCTCAATGACCGACAAGCACGTATTATTGGGGGTGGTCACCTCTGGAGCGGGGGAGCTGCTTGAATCCAATGTTTAACCTGGCTGCAGCCATGCACATGATTTACCCGAAATTGACACAAAACTCGCCAACCACTTCGGATTTTTTGCCCACTAAAATGCTATTTCTGACGTGTTTTATGTTTGTCTGAAAATAGGCGATGCCTTTCCATCCCAGTTTTTTAAGCCTCATTTTCCCAAAAATGTGCAATGGCGAGTAATGGCCATATAATGGACAGTCACCCATGTGCGGTAAGCCACATGGACAATCCCATTCCTCATCCCGTACCTGGGATGACCATGACGACTCGTATAAATAAACAACCATGGATCGACGACTGGGTATCCGATAAATGACATGAGAAACTTCGGTACCGAGGGTCATCAATCCGCCATGGTTTTTATCACATATATCCCCAGTCTTGGCTGGTTAAAACCACAAAACAATGATGTTTAAATCGTTTCAATCCCATATATATATATAAATCCTGTCAAACATCTCCATCAAAAATCCCATAATAAAAAAATCCAGTAATAAACATCCCATTATATTCCATGATATGCCATCTATCACAGATATCTCCATTAAAATCGGTCCCCCACCTGCGAAGGGACTGTTGAAGAGCGCCTCTCGGGACCGAGACTTGGCTTCGGCCTCCTGGCGCTCACCTTGGCTGCGAATGCTTCGTTGACGTAAATTTTCAAGCAGAAATATTTAAAAAAAAAACATATTAAAAATTTATAGAGTATATAGCTGAGTAGCATCTACCCTCTGGTAATTTGTTACATAGCTATTAAAAATCGCAATTGTTAGTAGTTGATTTAGATATTAAAGATGGTGATGTTCCGTAGCTATGTTAGTTTACCAGAGGGTGTATAGGATCAATTGATATATGATACTTTATAAATATGGGGATTTAAAAAGTTCAATGATGTTAAATATAGAAGTTGATGGGGTTTAATCATGATTGTTTTTTGGAAAGCAGGAGAAACATATATGGTACGTTGTTTTTAAAATGGTGATTTAATTACTTTATATTATTTTCGAAAAAGGAAATGCTGAAATATTGGAATTATATTAGTTATATATATATGTGTGTGAGTAGCGGACAAAATTATATGTTAAATCTAATGCCATGCACAAATTAGGGTCGTCCCCCATCGGTTGTGAGGATTTCAATATTCCCGGAGGTATCACAAATAGGGTATCGGTATAGGGTCGTCCCCTATCGGTTATGAAGGTTTTGTGCAACCTCGGGCAGGCCAAGGCGAAGCAAGACTAAATCAGTATTACATTAACTTTGTCGGTTACTCATATGATTAAAAAAAAACTACGTACTATTTTTAAGGACTAATAGTTTTGACGTTTGATGATGACATATTGGAACCATCAATGTGTTCGAAAAACTAATTGGATCTGCATCTGAATTTCAAGTGAAAACCGAATATTAATGACTGTTGTTGCTCATGCATTCAAAATTTTGGGGCAATTGATTGAAACATGGATTAAACAACCAGGTGAATAAATGGTGAAATAAAACCGTGAAAATCCAAATAAATGAATTTACAAGAAAGTGATCTTAAGTAAGAAACTAAAACAACTAATAGACGTTCCATATCGACCTTTTGATTAATACTGACACATCGACTAGATACATGAAGTGTTGAAATGTCACGCGCGCAAAGTCTGACCCATGGCCATTCTTGCTTGATAAAATATCCTCATAGTTTGTTCGTTCTGTGCCCGTGTGTGTTTATGTTTTGAATTTCACATATTTTCTTGGGGTGGCCTCCAAAAAATATGGTTTCAATTCATGATCACTGATCGGCACCGTCGCCAAAACCAAAGGCACGTGCTTTTTCTGCTTGGTCCCTTTCAAGTTTCTCTGCACGTGCCCGACGGGCTTTGTCCATCTCCTGCCAAGCGATCTCGATGGGTAGATGTGAACATCTTGTGGCTGTGAACCAACAGGTGATCAGATAGTGGAATATAAGGGGTATATTGTGGGAAATATACTGAGGATATGTTGTACATACGTACCTACGTACGTACCTAGATAGATAGATTAGATAGATAGATAGATAGATTAGATTAGATTAGATTAGATTAGATTAGTTAGTTAGATAGATAGATAGATAGATAGATACATCGATAGATACATCGATAGATAAATCGATAGATACATCGATAGATACATCGATAGATACATCGATAGATACATCGATAGATACATAGATAGATACATAGGTAGATACATAGGTAGATACATAGATAGATACATAGATAGATACATAGATAGATACATAGATAGATACATAGATAGATACATAGATAGATACATAGATAGATACATAGATTAGATACATAGATTAGATACATAGATTAGATACATAGATTAGATAGATAGATTAGATAGATAGATTAGATAGATAGATTAGATAGATAGATTAGATAGATAGATTAGATCGATAGACTAGATAGATAGACTAGATAGATAGATTAGATAGATAGATTAGATAGATAGATTAGATAGATAGATTAGATAAGATTAGATAGATAAGATTAGATAGATAAGATTAGATAGATAAGATTAGATAGCTAAGATTAGATAGCTAAGATTAGATAGCTAAGATTAGATAGCTAAGATTAGATAGCTAAGATTAGATAGCTAAGATTAGATAGCTAAGATTAGATAGCTAAGATTAGATAGATAAGATTAGATAGATAGATAAGATTAGATAGATAAGATTAGATAGATAAGATTAGATAGATAGATACTTAGATAGATAGATACTTAGATAGATAGATCGATAGATAGATCGATAGATAGATCGATAGATAGATCAATAGATAGATCGATAGATAGGATAGATAGATAGGATAGATAGGATAGGATAGGATAGGATAGGATAGGATAGGATAGATAGCTAGATAGATAGATAGACAGATAGATAGATAGATAGCTAGATAGCTAGATAGCTAGATAGCTAGATAGCTAGATAGCTAGATAGCTAGATAGCTAGATAGATGGATGGATGGATGGATGGATCGATCGATAGATAGATAGATATACATAATTTCAAGTTTTCCCATCCTAAAGATGAACAGAACAAACACGTGCAGTGCATAACGGGTTTGTGTGAAGATAGGGTATCCCATTCATTCCATCTTCCAAGTACGTTACTTCGAGTGATCCCCAGCCTGACATTTTATTCTTGCATTCTATCTGTCATATATGACATTCTATCTGGCATTCTTTCTGGCATTCCATCTGTCATATAATCTGACATTCTATCTGGCAATCTTTCTGGCATTCTATCTGACATGTGTTCGGGCCCAAGGATGCTCCACAGCAGCCGGAGCGGGCAGCAGCAAGAGGCGGAGAAGGTGGACGAGGAAGGAGGAGAACGCGGAGAAGAGGAAGAAGGAGGAGTTGCAGCTTGCTGTTGAGGAAGCAAACCTGGCAAGGGGGAAAAACAACATTACCATGTTGTGGGTTTACTCCATGTTCAAGCAAATCCAAATACAAGTTTTGGTGATATGTCCCGTTAACATCCCATGTCATTCGCATTCTTGTTGGTTAAATCCCATTATCCTTGTACCTACCCTGCGGTAATCAATATATGGCTGGCTGGGAATCCCACCTTAAAAATTTGCATGTCAATGAGATAATCATCGAACTAACTGTGGATTGTTCATTAGAACCCTCCTTCCCATCAAAAGTTCCATTTTTTCATGGGGATTTTCCCAGTTATGTTTGATAAGGGTATGTGTCTGTTGGAAAATCAAGCTCACTTGCCGTGTCCAGAGGCTCCTCCTTGGTCATGTGGACGGAACTAGCTACACCTGCCGAAGCAAGGTGGATAGACAATAAAAACCTATGTGGAAAGCAATGCCAATCAACAGAAATAGGGAGAACCACAATATGCATGTATGTAAATATACATAAACCTTATTTCTATATACCCATATTCCCCCTAAGAAAGTACTGCGTATAGCCACTATCCCAAAAATATATAAAAATATCCCAACGATATTCTAGCCACCAGTTTTATCCCATTTAACCATCCATAGGGGAATCGCCACGGAAACCAAAAAACCAACGGGGTCTTTCCCACTGACCTGATCCAGAGACACTTCGCTCGGCGGCGGGTTTCTGCTGCTGCGCTTGCTGGTGGGCTTCCTGCATGTCGACATCCTGGGAGCTGGCTGCAGCTGGCTGGTTGAGGCACCCAGAAAAGAAGGAGATCATGGGAATGGGTCTATTTTTAGTACGAAAAACATGGGATATGAAGCAGCAATTCGGCAACGTTGAAACAGCGAAGGAATATATAGTCATCTCAAGCTGAACCGCCCCCCATTCACCTGGCCATTTTCCTGGCCATTTTCCTGGTCCGTCATCACATGTCGCCACCAAGGTGCCCCTCGCTTCATCAAGAAAGAGCGTGGCTCTTCCTCCTTCGCCGCAGCTGCTTGTTGTTGCTGCTGCAGCGCGGCCTGCTGCAAGCCCACCATCATCGCCTGGCTTTAAAATTTGGAGGCGTTGCGGCCTGTTGTTATCATTGTGACTATTGGCATTGTCATTACCATTACATATGATGAATTTACCATTTTATGTTGTTACTATTGTGAGTGCTTGACTATTATCATGATATATGATGATTATCAGTCTGACAGTCATTTGCCATCCATCATAATTGGTGATCCGTCACTGTCCATGTTGCACCTTATTTTTGAGGCTTGCGCCTGAAAGAGCATCTGGTTGTCTTCTTCCCTTGATCCTGAAGACACTGGATCAAAGCAAGGCAATTTTGTCTTGGTACATTCCAGTTTTTCAGGATTCATGTATCTGCTTGGCTTCATTGTCAATATCCAATCAGTTTTCATTCAAACTCATTTCATTTCATGTAATTTCATACAATATGGTATAATGCGATATCACATTCCTAACAAATGAAAAAATGCCCACCACAAAGTATGTCTGGTTCCATTTTTTTTAAAAATAGGTCCCCTTCTGTTCACGTCAAAATAGCGGATATAGTTGGATGCGCATTCAGCCAAAATACGGTATCAGAACTACACCAAGTACATGGGTGTGTCTGTGTCTGGAGGAGACCCCAATTGCCATTTTACTGGTAAAATGACGCTTTAAACAGTGCATTGTAGGGGTACCTCATCTTCAGAGAAAACAAGTAGGGGAAAAAAAGCTGCACTGATGGCTGTGGGGCCATCTGATTGGAATCGTACTCCCTTCTGTTGACAGTGCCCGCTACCAACTATATCTGTTGGTGAGGAAATATGTTTCATTAATATCCCCACGTTGAAATTCCTATTGTATCCTATTCTATCCTATTAATCCTTATTGTTGTGTTAGTTAAGTCATGTTAAGTCTTATTTCATCCCATTTCACATCATTAATCAGTTAACCCCATTTTGCTGCTTGGTTAAATAATGTTAAATCCCAATGACCCCAGAAAATGTAGCCAGTTCCTGGAGAGCTCTGGCTGGCCACTGGTGGCGACTCGCCGTCGCCATCACCTCAAGACACAGATTGGAGTTGCCAGCGGACCGAAAACCGCGCTCGCAAAAGTAACGCTTTTCCTGGGGGTGGTGGGGTGGGGTGGAGTGGGGTAGGGTGGGGAGGGCTATTAACGTGCTTAGTCCTAACAACCAAGTACGTTACCAACTTTTCTGACATCTTCTACACACACTCTCTCTCTCTCTCTCAAACAGTCTGACTGACTCACCTCTCTGTCTCTCCAAGTCTTATCTTCCCCAAGATATCCGTCCTCCGGCTGTTGAAAGCATCGGGGGAGCTCACATTCCACCAAATCCACAGCCTGCATGTTGTGAGCGCTTCAAAAATGTGCCCAGGACTTGTCGTTCACAGACCGGGTTCATCTTATGACCACCGTCATGATCGTGCTTGACACATCTTGATACAAATTACGATGTTAAGCTGCTGTCTTCCTTTCCTTGAACTCTCATGTGTAGTTAGTAGCACGACCACAGGAAGAAAATCTCCTAAGAAGCCAAACAAAAAAAACTATTGGCTGAATGGGGCTGAACGTACGGATGATGTCAAAATGATCTCCTTCGATCTGTGTCCAATCCCGCAGCGTTCCGGCATCTGGCATTCTGGCCAAGCAGCAAAGCTTCCGCACTATCTGCAACGCCTTCCCTGTTGCAATCACACCACATGCAGCACTGAGGACGTCCAGGGCAAACCTCGCCAATCGCAGAAGGAAAACTCGGCCGTTACTGTACAATATGGTACCAGACTCTAGACATAAATCGGGCTTGTAAAGCCACGTGAAAGATACAAAATCACATCGTACAGTAGCTTGATGACACAATTTGTCAGATTGTGGTTTGCAAACATTTGCAGCAATTGAAGCCTTCTTCGAGATGCTCCAGTCAGGACATAACTCTCGCCTCGCTGTCGACTGAGCAATGTTGCAGTTGCGATCAACGGGTAGATCGTCATCAAAAAAACGGCAACACTCCATAATCCAATCTCAAAACAATCTCAACCCCTCTACGGGAGGTTTGTGGAGATCTCATTGCACCCAAGAACACTTTAAAAACGAGCCAAGAGGAAGATGACTAGCCCTGGAGATCCTGCTGGTTAAATCTTGAAGTATCAATACGCTGAACCAATACTGAAACATCGCTGACATGGGAAAGCCAAGAAACGTGAAGCTGCCCCAAATGCGGCTAGCTCTCGCAGTGACACCGGAGCCGGCTGCAATGGATCTGCTAGACGCATCCAAAGCAGCTCGAGGCCTCGCCACGAAATCCCAAGAATGCCGAACAGGCAAACAATATCAAACAATGCCGGTTGAAACTGCAAAGTTCGAGACCCAAAAATGCCTGAGAAGCAATCACCCCTATGGCCCAGAGTGCTGATTTGATATGATTTGATACCTTTTGAAAAAGACTGCTGTTGCATGCTATTGTATACCTGTGGACTGACGCCTTTTAACTGGGTTTTGTGTATTTTGTCCTTTGTCGGGGCCAGCTGCGGCTTTCCCAATAAACAGTTCAGTCTTATCTAGTTCTGCTTCGTGTTTATTCAGTGCAATAGACTTTGATAGAAATCCTCAAGTTCTATATGGAGTTGCCACCATCGTCACTCTGGAAAACTTCAAGCTGCTTTCTTTGAAGCATGAAAGGCTCTTATTGCCTACATCATATAAATTATATAGAATCAAACTGCGGCTTGCGGCGAAGCGCAGCGACGGCTGCCTTTTTGAGCTTAAAGGGCGCCCTGTGCAGAGCAGTTGGGCATTTGGAAGTACCTGTGAATGCTGGAGCAGGTGGACATGAGGCTATGAGGTCTGTTTGGCAATGGTCGTTTCACACCCGTCCTCAGCTTTCACAGTGTTGCTACTGGCAGCAGAAGTTGCAAACTTCCTAGCTGCTTTTCTGGCATGTCTGCCAGCTCGAATCTGTACCTTGCGCAGCTTGGCCTGTTCAGATGGCTCTAGCTGCCACTGGCCCCTCTCTAACGCATGCAAAAGGGAATCCCTCTCGCAACCAAGGTTGGTGAGAACGTCGGCTAATATTTGGGACGTGTCCGTCCAAATTGCGAAAGCATCAGGGTCATTTTCGTAGTTGTTTTCACCTATCATCTCTTTGATCTGTGACACAAGGATTCGGACACGCTTATCGGTCGGCTGACCTGCATCACGGTTCAGTGTCTGTTCCAGACTCTTTGCGTCCGTGAAGCACATCAGTTTGCTTTTGACGAATTGAAGATCTAAATCTAAAAGTCTCTCACCTGGATGCGTGATCTCCATCAGCAGGGTCCCCAAGTAGCCCCAGCTTCAACTCCATTCAAAAATCCATTCGATTCAGCAGCCAGAGTGCTGCGGCAAACTCTTTTGATGCTACCTGAATACGTCTCTGGGATCATGATGGGGCAGGAGGATCCATCCCTCAGTGCAGAAACAGAAAGACCAGTGATGAAGCCGCACTGGGACTTCAAATTTTCGCCATTCGCAAAACTGCTGTCAGCAAAAACGAAAACGCTGCAGTTTTCCAAGGTCAACTTGTCATTGAAAATGAAATTCCATTTGGCTTGGTAGCTCTCTTTGAGGGCTTTCACGGCTTGTTCAAATTGATCACATCCTTCACCTTTGGGGAACTCATACTTTGGGCAGCAACGCTAACGTTCACCATGAGGTCGGGCCTAGATTGGCGTGTGACCCAACCCATCTGGCCGATGAGGCCACGAAACAAAGACTTTTCAGCCTCTGTGAGAGGGCTGTTCACCATCTTTCGCCTGTCACCAGGCAGCACCATGTAGTCGATCGCCTCAATGGCATCGTACTGGTCGACCTCAATGGAAAAATCATCAGGCTGAAAAACGTTCTTTCCACAAAAACGAAACTTGCCCTTGTTGATCTTCAAATGGATGCCCTTTTGCATGGCCTCAATGGAAACATGAAACTGTTTACCTTCTCCAGCGCAAAACAAATCATCGACATGTGTGATGAGAATGCCACACAGCTTTCCATCCACCACCAAGAAAAATAGTGCGTGCTCAAGACGCAACATGATCCAGTTATAGTACCTCAGGGTTTTGTAGAGCTTCTTCCACCAAGCTCTGCCAGCATCTTTGGTACCATAAATTGAGCCAAGTGCTCGGAGAGGGTCATGAGGAGAAATTCCAGGAGGAGGTGGTCTCGGTGGCCTGAGCAACAGCAAGCGGCTGATGCCATTTGACTGGAGGTAGGCAGTGGATGCGTCACAAGCCATGACAATCAACTTCTGAATAACAGCAACTGCACAAACCAAATTGAAAGCAAGAAGGTTGGCCGTTGGTGAATCACTTCTGATACCAGTGTCGGTCTCTTGATGACCTTGGACAACTAAACGGCTCTTCGCTTCCAGGGGAAACTCTTTCTGAATTTGAGCTTGTGACTTTCCAGTTCTGCCTTGAAGAGCGGCAGACATGAGGCGCTTTTTCTGGTTCTTGTCAGTGTGGACCCATCTGTCCCGATGATCTTGGCATCTTCGGGCAGGTCCTCAATTTGCTGAGGTGAAAGGATTTCCACGGCGTTGAACTTTTGCCAGGATGACCACTCCTTTGCCATACTGTCATCGTACTTGGCACGATCTTCTGGAGAAAGATCTTTCAGGGAAATCTCAGAGCGCACAGCTTCTCCTGTGAGGAAAACATCACCAGGTCCTTGAAGGTCTTCAACAAAACATTGTTCTTGCTCCTCTTCTGACTGGGATGGGGTAAATGCCTCACCCTCATAGTTGAGCATCCTCTCCGGATTGAAGGCATTGTTTCACATTCAAAATCATCGTCTTCAACAAAGTAAGGCCTCTGAGGTGGTTGGCCATGTTGTCTTTGGACGGCTCGATAGCCATCAAGACGATCTGGGTCTCGAAGTGCCGTTTGGAGGTTGCCAGTCTGAGGTGCAAGAAAAGGGACAGGTACAGGCTGAAGTCCAAGTCCAAGTTGTGCCTGACCTGTTGGTGTGTTGATCGGCTGTGGTTCTGGTTCAGGAGCTCCAGAAATTGTGCTCAACTGCTGGTCATGGGCAGGATGTTGGTGGTCATCATGACCCATTGGTTGATCAGGAGGGTCTGCAGGCCCTTGGGGAACTTCATCATTCGTTGTTGGAGTCGGCTGCATAGGTTGATCTCCTTCAGCATCAGGTGCAAACTCACTGGGAGAGTACCCTGGAGACTGAAGTTCATCGGCAGGTGCAGGAAATGGCAGAGCAGGTGGTCCAGTTGAT